CGACGCGCTATATTATTGCTAATACCACTGCAATAATACCGCACGGCGGTATTTACCAGGTCGGCCATTGGCCTCGAACCGTACAGTACGGAAGCTGAGATGTTGAACCCCTTACCCAGAACCCCCCACTTGAGTACTTGGTGACACCGTGCACAGCAGTGCCCGACTGCTCAGCGAGGAAATCGCCCACTCGCAAAGATAGAGCACATGCCCCGTGTAGCCTTGACGGACTGTTGGGGCAAGTGCTGTTAGCGAGTAGCACCTGTGAAGGCCGACACGGCACACGAGGAGTGGGTGGCCAACACCACGCCCGGCCGCCTTTGTATCTCCCCAGTGATGATTTTGCTTTACTAATGTTGCTGATGTATCCAGGAGAGCCACACTACTGAGTCGTATGGCTCTTTGTCAAGAGGGTCCTGCCACCGTTGCCACATTGAAGTTTATATTTTATTTTAAGATGAACGACGAGTCGTATTGATTTGTCACGTGAGGAGGAGGAGGACACCGGAGCACCCGGAGACAACCCACGCCTTGCGCGAGGGGGCAACGCTCTATACCCCACGTACAGATGGACACAGATGAGGATTAGTCCACACTTTGCTGTACCCGCCTTCTCCTGGCGAGTCAGTATACGGCTCCTCCTCCACGCTCACCCACGTGGTAGGAAGAGAGTTCCACAGCCGTCTGTGCGGTGATCCACCAATCCTGGCTGCTCCCGCACAGCGCTGGATCACAGGCAGTCACGTGCAGCAGCGTAGCCACAACCACCACCGCTACCGCCGTCACATCGACCCTGGCTAATGTTTACACGCCGCATCAGGAACTCATTTAAGGCTGAGTCGACCGACTCACTCAATCTCGCCGGCACACAACTTGGCCCGCCTCCAGTTTTGCCCGCACAGATTCCTGGCGGCGGCAATTGGGTCAATGGACGTCCCTAGCTTGTGTGGCTGCTTTGCCAACGCGGCTGCCTCGGCCGCTCCGTGTCGGCTCAGCCACCGCGCTACTGGCACACTTGGCACGCAGCGCGGCTGGCACGCTCACAACTCTCGCTTACGAGTTGGCACTGCCGCTGCTGCTGCTGATGTAGCCTGAGAGTTCACTCCTCATCCCCGCGGGTTTAAGTCTCAAACAGCGACCGTCGCCTGGTTAGCACGTACAGGCTTCCCTCGCTCTATGCGGGTTAAAGGTTTGTGCGATTTCGCCTGCATGCGGCTCACCTGTGTCTACCCAAAATTCGCTATGTGCGGTTTTATTTCACTGTACATGCAGCTATGCGCTCGGACGTGGGACAACATTGTGTTTGTGTGCTGTATGTACACGGAGTGCGTGTGTGGTGTGTGTGTGTACTGTGCGTCTGTACTGTGTGTGTGCTCTACTCGGCAAGCAGCTGTCTCCTCGTGCAGTTTCGCTTTGTGCGCCCTTTTCTAGCAGCGCATCTACAACTACAACTACCGCCGCATAGAGCGAGACGAACCTCTATGCGCCGTGGCCCAGCGGCAGCGCATTCGCAGCTTGATTGTGCAGAGGTTGGCGGTTCGAATCCGACACGCCGCCCCGGTGAAGTAGTGCAGCGTGTATCGCGACACCTGTCAAATACTCTCACCGCGCGCGGTCTGCTCACTCACAGGGGACGTTAAAGATCCCCGCGATGTCATTCGAAAAGCGTAGTCCACAGTGGCCCTTCCTAACGTATGAATGGCCACTGAAGAAGGCCATTGGCACGAAACGTCGCCTAATATAGACGGCGTGTGTTTGTTGAGATTGTGCGACCTGAGCGCAAGCCACGCGCTCAGTGCGGCGACGCTTCTAGTTTGTGGATCTTCGTGCGAATGCGGCGAATCTCCCCCCCCCCCCCACAACCCCCCCCCCCCACAACCCCCCCCCCCCCCCCCCCCCCAATATTTGATTTGTCTCGGACTGGTCGCCATAGGTCACTGCTCTCGTTGAATTAAAATTAAACTTGGAACATAAATGAAAGCGTTTTCCTAAAAGACGCGTTTTAAATAAGTGCTATACACTGTTGTTGGTGTTGTTCTTCATACACTGTTGTTGTTGTGGCTCATACACTGTTGTTGTTGTTCTTTATACGTTGTTGTTGTTGTTCTTTATACGTTGTTGTTGTTGTTGTTCTTTATACACTGTTGTTGTTGTTCTCTATACACTGTTGTTGAAAACAGATCTCATGGTGGTCAGTTTAACACGTAGTAGGCTGTCGCGACCATTATCATCCTTAATAGAGTTTTTTGTTGGGGTTAGATCGCGTAAATATATAAATGTGTCGTTAAACCCACCACCACCCGACACAGCCAACTAGTAAGGGCTGTCGCTTAATAGAACGTGGCCAGTTCGTTACTAGTACAGCACTAGTGTAGTGTATAGTAGTGTAGTGTATAGTGTAGTGTATAGTAGTGTAGTGTGTAGTGTAGTGTATAGTGTAGTGTATAGTAGTGTAGTGTATAGTGTAGTGTATAGTGTAGTGTATAGTAGTGTATAGTGTAGTGTATAGTGTAGTGTATAGTGTAGTGTATAGTAGTGTAGTGTATAGTGTAGTGTATAGTAGTGTATAGTGTAGTGTATAGTGTCGTGTATAGTAGTGTAGTGTATAGTGTAGTATATAGTAGTGTAGTGTATAGTGTAGTGTATAGTGTAGTGTATAGTAGTGTAGTGTATAGTGTAGTGTATAGTAGTGTAGTGTAGTGTAGTGTAGTAGTGTAGTGTATAGTGTATAGTGTAGTGTATAGTGTAGTGTATAGTAGTGTAGTGTGTAGTGTAGTGTATAGTGTAGTGCATAGTAGTGTAGTGTATAGTGTAGTGTATAGTAGTGTATAGTGTAGTGTATAGTGTCGTGTATAGTAGTGTAGTGTATAGTAGTGTAGTGTATAGTGTAGTGTATAGTAGTGTATAGTGTAGTGTATAGTGTAGTGTATAGTAGTGTAGTGTATAGTGTAGTGTATAGTGTAGTGTATAGTAGTGTAGTGTGTAGTGTAGTGTATAGTGTAGTGCATAGTAGTGTAGTGTATAGTGTAGTGTATAGTAGTGTATAGTGTCGTGTATAGTAGTGTAGTGTATAGTAGTGTAGTGTATAGTGTAGTGTATAGTGTAGTGTATAGTAGTGTATAGTGTAGTGTATAGTGTAGTGTATAGTAGTGTAGTGTATAGTGTAGTGTACTAGTACAGCACTAACTGATTGTGTGTTGGAGAGAAAATCCACAACATTTTATTTACAGAGTACGACGTTTCGCCAGTAATTACAACGGGCATCATCAGGCGGCATCCAGATTTGCGGATGAATCCTCCTGATTCGTTCCTTGAATAGAGGGGTCGGTGTGATGACGTCACTCGTGTGGTTGTCAAGGGGACCCCAACTCGTAGCTTCAGCCACTAGGAGGGGGGCAAGGCCCCCCCCCCTGCCTGCCCCCCGCTCGTCACTCTACCCACAGGAGGCGACGACTGGAGGAGGGGGAGCGGTGCGAGGCGGTCACCCAGCCCGCCCTTCACACACGCTGCGACTCGCCAGCAGCACTTGCCCCAGCAGTCTGCTAAGGCTGTACGGGGGATCTGTGTGTGCGCGTGTGATCAAATCAGCATCGCATTAAATTATCGGACCATCGGGCGCACGGGTTTATTGGAGTGCGTCTCAGTCTCACGGTCCGGACTCTCCTCCTCCTGCTCCGCCTGCCCGGGCCAAGCCGCGCCTCTCGGGCGGGCAGACACAGCGGGGAGCAGCCCCCACCCCTGACGGGGAGGGGTGCAGGGGGGTGTGGGGGGGGCCATTGAGGAGTCGCGGGGGCTGGGGGGGTGTTGCTGGGCAGAGTCTGAGTTGGGGGGGACTGGGATTGGCTGCGTCATGAATAAATTAAGCGGTAAATACATAAATTAATAAATAATACCCCTTGCCCCTGTAGCCCTCGCGGCCTGTCGGGGCAAGTGCTGGGCAGCGAGTAGCAGCCCCTGCCAGAGCCGGCACGGCACACCAGGGAGGTAGGGGTGGTCAATACCACATGCCCGGCCGCCTTTGTCTCCCCAGTGGCGATGTTTACACGTCACAACCAGGTACTCATATGAGGCTTAGTCGGCCTAGGTATGTGTGTACAGGTGTGTGTGTGTACAGGTGTGTGTACAGGTGTGTGTGTGTACAGATGTGTGTGTGTACAGGTGTGTGTGTGTACAGGTGTGTGTGTGTACAGGTGTGTGTGTACAGGTGGGGTGCGGTAGTGTAGCGGTTAGCACGCTACGCTATGAAACTGGCGACCCGGGCTCGAGTCCCGCTCACGGCCAACACCAGTGACGATTATCTGAACCGGTGCTGGGCCTCCCCTAGGTGGACTCAGCCTGAAATGAGTACCTGGTGCGGTGAGTAAACATCGCCACTGGGGAGACAAAGGCGGTCGGGCGTGGTGCTGGCCACCCACCCCGTCGTGTACCGTTCCGACCTTCATAGGTGCTCGCTAACAGCACTCTGTTAAGGCTATACGGGGGATCGGTGTGTGTGTACAGGTGTGTGTGCACAGGGTGTGTACAGGTGTGAGTGTACAGGTGTGAGTGCACAGGTGTGTGTGTACAGCTGTGTGTGTACAGGTGTGAGTGCACAGGTGTGTGTACAGGTGTGTGTAAAAGTGTGTGTGTACAGGTGTGTGTGTACAGGTGTGTGTGTTAAGGTGTGTGTGTACAGGTGTGAGTGTACAGGTGTGAGTGCACAGGTGTGTGTGCACAGGTGTGTGTACAGGTGTGTGTGTAAAGGTGTGTGTGTACAGTTGTGAGTGCACAGGTGTGTGTGTACAGGTGTGTGTGTACAGGTGTGTGTGTACAGGTCGACTCAGCCTTTAATGACCAGTGACGACACACTCGCGCTGCTGACCGCATCCCCTCACGCGTGACGTGCCACTCTGATGATCGCCTTCGCCTGTTGAGGCGACATGGGGCATCTGTGTGTGTGATGATGTATGCATGCCTATTGATTAATTAAAATTGCACATGGAAGTGTGCTGCGGACAGAGATTCGCTAGCAACAATGTATAGCCTTAAAATAAATTGTATATAGTTGTCGACGTTTCGGGTAATGGCCCTTCTGCATAACACATCCAGAAAAGTTGCTTTTGATATTTTTATTTTTTTCTTCTTGGGTCAACCACACACAGACACGGCGTCGTCACGGAGCGGGCACGGTGAGTGATGATGAGTGACGTTCTTCACAGGACTCGCGCGCCGCTGCCAATGCAGCAGCAGCAGCATCACAATGCGATCTGTATTTCACTGTAAGCGTCGTTACATGTTCACATTCAAACAAATCACGAAACGAGGCGGAGACAAAAATGCATAGAGAGAGATCGAAATTAAATAATTAAGCACATTTGAAAACTGATTTGGAGCCGCCGCCGCCGCCACTCATCGCGGTTTGAAATTTCCATCCGTCGCTTCCCCTTTCCAGGAAAGAGACGAAATTCCACGAATTCCATTCATGCGAAATTACCCGGAGCGGACGGAGCGGACGGAGCGGACGGAGCGGACGGGCTATTTAAAGGGACCCGATCCACTTCCGTCCCTCGCACACCGACAAAGCCCCCCCCCCCCCCCCCACTTTAATAGAGCGTCGTGTGGGGGGCAAGCGCTGCTGTTGGCGAGAAGCAGATATGAAGACCGGCACGGCACGCGAGGTGGTGGTGTGGAAAACACGACGCCCGGCCGCCTTTGTCTCCCTCGTGGTCATGTTTACACGCACACCACGCAAGGTACTCGCTTTTTTTGTTCCGGCGAGCCGACCTAGGGGAGGACCGGTTCCGATAATCGTCGCTGGTGAGCAGTGGCGGTGAACGGGAATCAAACTCGGGTCGCCGGGTTCGTAAGTGCAATGCGCTCACCACTGCGCCACCGCTCTCCACACACACAACGTTGCAGCCCTCTCTACGAATAGCTCAGTCCGAAGTCTTCCATCACCTATTCAAACAAAACAGTAGACTATCAGAAATGTTTTTGTAAAAAATAAATTGAAAATTTTTGTTTCTCATCATCAGGTCGTCCAGCCCTCCCCCCACGTTGCGAGCAAGTGCGTCTCCCACCGTGATCGGATGGACTCGCGATGGATCATTCCATCGCAGGATCAATGAGGCAGGGCGACAACTTGGGGGGGGGGCTTCGTCCAGCGGCTCCACGCATCCCCAAGTGAGGGGCACAATCCCCGGATGCATTCGCCACGGACCGTAGCAGGGCCCCCACTGATGAGACACTAAATGTGAAAACTGGTGCCGAAAAACAAACATCCGTCACTTCACCAAACACCGCTCACTTCGCACCTCCCATTAGCACGGTTTGCTAGGTACGGTGCGAAAGAAGTTCAACATACATCAGATATACATAGAGACCCGTAAAGATACCTAGAGACCCATATAGATACATAGACACCCATAGCGATACATGTAGATACATTAAATGCAAGCCACACGAGTGCGATTGTGGCCGTGCAACACAAGCTACGGATCGCAGAGTAAACACGACTGTAGTCTGCGCTCCTCCAACGGAGGAGAAAGAGCGACGCGACACGAACTCTCTCCGTCTCTCTCTCTCTTTGCGGAAGACCCTCTCGTCCTGGCAGCAGCAGCAGCGGCGGAACCTCCACACTGACATCGGGCTCTTCGACGCGTGCTGCTGCTGCTGCCATCAGCGCGCTCAAGAAGAAAACATGGACTTAGCAGTCGTTACTGAAATGTTGCAAAACGAATGTGCTTTACCCTTCCCGGCAAGAATACAGGAGGTGTTATAAGATGTTCAAACACAGAATAGACAACGGTTGTGTTTGTGCTGCTCGCCTCTTGGCGTAGTTCTCTGCCCTGACGCTGGTGGCGAGACAGGGCCATGAAGGAGGCTCTCTCTGGCCAATCAGTGTCAGAGCTGATGCGAACATCATTATTATCAAAGCACGTCTGTGTGCATGTGCTTTTTTCCCCACGAGCATGATGCGTGGCGAATGCAGACTTAATGGCGCCTTGCAATATGTGTCTATTTGGTATTTGCACATCTGAGGGGAAGGGTAAAGCCTCTTCGCTCTTGGCAAGTCGTCGTCATCGTCATCATCACGACCCATGGGCAGGTAGCCCGTGGTAGGTGTCTGCTGCAAATGTCGTCATTTGTTTCCACTCTCCTCTCTGTCTCGGTCCAATGCGCCCCATCATGCAGTGGCCACGTGTTTCTGGCACCAACCCTCTCGTGTCCTCGTCGTCACGCCGTTCTCTATCAGCTCTTCCTCTCTCTCTCTTCCGAACAACAACGACAACAACACTTTTAATATTCCTGTTCTTGTCCATCCTACCCATGCGTCCAAATAGTTGCAGTTTCCTTCTCGTCGCTGTCTGCATCATCGTTGGCTACTCGCTGGCTCCACGGAACACTCAGCGGTCTACTTACTCCGTGTTGCTAAATACATCAACCCGAGCGCCAAATATCTTATATCTCTGTCAGCCTTTTGTTTTTTAATCGTCCAAGTCTCGCCGGCAACTCGTGGCCGTCGTCAATTCCCCGCTGGGCTGATAATGTCGACGAAGGGCCATCGTCGCCCGGGGCTCGCGGTGCCCCACGGACCGAGAGAGGCGACCAGCCTGGGCGCGGTGCCGTGGCGCGTCTCGGCAGCCCTCCTCCCTCCTCGGCATCGTCGCCCGCCTCGAGCTGCGAACCCGGAAGGTCCCCGCTGGGAGTGCAGAAGGGGTGGCCGCTGTTTCCTTCTTGAGGTCGATCACGCTTCGTCGGTGGCCTATATATTGGCGTGTGTCGGTGTGTGTGTCGGTGTGTGTCAGTGTGTGTGTCGGTGTGTGTCAGTGTGTGTGTCACTGTGTGTGTCAGTGTGTGTGTCGGTGTGTGTCAGTGTGTGTGTCGGCGTGTGTCAGTGTGTGTGTCGGTGTGTGTCAGTGTGTGTGTCGGCGTGTGTCAGTGTGTGTGTCGGTGTGTGTCAGTGTGTGTGTCGGTGTGTGTCAGTGTGTGTGTTACTGTGTGGGAAGCGGTAGTGTAGCGGTTAGCGCGCTGCGCTACGAACCCGGCGACCCGAGTTCGATTCCCGCTCACGGCCATCACTGAGCCGGACCTGGGCATCCCCTACGTCGGCTCAGCCTCAAAAGTGAGTACCTGGTGAGGTGTGCAAACATCGCCTCTGGGGAGACAAAGGTGGTCGGGCGTAGTGTTGGCCACCCACCCCTCGTGTGTCTTTATAGGTGCTCGCTAACAGAACTTGACCCAACAGTCTGTTAAGGCAATAAGGGGGATCTTTGTCTTGCTATGTGTATAACGTGTATTTACCCATTCAACACATTGGTCAATAGACGCCCTGTGTGATCTTGTGTATGTGTGATTTGTGACGTTTCGGGCTCTTTGCCTGTGCCGGGAATAAAAGCTATTGCCTAAATCGTCGCCAGATGTATTATCCCCCCCCCCTTTTAAATAAATAATATATTATAGCGTGTTATTGAAAAAGGCGCGTTGCTCGAAACGTCGCCAATCATATAATGTTCCTTTTAAGGCCACTCAGTGTCGTTGTTGTTATTGACGCGTGTGCTGTGTTGTTGTTGTTGTTGTTTGTGCTTGTGCACCCACTGCTAACGCAGCAGCAGCATCGCCAAATTCATTCTCCACATCAAATCGTTTTCCTCTCGTGCCAGGACCCATATCTAGCAGAGGGAATCCTTGCCTAGAACATCTGGCAGGTCACCAGCGTCTGTTCAAGCGGGCCTGCCTCTGCTGATGAGACACTGCATGTCGAAACCGGTGCAGAGTTTTGCCTGCATTGAGACAAAGTTGCTGGAATGATGCCATGCCCAGAAGGGAGGTCGTCTGGCTGATGGGATGCGTCGCAAAGGCCCCATTCGACTCTCGTGTGCGAGTGGTGGGACAGACAGGGGGAGGCAGCATGCTGTGTGTACTTAGTTGTAGTGGCCATTCATCGGTGTGTGTAGGGGGGGGCTGTGTGTGGGGGGGCTGTGTGGGGGGGCTGTGTGGGGGGGGGCTGTGTGTGGGGGGGGGTGTGTGGGGGGGGGGCTGTGTGTGGCGGAGGGCTGTGTGTGGCGGGGGGCTGTGTGGGGGGGGGCTTGTGGGGGGCTGTGTGGGGGGCTGTGTGGGGGGGCTGTGTGGGGGGGCTGTGTGGGGAGGCTGTGTGTGGGGGGCTGTGTGTGGGGGGGCTGTATGTGGGGGGGGGCTGTGTGTGGGGGGGGGCTGTGTGTGTGGGGGGGCTGTGTGGGGGGGGCTTGTGGGGGGGGGGCTGTGTGTGGGGGGGGCTGTATGTGGGGGGGGCTGTGTGTGGGGGGGGCTGTGTGTGGGGGGGGCTGTGTGGGGGGGCTGTGTGGGGGGGGTGCTGTGTGTGTGGGGGGGGGGGGTGATGAGAGGGGTACGCGAGGGTGCAGGGGATGGAGGAGGGAGGGGGTGCCACGCTAATTGAAGCCACATGGCCGAGCCCCCGTCACTAAGGGCGCCTCCCCTCACCACGTGCGGGAAGGAGGGGGTCCCTGCGCTCTGCACGTCTCGCGCGAGTTGGACTCCTGCTCGTGCCGCATCTCGGGTGGGGTCCCCAGAGTTCCTACCTCGTCGCTGCGTCCGGGACCCGGTAGGACTCGGAGGTTCACAGCAGTCGGGGCGATGGAGGATGATGATGATGATGACCCAGCACTCGCTCAGTCACTCCGGGCACTCGCCCGCCCGTCCGCTCACCTGGCGGTGGCCAGCCGCCTCCTTGTCACTCTTCTGCTGCTGCCGCCACGGTTCCTGTTCCCCGTGAACGTCACTCAGTGATGCCTCCTCCACTCGTGCTGTGGACCGGGTCGACCAAGAGAGTGGCAATCAAACTGGTCCCCTCCCTCCCCTGGCCATCTCTCCCTCCTCCCCCGGCTCCCTCCCCCGGCTCCCTCCCCCGGCTCCCTCCCCCGGCTCCCTCCCATGCGTGCACGCGCGCGGGTCGCCCTGTGAGGCGCGCGCGCTGCGCGTTACCGGCAGGTGATTGGCAGATTTCTTTATTTATTTATTTGTTGCCGATGGTTAACACTGAAGGGGTCGCTGCGTGGGCTGTGGGAGGACCCCCCCCCCCCCACCGCGAGCCCCCCCCCCCCGCGGGCCCCGCCCCCCCGCGACCCCTCTCCCGTCCCCACCAACCGCTCTCCCCAATCGCCACCGGTTGTCGGTCTGACCTCGAGTCAATCACGCACGGAGACTCTCACTGACACACACTGACACACACGGAGACACGCACTGACACACGGAGACTCTCACTGACACACACTGACACACACGGAGACACACGGAGACTCTCACTGACACACACTGACACACACGGAGACACACGGAGCCTCTCACTGACACACGGAGACACACGGAGACACGCACTGACACACACGGAGACACACGGAGACACGCACTGAGACACGGAGACTCTCACTGAGACACGGAGACACAAGGGAGACACGCAGTGAGACACCGAGGCACGCACTGAGACACAGAGAGACGCACTGAGATACAGAGAGACGCACTGAGACACAGAGAGACACACTGAGACACACGGGAGACACAGAGAGACGCAGAGAGACACAGAGAGACACAGAGAGACGCACTGAGACACCGATGCACACACTGAGACACAGATAGACGAACTGAGACACAGAGAGACGCACTGAGACACAGAGAGACACACTGAGACACAGAGAGACGCACTGAGACACAGAGAGACGCACTGAGACACAGAGAGACGCACTGAGACACAGAGAGACGCACTGAGACACAGAGAGACACACTGAGACACAAGGGAGACACGCAGTGAGACACAGAGAGACACAGAGAGACACAGAGAGACGCACTGAGACACCGAGGCACACACTGAGACACAGAGAGACGCACTGAGACACAGAGAGACGCACTGAGACACAGAGAGACACACTGAGATACAGAGAGACGCACTGAGACACAGAGAGACGCACTGAGACACAGAGAGACGCACTGAGACACAGAGAGACGCACTGAGACACAGAGAGACGCACTGAGACACAGAGAGACACACTGAGACACAGAGAGACAGACTGAGACACATAGAGACACATTGAGACACAGAGAGACACAGAGAGACGCACTGAGACACATAGAGACGCACTAAGACACACACTGAGACACAGAGAGACACAGAGAGACACAGAGAGACACACTGAGACACAGAAAGACGCACTGAGACACCGAGGCACACACTGAGACACAGAGAGACACACTGAGACACAGAGAGACGCACTGAGACACCGAGGCACACACTGAGACACAGAGAGACACAGAGAGACACACTGAGACACAGAGAGACACACTGAGACAGAGAGACACAGAGAGACACAGAGAGACACACTGAGACACAGAGAGACACAGAGAGACACACTGAGACACAGAGAGACACAGAGAAACACAGAGAGACACACTGAGACACACTGAGACACAGATGCACACACTGAGACACAGAGAGACACACAGAGACACAGAGAGACACACTGAGACACAGAGAGACACAGAGAGACACACTGAGACACAGAGAGACACAGAGAGACACAGAGAGACACACTGAGACACAGAGAGACACAGAGAGACACACTGAGACACAGAGAGACACACTGAGACACAGAGAGACACAGAGAGACACACTGAGACACAGAGAGACACAGAGAGACACACTGAGACACAGAGAGACACAGAGAGACACACTGAGACACAGAGAGACACATGGAGACACACTGAGACACAGAGAGACACAGAGAGACACACTGAGACACACTGAGACACAGAGAGACACAGAGAGACACACTGAGACACAGAGAGACACAGAGAGACACACTGAGACACAGAGAGACACAGAGAGACACACTGAGACACAGAGAGACACAGAGAGACACACTGAGACACAGAGAGACACAGAGAGACACAGAGAGACACAACGAGACACAGAGAGACACACATCGACACGTACAGCGCTGAATAAACAAGCCGTGTTCACTTGCCACGAGGTGACGTCACAGACTGTGAAACGTGACCCCCCCCCCATCCTTACACCCCCCCCCACCCCCCGCTCCCAGTCCCGCCCCCCATTCTCGTTTTCCTTCCAACCTCGCCCTCTCTCTTCCCGTCTTACCAAAACAAAGACAAAGATCCCCCGTGTAGCCTTAGCAGACTCATGGGGCAAGTGCTGTTTGCGGGCACCTATCAAGCCCGACACGGCACACGTGGTGGTGGCCGGCCAACGTCACGCCCGGCCGCCTTTGTCTCCCGAGCGGCGATGATAACACATCGCACGAGGTACCGTACTCGTTTGAGGCTGAGTCGACCTACGGGAGCCCCAGGACCGGTGCAGATAATATTCACCGGCGTTGGTGGCCATGAGCGGGAATCGAACTCGGGTGGTCGGGTTCGTAACGCAGCGTAGCGCTAACCACTGCGCCACCGCTCCCCTCTTAACTCGACCCCGCTACACCAACCACGCTCCCCCTCCTCCGCAAGCGGGGTGCAGCTTCCCCCCCTCCCCTCACCCCCCTCCCTCCCTCCACCCCCCTCCCCTCACCCCCCTCCCTCCCTCCACCCCCCTCCCCTCACTCCCCCTCCCCTCACCCCCATCCTCTTCCAATCGTGAAATCCCGTGGCCGCAGTAATAGTAGTTGTGGGGAGCGGTGGTGCAGTGGTTAGCGCACTGTGCACGTGTGTCTACGTGTGTCTGTGTCTCTATGCACGTGTCTCTCTTTGTGCACGTGTGAACGTGTCTGTGTCTCTGTACACGTGTGTCTACGTGTGTCTCTGTGTCTCTGTGCACGTGTGTCTACATGTGTCTGTGTTCTCTGTACACGTGTGTCTACATGTGTCTGTGTTCTCTGTACACGTGTGTCTGTCTCTCTTTGTGCACGTGTGCACGTGTCTGTGTCTCTGTGCACGTGTGTCTACGTGTGGCTGTGTCTCTGTGCACGTGTGTCTACGTGTGTCTCTGTACCTCTGCACGTGTCTGCGTGTGTGTCTGCGTGTGTGGCTTCCTCTGTACCCAACGAGAGCGACACGCACACTGTCACAGAGGTGATGGCATCTGCTGCAGATGGTCCAACGCACGCAGCAGCAGCAGGCGCCACTCGCCACTCAGTGGCGGTGACGTCGCCCCGGCGCCCGTGCCAGGATAGGTGCCCTTTGAGGCCACGTGAAGTGCCGAAGGATTACGAAGCAGACCCGGGTGGCATGGGTTGGCCGAGCGAGATGACCGATGCACAATCTGTACTCCCCTCTGTGCCAACTTGCTGTATTTCATCCGCACGGCCCTCCGCTCGTCGAAGTGTCCGCTGTTGCTGGAGGGCGACTGCCTCCAACTGCCCCTGTAGCGTCCTTTACGAGCCTCCCCTTGACACCGCTGCTAGCAGTCTCAGGCAAGTCCAATCAGCTCCACATCCTTCTGTACCACATCAGCCCATCTTTTGTGTAGCCCCCCCCCCCCCTCGATCCGGCCAAGCTGTCTGGGCATGCGGGCTACATGACCCAGCCGACGCAGCTTTGCCTGCCAGAGGAGCTCACCACTGGGACTGTGTTTAAACCCAGGGTGGATCTTCGGCAGGCCAGACTGAGTGTTTCAAACCGGCGCAGATGTTTCATGAGAGGGGTCCACGTTTCTCAAGCATAGAGAAGGGAGGGTATGACCGTGGCAGGCCAGGTAGCTTCCACACGGCAGCGTTACGCAGCCGATGGAAAGATGATGCCTCGCGGCTGTTTCTGAGGACACGCATGCACGCAGGCACCCTCTAATCCACCCCCTCTCTCCATACAAAGACAAAGGTCCTACACATCGCCACTGTATACTTATGTGAGGCTGAGTCGACCTAGGGGAGGCCCAGGACACACAACAGCGACCTTGCAATCCACCCCGTCTCCCACAACTCATCGCCTTCCGTTTTCCCCGTGCCTTCTCTGGGATCGCGCCCGGAATAATAAATGATGCGTCAACCTCATCAATCCACTGCTGGATGAACGCCTCTCCAAAGCCGCCGCCACATCGCACAAGTCTGCGATGGAACAACGATCCATCCGGCATGCAGCCCGCGAGATGATGGTGATGGTGATGATGGTGTCGTCGTCATCACCATCAACCGCCATCATCATCATCATCTCCGCTCCATTTCCGTGCCGGGGAAGGCACCCGCGTCAAAGACCCGTCCCGTTCTTCCCGACTGCTCTCTCCATTACTTCTCTTGACCACCAATAGGCTCCCATCTGCATCTAAAGCATCGTCATAACCTCCACCTCCTCCTCATCCTCCTCCTCTTCCTTCTCGCCACGAGCCCGGGCTCCCATCTCTCTCTCAATGCGCGCGGAACCGCCACCACGGTCCATATGTAAATAGAAGCCGCGCGTCTAAAATAGGTCAGATGCCTCTGAATGTTGATGAGGCCGTAGGCGTGGTATGTTCAACGGCGGGGGGTGCTGGGGGATGGGTAGAGGATGTAGAGGGGGCGGGTAGAGGGGGGAGGGGGCAGTGGTGGGAGCAGGAGGAGGTGGGGGATGGGAGCCGCAGGAGGTGGGGGAAGGGAGATGTGAGCGAGCGAGTCGGGGAGGGAGGCAGGGCGTGCGGGCGGTCTGTTGCGGATGAGTTGTATCGGGGAGGGGATGATGAGGGAGGGAAGGGGGGTGGGAGGTGGATGGGGGGAGGTGGAGGCGAGAGAGGGAGAGGCGGTGGGGGGGGGGATGGGAGAGGAACTCTCTGCGCCCATTGGCTGCGGAGCCTCTCTTAAAGGGCAGCGGTGCGGCCGCGCGGGCTGGAGCGGGGCTTGCTTGGCGCGAGGCGTGCGGGAGGGAGGAGGAGGGAGGAGGTGGTGGTGGTGGTGGAAGGTTGGATGAAGGATTCTGAACCGGCGCTTCGTTGGCCGTAAGGCTCCATCATCACAAGCAAGTACTCGATGTCTACTGCATTGCACTCTACGCCTGTGTGTGTAGTTGGAGAGAGAGCGGTGGCTTCAGTGGTTAGCGCGCTGGGTTACGGAACTGGGAAGCATCTAAGTTCGATTCCGGCGAATATTTGAACCGGTCATGGGCCTCCCCTAGGGTCCACTCAGCCTTAAATGACTACCTGCTGCGTTGTGCATAAAATAGCAGCACTGGGGAGACAAAGGCGGACGGGCGTAGTGTTGGCCACCCCACCCCCTCGTGTGCCGTGCCGGCCTTCATAGGTGCTCGCTAACAGCACGTGCCCCAACAGTCTGTTAAGGCTATAGGGAGAGCTTTATCTTTGTATGTCTGTTTCCGTCTACTAGAATGTGTGTGTCTTTGTCTATACAGTGTGTGTGCACGTGTGTGTACGTGTGTGGGGGAGCGGTGGTGCAGCGGTTGGCGCACTGCGCTACGACCCCCCCCCCCCCACCGCCCCCGCCCCTCCAAGCTCCCAACGTTCCATAAACCCCGGCCGCACGGCTAACATCAGTGGCGCGTGAAGGCCATAACTCGTTCTGGGCCTCCCCTAAATCGGCTCGGTGTAAAACGTCTGTCTGCATTCCGTCCACAACCCCCTCCCCCAACGCCACTCTAACGGCACTTGCCCCAGCAGCCTGCTGCGAGGCTATACAGGGGATCTTTATCTTGTGTGTGTGCCGTGTTAACGACCCGCCCCCTGCTGGCACACCGATGCCCCTCTGCAGGTCGCCTCTGGCTCCATCTCGTAGTACGTGTGGATGGCTTCCACTGGGGGGTCCCCTAGGCTAAACTGGTTGCAGGGCAATTGCATTGAATTGTGCATTGAGGCAAGTGCCCTGTGCATACAAACACTTTACTGGGCATGTGTGGGCCTCTTTGTGGATCTATGGCCCTCTGTGCGATTCTGTGGGTCTCTGTGTGAGTCTATGGGTCTCTGTGTGAGTCTGTGGGTCTCTGTGAGAGTCTACGGGTCTCTGTGTGAGTCTGTGGGTCTCTGTGAGAGTCTGTGGGTCTCTGTGACAGTCTATGGGTCTCTGTAGGAGTCTGTGGGGCTTCGTGTGAGTCTGTGGTCTCTGTAGGAGTCTGTGGGTCTCTGTGTGAGTCTGTGGGTCTCTGTGTGAGTCTGTGGGTCTCTGTGTGAGTCTACGGGTCTCTGTGTGAGTCTACGGGTCTCTCTGTGAGTTTATGGGTCTCTGTGTGAGTCTGTGGGACTCTGTGTGAGTCTACGGGTCTCTGTGAGGGTATGTGGGTCTCTGTGAGTGTCTGTGGGTCTCTGTGTGAGTCTACGCGTCTCTGTGAGGGTATGTGGGTCCCTGTGAGAGTCTGTGTGTCTCTGTGAGAGTCTGTGGGTCCCTGTGAGAGTTTGTGGGTCCCTGTGTGAGTCTGCGGGCTCTGTGAGAGTCGGTGGGTCTCTGTGAGTCTAGGTGTGAGTCTGCGGGCTCTGTGAGAGTCGGTGGGTCTCTGAGTCTCGGTGTGAGTATGTTGGTCTCGGTGAGAGTCTGTGGGTCTCTGAGAGTCTACGGGTCTCTGTGAGAGTCTGTGAGTCTCTGTGAGAGTCTGTGGGTCTCTGTGAGAGTCTGTGGGTCTCTGTGTGAGTCTGTGGGTCTCCGTGAGAGTCTGTGGGTCTCTGTGGGTCTCTTTGTGAGTCTGTGGGTCTCTGTGAGCGTCTGTGGGTCTCTGTGAGAGTCTGTGGGTCTCTGTGTGACTCTACGGGTATCTGTGAGAGTCGATTGGTCTCTGTGTGAGCCTGTGAGGGAGAGAGATTGTGTGACTACTGTACCGTCATTTGACCTACTTACTCGTGTTGTGGTGTGGGCTGTGAATCGCTTGGCGCTGAGATCAGGTCACCGTGTGAGTCTGCGGATACCCGAGTCTATGGGTCTATGTGTGAGTTTATGGGTCTCTGTGTGAGTCTATGGGTGTCCGTGTGTGTATTGGTCTCCGTGCGAGTCTATGGGTATCTGCGCGAGTCTACGAGTCGCTGTGTGAGTCTGAGTCTCTTGGTCTATGGATCTGTGTGAGTATGTGGGTTTCTGCGTAAATCTCTGGGTCTGTATGCACGTGTATGGGTCTATGTGTGTCAGTATTCTTGCTGTGTCATTCGACCTACTTACTCGTGTTGTGATGTGGGCTGCGGACCGCGCTGAGCTCGAGAGAGTTTTAAGTCGCGCTGCCTATGCGAGTCCGTGGGTCTCCGTGCGAGTCCGTGGGACTGCGTGCGAGTCCGTGGGACTGCGTGTGTACGCATGATGTATGTATGCATGCGAGTCCGTGGGTCTCCGTGCGAGTCCGTGGGAATGCGTGTGTACGCATGATGTATGTATGCATGCGAGTCCGTGGGTCTCCGTGCGAGTCCGTGGGTCTCCGTGCGAGTCCGTGGGACTGCGTGCGAGTCCGTGGGACTGCGTGTGTACGCATGATGTATGTATGCATGCGAGTCCGTGGGTCTCCGTGCGAGTCCGTGGGTCTCCGTGCGAGTCCGTGGGTCTCCGTGCGAGTCCGTGGGACTGCGTACGAGTCCGTGGGACTGCGTGTGTACGCATGATGTATGCATGCATGCGAGTCTTCTTCATCGGTGCTACTCGCTAACAGCACTTGCCCCAACAGGCCGTTGATGCTGCACGGGGGATCTTTGTCTCTCTTCTCCGCCGTGTTGATTTGACCCACTTACTGGTGTCGTGATGGGGGCCGCGACTCCCTCGCAAACCCTCGCCAGCCACACGCCGCCTGTGGCAGCCGCGAGCAGAACCGCCTCGGACAGTGACGCCGACGAGCTCGAGTTCGAGACCAGGACACGGCGCCTGTGTGTACTGCCGCATGGCTCAGAGACAAACGCGCTGCAGGCCCATCGACTCAATAGACGATGACTATGATATTGCTGCTGATGATGATGAGGATGATGATGCTGCTCATGACGATTCTATTGCTGATGAGGATGATGACGCTACTGGTTCTGCTGCTGCTGCTCATGATCGTGACAACGTATTACTGAAACTGCTGATGATACTTTTGCTGATAACTCTGATGATGACTTTGACACTGCTACTGTTGATACTGCTGATGATGACTGAGACTGCTTAGTATGATGCCGACTCGTGACTGATGATGCTGCTGATACTAATGATGGCTATAATGACCATGGTGGCGGTGCTGATAAATATCCGCATGTCGAATCGCTACAATGGCATAATACTGCTGATGATGATGATGCTGCTGACGATGCTGCTGCTTTTATAATGGTAATGATGATGGCCAGCATGCCGATGATGATATCTAACGACGGCACAATGCTTTTGCTGATGACGACAGCTGATGCTGCTGATGGTTACTGATGTTGCAAGTTGTGCTGACGATGCTGCTGCTAATGCTTCTGCTGATGATGACGACGACTATGGCTCTCCTGTTGCTGCTTATGGCTATGATGCTGTTGATGATGATGACCATAATGTTGCTGATGCTGCTGCTGATGACTGATTTTGCTGTTGATGATGAGCTTAATGTTGCTGCTGCTGATGATGACTGATTCTGCTGCTGTTGATGATGTCTACGATGCTGCTGTTGATGATGACCTTAATGTTGCTGCTGCTGATGATGACTATGATGCTGCTGCTGCTTATTCTGCTGCTGACACTGCTGCTGTCTGACCCCCCCCCCACCTCTCGCTCCGCGCACAGAGCTCGGCACCACCGCCGGCACCACCGCCGCCATGGTGCACCGCACCGGCGTCTCGGACGCGGGGACCCACGGCGCCGCGGACCCCGGGGGGGCCGCGTCCCCGGCGGCGGCGGGCGCCGGGGACGCGGCCTGGTGCCGCACGGCCAGCGGGCACATCAAGAGGCCCATGAACGCCTTCATGGTGTGGTCGCAGATCGAGCGGCGCAAGATCATGGAGGAGTCTCCGGACGTGCACAACGCGGAGATCTCCAAGCGGCTGGGCCGCCGCTGGAAGCAGCTCAAGGACGGCGAGAAGGTGCCCTTCCTGCGGGAGGCCGAGCGCCTGCGCCTCAAGCACATGGCCGACTACCCCGACTACAAGTACCGGCCGCGCAAGAAGGCCCACGTCAACAACAACAACAACAACGCCAACGGCGGCGGCGGCGTCAGCGGCGTCGTGGGCGGCGAGCTCGGTGAGAAGGCGCCGCCAGCGCCGGAGGCGGCGGAGAGCGACTGCTCCGCGAATCTTGGCGGCGATGGCGCCGACCGCGACGCGGCCAAGAAGAAGAAGCGCAAGAGGAAGAGCGTGGCCGGCGGCACGAGGCCCGCGGTGGAGGCGGCGCGGCGCCACTCGCCCGGCGCCAAGCGGCGCAGGGTGGCGGCGCCCGCTCGCGACGGGGCAGGCGCCGCCGCCATCGACGCCGACGGCGCCGCCGCCGCCGCGGCCACCGCCGGCAGCAGGCCGCCCGCGCTGTCGGGCGGCAAAGGGGCCGGAGCGGCGGCCCTCGTCTCCCGCCCGGCGTCCACCTCGTCGTCCTGCTCCTCCCCTTCGTCTCTGTCCACCTCGTCCATGTATTCATCCTTCGCCTGTTCTGACGACGACGCCGACGATGATATTGACGACGACGATGACGTCGAAGATGATGGGGGCTTGGGGGAGCGCGGAGGTGGAGGGGTTGGGGGTGCCGTGGGGGCGTCCTCCTGGGGTGCGGAGGTGTACGGTGCAGGGCAGGGGGGGGCAGACAGCTGGGAGGCCCAGGGAGGAGGGGGGCTGCTGCTGCAGGGCGCCTCCTCTCCCTGGGGGGGCGCTCGGTGCGGGGAGCGGGACGGGGGGGGCAGCGGGGGGGGGCAGTCGTGGGACTCGCAGAGCACGGGCAGCAGCCGCTGCTCACACTTTGACTTTCCCGACTACTGCACCCCGGAGGTGAGCGAACTCATATCGGGCGACGTCGGCGACGCCACCTCCACCGTCTCCAACCTCGTCTTCACCTACTGAGCGTCAAGCTCGTCTTCACCTACTGAGCGTGCTGGATAGCCCCCCCACCACCACTCCCCACGCCCCACCCCCCTCCGCGTGTGGGTTATCTTCCCCCACGGTTTTGTAATCGCCGGGTTGGTGAGTTTCTACTCTGCAGCTCGACCCTCGTGCGTGCTGCTCCCGGTGTGTGCCGCACTACTGCCCCCCCCCCCAGCGCCCCCCACCGCCCCCCACCACTCGGTCGTCCCCGTGGCCTGCACACGCCTCGCGTTTCATCGTCACGTTCTCGGGGGGCCCAGGCTAACCCTGCTGGGCGCTCTCGTGAAACGACGACGACAACAACAGCAATACGCGTTGCTGCCTGGAAAAACAAATCTAAATTAAGATATGATATCATTTTTGTCGTTGTTGTCGTTTGTAGAACGCAGTCGTTTCGCGAGGCCCACGTGTCGCCCAGGGAGAAACGCCTGGCTGCGTCTCCAGACTTTGTGTGTGCGGTGTTTTCGGGGTTTTTTTTATTCGGGAGTGGTGCTGCCACGTGGATGGTGACAATTGGGCGCGTTGCGTTGTAGGCGAGTGGCTGCCTCTGTGTGGAGGGGCACCGGGGAGGCACCCAGCTCGTGGCCACGCTTCCAGCATTGCCCACACCTGCAACACCTGGCAAGCCCCCCTGGTGGTGGTGGTCCATCCTAAGTACAAACCGGGCTTTGGGCCTGCTTGGCTTCCCAGAATCCTCGAGACTGGAACACAACTCGCTCTGGAAGATGCGGTCTGCTCCAAGTATCGAGTTGTTTTTCATTTTGTTTTAACTCAACGAGTACTCGGCCAGGATGAGTACTCTGATTTGCAATGGTGAGCGGGTGAGACGTGGCTCGCCGATATGGCAACAAACAAAACCCCATACAACGTTGAGTACAACGAGAAATCAAACAGACATCGGAGCAAAAGCAATCGCGTTACAAAATAAACGAAATAATAATAGACTCTAGACTGCGATTCGTACAAGGCGCTGTAGGTGACGTTGACGTTGCTGGAGATCGCGTTTGTAGAAACGGGTGACTTTAAAGACTGTGGTTGGTTGTCTCCAGCAGTAGCAAGCAGCAGCGTCACGTGTCCCACTACAGCGCTCCACGTCACAATGGGGGGGGGGTCCTGAGGGGCCTTCAGAAGGGCTCCTTGGGGGGCGGGTGGGGGGCTCCTTCGCGTGGAGACGCTGCTGGGGGGGGGGGGGGGGTCGCGCGCAGCTTGTGGAAGACGAAGAGTCCTCTCCGCGTGCCTCCCGCGACGCCCTCTGTCCCAGCAGTCGGGCCGCGTGCCATGCGCCGTCTGGAGCGCGATGTCCCTCGGCTGAGCCCAGCAGGGCCAAGCGGTGCGGGAGGCGGCGGAGGGAGCGAGAGACGGACCCAGAGCAGAGGCGCCTCGTGGTAGAGGAGGGGGGGGCAGGGGCTGGGCGGGTGTGTGGGAGATGCCCCGTGGGAGGGAGCGAGGGAGCGAGCGAGCGAGGAGCCCCACGAAGCGGAAAGTCCCGGGACGCTCAAGAGCCGATGAGTGGCCACGCGGAGGAGGGGGGGGGGGGTGCTGCCTTAGCCGGCCACGCACGAGCCCGAGCCAACGGAGCTCGCCACCAGTACGAGCCGCGAGTTGACAAAACAGCCAATAGCACTCTGACCTTGCCAACCAATCAGCCACTAGAACGATGACCTTGCCAGCCACTAGCTATGATCTAACCAGCCAGCCACTAGCACCAGCTTTGATCTCGCCGATCAACCATCAGCAGCAGCAACAGTCTCACCACTGCCACGAGAAGCTCTCCCTCCACCGTCGCCGCCTCATCGCCGAGATTCGCGTTCGACTTGCGGAGCGCACAGCGCCACCTGGCCGCGAGAGAGGGGAGAAGGCTGTGGGGGGAGAGTCTGCATCGGGGGAGCGGCAAGGGGGCAGGAAGAGTACAATGGGAGAGTAGCGAAATCTGAAGAGAGTGTGGGGAGAGCGAGAGAGGGAGAGAGTAAGTAAGGGTAGAGTGAGAGTAGGAATGGAGAGAAGGGGACGCGGACGGTCGGGGGTGCAGAGAGCGAGTCGGGAGAGACCGCGGGGAGAGTGAGACGAGCGAGAGATGGAGCGTGGTGGATGTGTACATCCCGTAGTCTCCCGGGGGCAGGGAGGGAGGAGAGGGGGGGGCGAGTTTCTAAACGCTTCCGGTATAGACGCGGTGGGGGCGGGGGTCCCACGTATCGAGGGACACGGGGGGGGGTCCCATCCACAACACGAGCATTCCAATGTGGCTGCGTCCCCCCAGTGATGGTGGTGGTGGTGATGCTGCTGCTGCTGCACACTTTATTCGTGAAGGGGGTCGGGGTCGAGAGAGCGGGGGCAGAGACGCGCGCTCTGCGGGGCGTTGGTGTCGATCAGCGTCTGCCCGCGATCGCTCTCTCATCTCTCGGCTCTCTCTCGCTCGCGATCCTGTAATCTGTAACTTGCGCAAGTACTCGCCCAGATGTGGGACAAAGCAGTTGTTGTTTTTCTGTTGCCGCGGCTCAGGGGTTGTATGTTGTAGTTTATTGTTGTTGTTGTTGTCCCCACTGATATAAGACAAAAACGAAGGGCATTTGCTGCCTTCCAGGTGCTGGATATAAGTCACTGTGTACCAGCAAAATTAATTATCTGCTCAGGTCTATAACAAATTTCACTGTTGTTAAAAAAAAAAGTAATATACACTTCGCACTGCCTCATGGTGAATACTTAAAACGAGAAAATAACAAACGAAAAATCTCACAAACCAACCAGGGAGAGGACGAGACGCACCTCTGGCTCATCTTTGTCGGGTTTTTTTATAAACTTAAAAAACTTGTCCTAAGTTGACATTTCGTTGCGGTGATTTTCTTTTCGCATGATCCTTTTCTAATCCAGCGAGTCCCTCGGTGGCGATTGGGGGGGGGGGGTGCAGAGCATCCCCGCACGAGCTGGGGGCATCGGACGGCGAGAGCCGTGGAGGGATGCTCTGACTCCGGTCCTCTGGATCGTGTATTCCTTTTTTATTATTAAATCCGTATCAATCGTACCGTCTGTTCCTATACCAAATTCTAGTGGTTACACGCTGCACAAGCCTGATGATTGCGAGAATATCCGCGCGACTTGTGGAGGGAGTGCCGATGCAGATGCCACGAGACCGCAGCCGATGTCGGTAGCTTCGCAAGCGGGCGAAAATACCAACAACACCTCCACACACCTGGCCCTCCACTTGAACACGCGTGTCTTTACACATCTCATCAGCCGCACAGCTGCCTTCTGCACCTGGCAGTATTGGTTTAACACCGAAAGCCAAAACCGAGGACCAGTTTTGACATTAGGTGTCTCATCGGCAGATGTCGGGCTCGACTTGAAGCGACACTGGTGGAACCGCTGGCCACGGAGGCAAGGGACCCGCTTCTCTTACCCCCTTGGGGCCCGTTGAGTCTCGGTAGAGTGACTCGCAAGCCGACACAGTCCCTCGTGTCGTCGTGGAGAATATCAGTGTCGGCATGAGCAGACGGTGGAGACACGAGGAGGATGAGACATCGCCTGCTCCACACCAGTAGGGGGAGGGGGGGGCAGTGTCGTCGTTATGACATCATTCCGATGGTGTGTAATATCTCGTCACGATTCACCACACCAGCGACCCATTCTCGTGTGAAGTCACGCGGAGCTGCGTGGCCGTGAGCGGCGGCTCGGCCTCGTCAAGACTCGGAGGCGAGCGGTGGCACAGGGGTCGGCACGCTGCGCTACGAACCCGACGACCCGAGTTCGATTCCCGCTCGCAGCCAACATAATTGGGGAGACGAAGGCGGCCGGGCGTGGCACTGGCCACCCGGCCCCTTCGTGTGCCGTTCCGGCTTTCGTAGGTGCTACTCGTTACCAGCACTTGCCCCCGTCGGTGTGTTGAGGCTATACGAGGAGATCTTTGTATTTGGTTCGGCCTCGTCTGACTTCACAGAGCCTACGTGTCGAGGGGGAGTGGTAGCAATCGCTGTTGCAGCAGATGCCCACGGCACACTTCCACGTGAATCATAAACGCAAATCGCCATGAACCGGCTCAACACCTCAACGTAGCAGCAGCGGCACGGACCCCACTGGCAACGAGGCTGGAGACGCGGCTCCGTATTCATCACCGTCATGGCTCTGGCCCGGCTCTGGCTCGGCTCAGCTCAGACTTTGAGCCGTGCAGTTGCGCTCAAAGACCGCGTTAGGCGAACGGCTCAGCCGTGGCTCGGCTCACGGAACTCCTGAGCCTGGGCTGCGACCGTCGCTCGGAGCCGGCTCAAGTTGAGCCATGGCTTGCTCCCCTGAGGCAGATCCGATCCTGAACTGAGCCGTGGCTAAGAGCACACGGCTCCGTATCGCTCTCCGAGACGAACAAACCTCGTGATTATCATCATGATACGTGCGATGTTGTACGCATTTGGTTTTTAATGGAATTGGCTAAACATTCCAAAGCAAGGACCCTCTTGAAAATGAGACTGCGAGTTTTTCCAGGATGAATAAATGAAGGGGGCATTCATTATTGTCATCCGATGATTATGATGTGTAAATAAGCTTGCGTGTTTACGCAAGCATCCTGTTCTCAATAAGGGCCATTGCCCAAAACGTCGTAAGAATGTTTTTTTAAGCCAGCGTTGTTCGCGCACGTGGTGCGATTTTATTTGATTTAATAACAATATCTCTCTCCACATTCGTCACTTCACACTGCGTGTGGCCTTCAGGGATGTAATAGGCGACGTTTGGGTAATTGGTCTTCTTTAATGAAAACGTCATGCGCTATGAAGAAACTACAAACTATATTTGTTTTACCAGGTCAGGCCCGCTGAGCTATACGGATCTTTTTATTCAAAAGCGGCCTGGTCAAGAAGGGCCATTTCCCGAAACGTCGCCTATAATGTTAATGTATTTATGTTAAGGCCACACACCGTGTGTGTTGTTGTGATGAATGTGCCGGGTTGGTGTCGTTGCTACTCGTGGCTTCATTGTGCAGCGCTGCCAACGCGGTGAGCCCGGGAGGCGCCGTGGGAGCCCCACGTGGCCCGGACGGGTTCGCTGCTGCCGCGCTGCGGGCAGACGAGTGCGGTCCCTTCTGCCTTAAATCGTCAGCCGTCCCCCGTGTGCCCCCCCTCCCCCCACCACGAAAAGGGCTTCACGGCGCATCGATTAATAGCGTCGATTATCGGGGTTCGCCACTACAGCAGGCGCTGTCATTCACCGCTGTTCCACGATCGAAGAGGATCGATTTGATGGAATCTCCGTCCCGGCGGGTCGATGGCTATCGCCCGGTAGGCGTCCAGCCAGGAACTCGCCGCTGTGACTTCGTCACCGAGACGACGTGGGAATAAACAGCCCATTGTGTAAATTGTGAATTGATTTATTGGGGTGAGGTCACGTTAATGATCTGACCAAATGTGTGTCGTTAAGACCCTCCACCACCCAACACAGCCAGACAACCCCCCCCCCCCCTGCACTGAGAGATAGGTGGTGTAACGGCTCAACAATTCATTATCGATTATCCCGCTCACGGGAGCCACGCATCGAACGTGCGACTCGCTGTGTCACGATCGATGATGTCGCGGTGGCTGGCGACGTGTTTGTGACGTGGCCCTCGTGCACCGCGGTGGGCAGCCGCTGGGAAGGCACGCGCACGAGTCTGCCCCGTCACGCGTCTGTCCCCTCCACCTCGACAATAAAGTAAATACACAAACACGTTCGCTTGACACGTCCCATCAGCCGCACGGGTCCTCATCGTCGTCGTCGTCTTGCTGCGAGTGCAGACGTGCGGCAGCGTCGACTCCGCGTGAGAAGTCTCACGAGGGTCATGGAGCAGCCGCAACAAAAACCCCCATACACAGAACGGGGTTCGACTTTCGGCGTCTCATCAGCAGCAGTCAGGCTCGCTTCAACCAACACTGTGGAACTGCCAGACGTCTATAGGCAAGGAGTCTCCCTCGGATAGTCTGTTTATTTATGTTGCTATCTGTAAAACAAATACATACTCGTATCTAGCAGATAAGGGACCTCGCCTACGAACGTCTGGGTGTTCTCAAGCGTTGGTTCAGGCGAGCCTGGCTGCTGGTGATGATGATGACCCTGAATGGCGAAACCCATCCTTGCCTGTAAACGCCCATCATTCACCAGCATTGGTTCAAGAGAGTGTGACTGCTGATGATGACCCTGAATGGCGAGAACCCATCCTTGCCTGTAAACACCCATCATTCACCAGCATTGGTTCAAGAGAGTCTGATTGCTGATGAGATACTGAATGGCGAAACCCATCCTTGCCTGTAAACATCCATCATTCACCAGCATTGGTTCAAGAGTGTGATTGCTGATGAGATACTGAATGGCGAAACAGGTCGAGTTGGTTTCATTCGTACTCGCCTTGAACTAATGCTGCTGAAAGTGTTGCACCCACTTACCGGGAGGAAGAGGCCGTGGGGCTGATGGGATGTGTCAAAAACAACACGTTTGAACGTTTATTATACGGAGGGACAGATCTGGGAAGGTGGCGAATGTGGTGTTGGGGCTGCTGTGCTGACCAGCCACGCGTGGTGACGGACAGCCCCAGCGAGAGGAGGCGGCGGGGGCTGCCTGCTGCAGTGCTTGGCGAGACGATGGTGATGCAGCACGTGCGCTGAACTTCTTTCGCGCCGTACGTAGCCAACCGCGCTAATCGGAGGTGCGGGGGAAGGACAACAAACACGAAACATAAAGCAAGCAGTGATGGATGTGCACCTGTCACACAGTGGATGTTGTTGATATAAAAACGACTTTAAAGAGGCCGACTCTGCGTGCGCGTGTGTGTCTCTTTGTGCGGCGGCGGGGGGAGGGGGTCTCCACTCTTCACCGTGCGGTGTGTTTGGCCGGATACAGTCGAGGGGGCTAAACGGGCACGGGCTGGAGGAGAGAGATGGACTGATTATGGTGCAGAGGGATGTCCATGGAGCTCAGGGGACTTGCCGACGACCCGTATCGGAAGTGTCAAGATCGGCCTCTGTGGAGGAGGTTCGAGAATGACGCTGCTGCTGCTCACAACAACGAGCGGAGCGCCGGGTGGCTAAAGCGCAGCGAGTTGGCGCATCAGCCAGTCTTCTCAGTCGGTCAACCCATGGGCACGCGAGTCTGTTCCATGACCTGCCCGCGGGCCTTCGACACTTCACGTGGTCTCAAAGTGCACCTAACCTGGCACAAGCGCCGTGGTGACGTCACCGTCACTTGGTGGTGAACGGGGCCGCTGTCTGTGTGTGGGGTGAGCGGTCAACGTCGTCACTGGGGAGACAAAGGCGGTCGGACATGGTGCTGGCCACACAACCCCCCCCCCCCCCTTGTGCCGTGTCGGCCGTCATAGGTGCTCGCGAACAACACTTGCTCCAACAGGCCGTTATGTCTACACAGGGGATCTTTGTCTTTGTGTGTGCGGGGGGAGCGGTGGTGCAGCGGTTAGCGCGCTGCGGCACTTCCAATCCGGCGACATGAGTTGGGATCCCGCTCACTGCCAACACCGGTGACGAGTATCTGAACCGGTCCTGGGCCTCCCCTAGGTCGACTTAGCCTCAAATGGCGACCCGGTGCGGTGTGTAACCCTCGCCACTTGGGAGGCAAAGGCGTCCGGGCGTGGTGCTGTGCTAGGTAAGGACCATTGCCTGAAACGTCGCTTTGTCATATATATTTCCTCTCAAGGCCCACACAGTGCTCGTAATGCCGAACGCGTTGAGTTTTCGACAGAGTCGATTCTTGAATCGATTTGCAAATGACTCAGCCACCCCCCCCCCCGCCCCGACAGAGCCACATGGCTCCTCCCAACCCGAGCTGCTGCGGCTGCCACGAGACGCGGTCGTGGACCGGTCCATTTGGGGCCGAGCGGGGGGTGGTGGAGTGGAGGCGATGACGGCGGCGCTTGTGAGGATCCCGCAGTGGCGAGGGCGACTTCCGTGCCAGCCGAGAAGGTGGCGACGCCGATTACCTGGCGCGGTGTGCAGCGAACATCGCCACTGGGGAGACAAAGGCGGTCGGCAGCGGTGCTGGCCACCATCGTCTGCCGTGTCGGCCTTCAGGGCGCTCGCTAGCAGCAGCAGGGGGGTCGTGGTGATTGTGTATGTCATGAGGTTCGTTGTGTGCGCCCCATCGCGTCTGATCTCACAAGCTAAGCAGGCGTGGGCCTGCCCCGCCACCCCGCATGGCACCGGCCGCGGTTCACGACTTGGCCATCGGGGGGCGTTGCGGGTAAGCGGAAGGGATGGTAGTGCAGAGACATCGATTCTTGAATCTATCCGTGCGGAGCTACGCGTAGTTGGCCGGTGTTGTCCCCGGCTCCTCCTGTCCTCCTCAACAGAGGTCGCAAACGGGTTTTGATTCCTTACCCGTACCCGGCCGCACCAGGGCTACCCGTACCCGGCCGGGTACGGGTAGCCGGGTATCGGGTAGGGTACGGGTATCGGGTACCCGGTTGCGACCTCTGCTCCTCAAGCTCCTGCGACGGACATCGGCCGCCGTGCGAGAGAGGAAGAGCCCGCTCAGGGTGACCCACGTGAAAGTGCCTCCGAGTGCCTCTCTCTCTCTCCCTCTCGCGCGCCTCGTCTCGATATCGCTCCATCGCTCACCCTCCTCCTACTCACCCTCCCCCTCCTCACCCTCCTCACCCTCCTCCTCACCCTCCTCCCCCTCCTTCTCACCCTCCTCACCCTCCCCCTACTCACCCTCCCCCTCCTCACCCTCCTCACCCTCCCCCTCCTCCTCACCCTCCCCCTCCTCCTCACCCTCCTCCCCCTCCTTCTCACCCTCCTCACCCTCCCCCTCCTCCTCACCCTCCTCCCCCTCCTTCTCACCCTCCTCACCCTCCCCCTCCTCACCCTCCCCCTCCTCACCCTCCTCACCCTCCCCCTCCTCCTCACCCTCCTCCCCCTCCTTCTCACCCTCCTCACCCTCCCCCTCCTCCTCACCCTCCTCCTACTCACCCTCCCCCGCTCCATCACCCCCCTCCCCCACAGAGCCTCTGCTCCCCGCAAAGCCCCCCCCCCCCCCCCGGAAGGCGGCCTGTGACCCTGCAGACCTCCCCTCCCGCTCGCTGCGTCGTTCCGATCCGCTGACATTCTGAGCCTGAAGGGTTTGGAGTGTGGGAAGAGGGAGGGGGGTGCGTGGGGGTGTGGAGGGGGGGGGGCTGGGCAGTCTGCCCCCCCCCCCCCCCACTCAATCCCCACAGTGATCGTCTCGAGCAAGAGTCGGGAAACTAAATAACAAGAAGAGCCATGTTCTTAGAATTCGGTAAAGAAGCCTCAATATTTAACGAGCGGCAATCCGCGTGAATGCACTCGGCAGCTATCACCATGCAGCGAGGCTCCCCTTGTTGAGCGATCATAATAACACTCGAGATAGCAAAGCCTCTCTCTCTCTTCGATATCGTCTGCTTGTTACTCTTGTGTTGCTTACACTAGCAGCCCGCACGGCTTCGGGACCGTCCGTCCAGGCAGCCAGCCAGCCAGCCAGTCAGCAAAACCTCGTTCTCATATGCATGTGTATGCAGTATGTGATTGTGCTTGTGCGCCACTGTTTGTCTTCGTGTCCGTGCTGGTGATGGTGGCGCCTCTCGTGGCTGCATGGGTGGACGTCTCCCTGCTGCCCCGCCGGAATCACTCGGCATTCATGTCCCCTCCACGTAAAACAAATATATAAATATATTATATAATGACAATATCGTTGTACGTTTTACTATCAATTACTGGAATTGGCCCAACGTCCCAATGATGATAGAACCACAGAGCTGGTGTCAGCTGTGGGGTTTCTCCCGGCGCTCTGCTTCCCTCTCACATGCGCCGGCCCTTTAAGGCCACAGTGTTGTTGTTGTTGACGAATGTGTCGGCTATGTTTCTGTTGGTTGTGCCTTTGCACCACAGCCATCGCAGCATCAGCGTCACCAGATGATTGGTTGAACGAATGTTCGTGGTTGTGGCACGCACTGCCTGCATCACAGCAATGACAACACGTGGCTTTCATCCAGCAGCGGATAGACCATTGCTGCTGCTGCTGCTGATGAAATTGGTGCTGGGTTACATAACACACGCCAACCGGCAGAGCAAGGCCGGATGGGGAGATGTGGGGGTGAGCGGGAGGTGAGCGTGGGGTGCGTGTGGGGTGAGCGGGGGGGGGGGAGTGTGGGGTGAGCGGGGGGGGGGGGAGTGTGGGGTGAGCAGGAGGTAAGCGTGGGGTGGGTGGAGTAAGCGTGGGGTGAGTGGGTTGAGTGTGGAGTGAGTGGGGTGAGTGTGGAGTAAGCGTGGGGTGAGTGGGTTGAGTGTGGAGTAAGCGTGGGTGAGTGTGGGATGCGTGTCGGATGAGCGTGGGGTGAGTGTGGTGTGAGCGTGGGGTGAGCGTGGTGTAAGCGGAGTGAGTGTGGGGTGAGCGTGGTGTGAGCGTAGGGTGAGCGTGGGGTGAGCGTGGGGTGAGTATGGGAGTGATCGTTAATACTTCACGGAGTTCAACTCTTCACCCCTCGCTGTCCTGTGTTAGTATTGCGAGCATGACCATTCACTCCGCTTGTTTACCCAGGACCGCCTCACTCGGCCTCAAAGCTCTTCACCATGAGGGCCCTGCCAAGCGTAGTTCACAGGAGGGAGGAGGGGCGATGTTGCTGCTGCCGCTGCTTCTGAATCCCAGTTGAGTAATTTGCAGTGCGGTGTTTCAGCATTGGGATGTTTGGCAAATACCAAACACATTGTGCGAGCGTGGTTTGTTTTTAGCTGTGGGAGGAAACGCGTGCAGAATTTGGGGGAAAACCTACAACAACCACTGACACACTTACCACTAACTCAGACTCTGCAGAGCACCCCACTCGAGAATCAAACCCAGGCACGTCGCTGTGAGTCACGAGTGTTGCCACTACGTGAACACCTCGTCTCGGGATGTTGGTGGCCGGGTCTGTAGTGCAGTGCGCTAACCACTGTGCCACCCACCGCTCCCCACGCAACGTTGCAGCCTTCTTCATGGATAGCTTCGTGCAGTGGCTTGTAGCCCTCACTGCAGCCTGCACCCCTTTAGTTCTCAATCGGAAAAAATATACAGTACAATGTTTAATATATACAGAGGCTTTGATGAAGCAGTCATTGTACTTACGTGCCCAAGATCCACTTGTGTTTTCGATAATTTACCTTCTAGAACAATCTGTCCGTGTCTCGCACCTCCAGGCGAAGAGCCGCTGGCTTAGTGGAACTCTTCCATCCTCATTAGCAAACACAGAACACCTCCGAGTCGCACTGTCGGCTACGTACGGCGCGAACGAAGTTCAACATGCATGCAATTGACACGGCACTGGCACACAGAACTGTCACGCACACCACTGACACGCACAGCAGTGGCGCTGGGTGTTGCCGCGATGATTGGGAACGCGCCTGCGTGGCAGTGGAAAGACGCGGATGTCGATGTTTAGTCTGTGCCGTGGGGTGGGCAGCAGGGCTGCTCTGCCTAATCGCCTGGGTCATTATAATTGATAATAGTTTAGAGTTTGTAACGCACACATAATTCGTTCCCCCTCCCACACACTATACACAACATGATTCAGAGACCCCCTGACACTAAACACGTGACTTTATTTGCCAGGTTCAGCCCACTGAGCTGTTCGTAGCTGGTTTAACACGGAGACTTTCGCGACCAATATCCATCAGACGTTGTTTTGGGTTAGATCGCGTAAATATGAATGTGCCGTTAAACCCGCCACCACCCGACGCGACCTTTTCCAGAGGCGACCCAGACACGCTGATAGCCAATCGCAGTGCCTCATCTCACCACACGTGAATCATCTCACCACACGTGAATCATCTCACCACACGTGAATCATCTCACCACACGTGAATCATCTCACCACACGTGAATCATCTCACCACACGTGAATCATCCAATCACAATCCACCACTTTCATGTGAAGGGTCTCTATGATTCAGGTGCTGGGCCTTCGGCCTCCTCTCACTGGGCTGCCCATCGCACACCTGCAGTGATTTTGGTCCACTCCACTGCTGGATGGGAGCCCTTCCCGCTTCTGCGCGGGTCCATGAGGGGTTACTTCACCATACTTCACTGTGTTCATGGGTGTTAGCGATTTGACACGGTTAGGTTTGAGTGGGATTGTTATTTTACAGGATTTGTTTTTCTCCAAGTCTCCTTGTGTTTGGTCGCAACGTTTTCGTCGTCACGCTCTTGTTGTCCATCGGTCGTGAAGGTGGCACTATTAGCGGCGCTCCGTTTGTTTTTGAAAATTACGATTTTTACCGTCACGTCACTTTTTGAATTTCAATCGCAGATTTCACCGCGATGTTGCATAAAACCGTGGCTTTACCGCTTCAATTACGCTGAAAATTGGATTAAATGCGTTTGTTTGGGGGCAAATGACACTTTCTATGGGAATTTCAATGAAACAGCGCCCCCTAGTGGTGAAACAGCGCCCCCTGGTGGTGAAACAGCGCCCCCTGGTGGTGAAACAGCGCCCCCTAGTGGTGGGTCTCCACTGGTAAAAAAAAGAATATCTGTCTCTGTCCTCCAGGTCTCCTTCACATCTGGTCCAGGATCGCCACCACCCCCCACACAGAGGCTCCATCTCGTCCCAGGCACCTGCCAATTAGACACCACAGAGAGACACACAGACAAGTCTTCAGACATCTCCTACAATGCCTTGGGGATATACATGGCGACACACACGTTATTACGATCACATTGGCACTCACCGTTTGAAAGTCTTGCTTGTTCCACGTCCCGAGAATTATTGTCCTCGGCTGAGATTCGAACCTTGCACCTCCAGACTGCAGGGTTGTCTCTCATCGCTTGAAGCCACCGCGTCCTCACAGACGCAAGCGGGGCTCCGCACGGTGTCGTGATTGCACTGCGTGCAGCGGTGGCAGTTGTTAGATTGCATAGTGACGTCATCACGCAAATTTTTAATTGCGTGATGATGTCATCACGTAAACAAAAATTCGTAAACAAGTGTGGGAATTGAACCTGGATCGCCGGCTGCAAAAGCAAACCACATTCTCCTCTAGCCCACGAGGTAGTAGCAGATGTTGTAAATGTTCTTGGTTATTAAACCATCGTCGTTTTTCACATTCATTTCGATGTTTTTTTGTAATAATAAAATATTGCATTGTCAAAAAAACATCGATGTTACGGTTTACATTTGTTTTTTTTCGATTCAAGTTAGAAAAACATATTTTAACAAAAATTAATAAAAGAGCGGATTTGAACCTGGGACTTCATGACTGTCAGCCACCGCGTGCTACCCACGTGGCCACCGCATGTTGGTGATGTCACAGGAGGGCCTCACGTGGCTCAAGAGGCTGAGAGACGTCAACCAGACGGAGTGGACGCCGCTCCTCTGGAGTCGTTCGGCGTCTCAAGACGTCACTCAAATTCTCACGCGCCTCTGAACCTTCCTTTCAGAAGTTCAATGTGCGCGCGTTACTGAAGTTATTCATAATATGGGGGGGTTATTGGGTTAAATCGCGTAAATATGTGTCGTTAAACCCGCCACCACCCGACACAGCGCCTCTGAAGGCCGGCACAGCACCACGCCTGGCCGCCTTTGTCTCCCCAGTGGCGATGTTTACTACACGCCGCACCAGGTACTCATTCGAGGCTGAGTCGACCGAGGGGAGGCCGAGGACCGGTTCAGTTATTCGTCACTGGTACTGGCCGTGAGCGGGAATCGAACTTGGCCTGTGCCGGGTTCGTAGCGCAGTTCGTTAACTGCTGCGCCACCGCTCCCCACCCATCGAGCATCCCCCCCCCCTTCCATTGCCCTCCTCCCCCAATCCACTCCCGCTACCCCCTCCCTCTCTCCCTCGCCCTACCCCCCCCTACCGCCCCCCCTCTCACCCCCCTACCGCCCCCCCTCTCACCCCCCCTACCGCCCCCCTCTCACCCCCCTACCGCCCCCCCTCTCACTCCCTCCCACCCAACGACTTCCCATTGCCCCCCTCCCTCTAAACCCCCCCCCCCCCCGCGTGACGCTCCCTCCCTCCAACCGCCCCACCCCTCCCCCAACCTCCACCGCACGAAACCTCCCAGCCAATCGCAGCCGCGCCGGAGGGAGGGAGGGCAGGGAGGGGGGTTAAGCAAAGGACAAGACGCGCACGCCGAAGGCTCCCCCCCCCCCCCGGGCAGCCTGCACCACCACACACACAGAGACACACAGAGACACACACAGACACAGAGACACACACACAGACACACACAGACACACACACAGAGACACACACACAGACTTGATGTGTTCACTGCGGGGCGATGCGTTCACTGCGGTGTTATGCGTTCACTGCGGTGTGATGCGTTCACCGCGGTGTGATGAGTTCACTGCGGTGTGATGAGTTCACTGTGGTGTGATGCGTTCACCCGCGGGTGAGCTCAAGCGAGCCCGACTCTGGTGGTGCTGATGAGGACATCAAACGTCGAAACCGGTCCGGAGATGTTTGCTTGCGTCGAACCGATGATGCCGACACTAATGCCACTCCCAGGAGGAGGAGGCGGCCGAGTGGTTGATGATTAAAAACTAACTTTGTTTTAACGTGGGAAGGATGTGAATTGCCCGCTTGTTAATGTTGATACTCAGTGAAGCTTTCCCGGACAAACAAAGTGCATTGCTGTTATGGGTTGGCGGCGGGGGGGGGGGGGGTAAAACCGTGGGAGAGAGGCACGGGCGAGATATCGTGGCCACTGAAAAGGTCTCATTGCCCGAAACGTCAAACACAGTTGCTGAACACTGCCGGATTCATTTATTTGTGCTCGTTCACCCAAGGAAAGCCTCGCTGGAGTCTCAACTCCCCCTCCACCAGTCCTGCTGCCAGGCGTCCACAGTCGAGGGGCGATGCTGCTGCCGCTGCTGCCGTGCAGCGATCCCAAGCGAGGGATTTGTGCCGCACTTTGAGGATGTTTGGCCAACGCCGCTCCCACTCCCGTTTCTTGTTGCGCCAAAGGGCCTGCGAGTGATGCGACTGGTGGTGGTGGTGGCAGCTACGCTGCTGCTGCTACACGCGGCTGCTGCTGCTGCTGCTACACGCGGCTGCTGCTGCTGCTACACGCGGCTGCTGCTGCTGCTTCATACCCTGGCTCGCCCAGGAAAAGGCGGGTACAGCCAAGTGTGGACTAATGTCCATCTGTTCCATCTATACGTGGGGGGTAGAGTGTTGCCCCTTGGCTCACGCACGTGGGTTTTTTTTCCAGCTGCTCCGGCTCCCACACGTGTAAACGCTCATTATATGGCCGATAACACCTTCATATATAGAGGATTGAAGAGCTTGGGGGAAACTTGTTGCCGGCTCATCACCGCGTGGCGGCTGCTGCTGCTGCTGCCTTCCCGCTCCTCGTCTGTGGTCCCCCCCTCTCTCCCTACGGGAGCGAGGAGCGGAGACCGTGCGGTGCTGAACGCAGTGCTCCGAGTTGAAATGATTATTATCATTACAATGATGCACTTGTGTGTATCTGTAAATTTTACTTTATCATTGAAGCTTTAAATTTGGGTTGAACAGACACGCACAAAAAGGAAAAGATCCCCCATATAGGCGTATCAGACTGTTGGGGCAAGTGCTGTTAGCGAGCACCTATGAAGGCCGGCACAGCACACGAGGGGGTGGGTGGCCAACACCACGCCCGGCCGCCTTTGTCTCCCCAGTGGCCGTGAGCAGGAATCGAACTTGGGGCACCGGGTTCGTAGCGCAGCGCGCCAACCGCTACACCGCCGCTCCCCCGCACAGAGACACTCGCCACAGACAACCCTGGGGCCGCGTGCATCTCCCAGGCCTCGGGGTTAGGCCAGGAGGTTAGGCCAGGAGGTTAGGCCAGGAGGTTAGGCCAGGAGGTTAGGCCAGGAGGTTAGGCCAGGAGGTTAGGCCAGGAGGTGAGGCCTGGTCCCTACGCGACACAAGTCCCGGGCAGCAAGGCCGCTCGAGCGCCATCTCGGACACCAGCATCGCCCCCTACTGCCTCGACTCGGCTCGACCTTCCTGAACAAAACAACGTCTCGAGACTTCGGTGAGGCAAGTCACCCTGCCGACGGTGAGTCACCCTGCCAATAAACACACGTAATCATGATTGTGTTTAAGCGGAAAATAATGGCACTTTATTTTGCCAGCTCCACACAGCAGCAGAACAGCCGTACACACGGCACGCTGCCATATACACACAGCACACACGCGCACACACACACACAGCGGTACGCACACACGACTACCGCCCTATGCACACACGAGCAGGAGGGTTGTTGTTTCATGCATGGACGGTGTTGTGGGGTTTTTGTTTTTTGACTGCAAATGGGAGCGCGTGTGATCTAAACCAGCGTTGGGCTCCGGCGAGGTTTGGTGGAGTTGACTTTGTTTAACCGGGCGAGGACTCAAGAGGCCCGGACAAGCGTCTCGATGGGAAGGGTGACCTAGATGAGTGAGTGGCTGCCTGGCTGGCCAGGTGGGTGAGTGGCTGAGTGAAGGAGTCAGCGAGGAGGCAGGTGAGTTCAAGTGTCACGAGTTTCACCAGGCGAGAACTCAAGAGACCACGACAGTCTCATTCACATGAGCGACCAGTTGAGTCACCCTCGTGGAGGTGAAGGCCTTGCTGAGTCACCCTGCTGACTGTGCGAGTCACCCCACGGAGTCACCCGGCTGAGAAGTCACCCCGTGAAGTCACCCCACGGAGTCCCCGTGCGGGGAGGGTGCGAGCGCCCAGGAGGCCGCGCGAGCGATCTCCACCAGCGCCGCCGCCGCCCCCACGGCCAGGGCCAGCGCCAGCCCCGCCGCACGCACCGCGGGGGCCACGCGGGCCCGTAGGGAGGCCCCCGCGGTGGGGGGCCCCGGGCACCCCCCCCCGGCACGTTCACCGCCCCCGCAGCAGCCGCCAGCCTGGCACGACGCCGGTTCCCGCTGGGTGGGGGCGACACGCGGGGGGGTCGGCAAGGGTCGGGGGGGGGGGGGGCAGGGGTTGGTGGAACACGTAGATCCACCGCCCACCGTCTCTCGCAGGCTTCAAGAACTGTGTCCCGCTCCTCTACGATCACGACGTTCACAACGATGCATTTTGTTACTGGCCGCTTCATGTTTTGGCGGTGGTTTTGGTGGTTGTGTTGACCATGGGCTCTACAGATGGAATGCGCCTTACAAATGTTCATTATTGTTTACATTTGAGTCTCAGGCTCTCAGCAACCGTGATAAAAAAACACGAACTCCCGCACCCGTCCCCCCAGCGCGGCTCCGCCGCGTCTCACCTGGAGCAGGAGGCCCGACACAGCGCCACGGGGGAGCGGGCGAGCGAGGGGCGGCGGCGGCGTGGTGGTGGTGGTGGTGGTGGTCGGCTCAACGGGGCGCCCCTTCAGGAAGTGCTTCCCGGCCTCCACGATGTCCACCTCCACCATGCGGCCCATGAGCGCGGGGTCACGGGGAACGAGCACCTGGGCCACCGCCACAACCGCAACCACCACGCGGTCATCACCACCACAACCACCACCACAACCACCACGCGGTCATCACCACCACAACCACCACGCGGTCATCACCACCACAACCACCACGCGGTCACCACCACCACAACCACCACGCGGTCATCACCACCACAACCACCACGCGGTCATCACCACCACAACCACCACGCGGTCACCACCACCACAACCACCACGCGGTCATCACCACCACAACCACCACGCGGTCACCACCACCACAACCACCACGCGGTCATCACCACCACAACCACCACGCGGTCACCACCACCACAACCACCACGCGGTCATCACCACCACAACCACCACCGCACAGTCAAACCCACCCAAACAAGATCCCCCGTGGAGTCTTTACCAGACCTTTGGAGGCCGGCACGGTACACGAGAGGGTTGGTGGCCAGCACCACGCCCGACCGCCTTTGTCTCCCCAGTGGCGATGATTTAGCACAACGCACCAGGCACACACACACACACACCTGATCGTAACACTTGTTGTGTGCCACGTAGAACTGCCCGTCAAACGACTCCTCCGTCACCAGCACCAGCTGCCGCTCCCCGACCTGCAAGCCCCCGGATACATCATCGGTCGCAGATCATGGGGGGGAGTCATGTGGGGGGGGGGGGGGGGGTCACGTTGGAGGGGAGAGGGCACGGGTGGAACGCTCCGCGGATTTCCAACACTACTGCGGCGACAGCCGGAGCGTAAAGATATTCCAAGTGCTCTCCGCTCACAACACATCGAGGCTCTCACAAAATAAAACATTTAACGGCTTCAACAGGCCCCCTCTACCCCCCTCCCCTCCCGCAGCTGTCCCCACTCACCGTCAGCGCTGCCCCCCCCCCTCGGGGCGTGCCCCCCGCTGTTTGACCACGGTTCAGCCGCCATGAAGGATAACGCACGCACGGGAGAACAAATCCCCAATGCGCCCCCTTCCCGCCGCACCCCCTCTCCCGATCGCGATGCGAACGCTCGGAATGGATTATCCGTGTCGACGCGCCTTGCCCCCCAACCCCCAAGTCTAACGTGCACGCACGCACACACAACAAACACAAAGATCCCCCGTGCAGCCTGTGGGGCAAGTGTTAAGCGAGAAGCAGCAGCTACGAAGGCCGGTACGGTACACGAGGGGGTGGGTGGCTAGTACAGAGCCTGGCCACCTTTGTCTCCCCAGCGGCGATGATTACGCATCGCACCAGGTGCTGAATTCTGAGTCGATCTAAGAGAGAGGCCCAGGACTGGTTCAGACAATCACCGCTGGTGTTGGCCGTGAGCAGGAACCCAACTCAATTCGCTAGGTTAGTAGCGCAGCGCGGCTAGCCACTGAGCCACCGCTCCCCCCACTGCACGCACACACACACCGCCTGTGTGCATGCGTGCGTGCGCGTAGCTGTAGCAGGAGAGTGTCTCATCCGCATTAGTTCTGCCCCAGATACAGGCACCCCCCTCTGCTGCGGGCCTCCAGACGGCAAAACTCCCCGCGTCTCTCCACTTCTCTCGTCTTGTTTTGTGCCTCCGTGTCCCTCCACGTCTAACTGTATCTCTCTGCATCTCTGTGTCTATTTGTCTGTCTGTATCTCTGTGGGTGCATCACATTCGTGTATGCGTTTTTGTTGTGTGTGCGAGTGCGGGGAGCGGTAGAGTAGTGGTTAGTGGCGACCCGAGTTCAATTCCTACTCACAGCCAACACCAGTGACTATTATCTGAACCAGTACTGGGCTTCCCCTAGATCGATCCAGCCTAAAATTAGTACCTGGTGCGATGTGCAAACATTGCCCCTCGAGATACCAAGGTGGCCGGGAGTGGTGCTGGCCACCCACCCCCTCGTGTGCTGTGCCGGCCTTCATAGGTGCTACTCGCTAACAGCACTTGCCCCAACAGTCTGTTACAGGCTACACGGGGGATCTTTGTGCGCCGTTCCGCGCTCACCTTGTGCCCATACGTGTTGTAGGAACGGAACAGCTGGGACAGCTCCTTTGTTCTCTGCTTTTTCTGCACACACACACACGCGGAAGTGCACATACGCACACACACACAGACACATAAATGCACACAGGACACAAACACACACACACACGGGAACACATATAAACACACAATCGCACACACAAATACCCCCCGTATAGCCTTAACAGACTGTAGGGGCAAGTGCTGTTAGTGAGTACACACACACACGGAAGCACGCACACACACGGGCACGCACACGTGTGCACAAAAAACAAGAAAAACACTATGTTGACACGCTTGTGCCTGTCTCAGTGTCTCTCCACATCTCACTGTCTCTCCGTGTCTCTCTGGATCTATCGGCATCTTCCTGTGTCTATCTGAGTCTCCGTGCCTCTCCATGTCTGCGTGTCTCCCCATGTCAGCCTGCGTCTCCATGGCTCCGTATCTCTCTGCGTGTCTGCCACTGCGTGTCCGCGTCTACGCGTGTCTCAGTGTCTGGGTCTCTGCGTGTCCGCGTCTCCGCCTGTCTCTCTGTGCGTCCGCCCGTTCGTTCAGGGTGGTGGCGGAGGGTCGCGACCTCGTAGGCGGGCACGGGTGGCATGCGCGCCGCGGGCGTGCCAGGCCGTGGGTAGAACTGGTTGATGAAGAGGCTGGGGAAGCGGAACTCCTCCACCAGCCGCACGGTCTCCGCAAAGTCCTCCTCCGTCTCGCCGGGGAAGCCGCAGATGATGTCCGTGGCGACGGTGATGCCAGGGACCCTGGGGTGGGAAAGGGGGGCGTAGGAGGTCGGAGGGGGGGGTCACCGTGTGCCGTGCCGGCCTTCATAGGTGCTCGCTAACAGCACTTGCCCCAACAGTCTGTTTAGGCTATACGGTGGATCTTTGTCTTTTGTGTGTGTGCATGTGCACGCGTCTTCGCGTGTTCGCGTGTGCGCGTGCGTCCCTTGCCTCTCCCGCAGGAAGCGCACGACGTGGCGGAAGTCGTCGGCGCTGTACTCGCGCCGCATGGCGGACAGCACGGCGTCGGAGCCTGACTGCACCGGCACGTGCAGGAAGGCGTAGACGCGCGGGTGGCTCAGCACGCGCGCCATCTCCTGCTCGCACGCACGCACACGTGGACACGCACGCATGCGTAAACACGCACACACGCACGTGTGAATACGCACGCACGTGTGGACACGCACACACGCGTAAACACGCACACACGCACGCGTAAACACGCACACACGTGTGGACACGCACACACGCGTGAACACGCACACACGTATAAACACGCACGTGTGAACACGCAAGCACGCGTGCGTATACATACACATGCAAATGCGTGCATGTGTAGACGTGTGCGTGTTTTTTAATAAAAGCCACTCCGGGTTTCACAGTTTCCTGCTCCGTGTAGAGGAGTGAGCGGAGGACTGAGTGAAGGACTGTCCCCCCCTCGTGGTGACTGGAGCCAAAACTAGTCCACCGGACCACGTGTAGCACACAAAAGTCCAGGCGGTCGCGGTCCAACTCCCGATTGGCAGCCTCTCTCCTCCCCGGCGAGCGTTCCGACATTCCACATGACCAGGTGCAGGTTTGTGGGGTGGAGTGGGTTCAGTGTCCGAGCTACGCCAGACAGGGTTTGGCAAGCAGACGCCAGGGGCGGCCGTCCCCCCCCTCGGGGTCTCCGGCACGAGCTCAGTGCGTCGTCTCCGGGGTTCTCTCCTCAGGTGGAGGGGTCACCGGCACCTCGTGCCCGTGCAGCGCCGTGAGGATAAACAACGTCGGCCAATGGCATTGCTCGCAGCACACCGCAGTGCGGAGATCCCCGTGTAGCCTGAACCGACTGTTGGGGTAGGTGCTTTTAGCAAGTAGCAGCTATGAAGGCCAATACGCGTGGGTCACCAGCACCACGCCCGGCCGCCTTTGTCTCCCCAGGTATTCATTTGAGGCCGAATCAACCTCATGGAGGCCCAGGACCGGTTCAAATACTCGCCACTGTTATTAACCCTGAGCAGGAATTGAACTCGTAGCCGGGTTCGTAGCGCAGCACGCTAACCGCTGCCCCACCGCTCCCCATTGCGTTGACAAAACACACGCAACAGAGGTACCCTGTATATAGCCCACAATGGGGCAAGTGCTGAGAGCGAGCGCCTCACCCCCCCCACTCTGCCTTGTACTCACACCCCCCCCGCTCCACGCCCGTGCCCCACGTGCCCCATCACCTCCAGGTGCTCGAGGATGTAGGGTGGGTTGGTCATGCCCAGCCGCATCATGGCCCCCTCCGGCACCGTGTCCACGAGGCGCCACAGCAGCGTCGGCAGGTCGGTGCCCAGGTCGCGCCCATAGGCGCCCGTGTCCTCGCTCGTGAGCCACAGCTCGCGCACGCCCTCTGTGCCGCACGCACGCACGCGCCCGTCACGTGAACACGCGGTGGCACACACAGACGGAGATCCCCCGTGTAGCCTTGACGGGCTGTTGGGACAAGTGCTGTCAGTGAGTAGCAGCTGTGAAGGCCGGCGCGGCACACGAGGGGAATGGGTAACCGGCACCGCGTCCTGTCGCCTTGGTATCCCGAGTGGCGATGTTTGTTATACGTCACACCAGGTACTCATTTGAGGCTGAGTCGACCTAGCGGAGGCCCTGGACCAATTCAAATATTTGTCACTGGCGTTGGCCATGAGCAGGAATCGAACTCGGTTGGCGCACTGCGCTAACCACTGCACTATCACTCCCCCAGTGCACACGCACGCACAGATGCACACACACATGCGCTCATATTGTTTGGATCTTTCGGTAAAGTCACGTAGCTCTATCTCAGCGACTTTACCGAAAGAACCAAAGAATATTAATTCCTGCAGTCACGAAAGTTTTAAGCCAAAATGTACACACGCACTCGCCCATTCACACAGCCAACTCATTCACTCAGCAACGCACCCACATTACAAATATATCACTCGCTGCACTCACACACCCACGCGATTACTCACCCACCCACTCACCTTGGAAGGACTGCTGTGCCCTCTCCACCAGCTGCTCCACGGGGTAGCTGGCGAGCTCTCCGCGGGCGTGCTTCGTCTTGCAGTAGGTGCACGCGTTGAGGCACCTGCCGGCACAGAACGCGCGCTGGCATCCTCGTGACATCATCGCCGCTCACCATATCCTCACCATATCCTCACCGCGTCTTCACACCCACAGTCACCCACAGTCACCGCACTCGGCAAACACGCGTCGCACCGCGCACTCCGCATGTACTGATCATACCAATTAGCGCGGGTGCACACACGCACGTATATATGAAGACAAAGATCCCCAATGTAGCCGTTTACAGGCTATGGAGCCAAGTGCTGTTAGCGAGCAGCACCTACGCAGGCGGCACGGCGCACGAGGCAGGCTGTCTGGTCAGCAGCGCCACGCCCGGCCGTCTTTGTCTCCCCAGCGCTCACGTGTGCAGTACACACCTCGGGCCAAGTGCGAATTTCGTGCCGAGTCGACCTAGGGGAAGGCCCGGGATTGGACAACTCAGCCCGGACCACTGTAAGGGCCACGGGTAAGGGCCCGTCCATGGGGGGGTGCGGGGCCCGAGGCGACTCACACCGCGGGCCCCCCAAAGTGCAGCGTCCGGGGCAGTCGCCCCGATTCGTCGTCACCCCAGGGACGGCTCTGCGCTCGCGGTCCCCTTCAGCTGTGGTCAGCGGGGCCGCTCTGCGGGCCACGCTCCCTACCCCCCCTCCCCTCGCCTGCCCCCCACCCCCCCTCCCCTGCCCCCCACCCTCCCTCCCCTCGCCTCCCCCCCAGTCGTGCGTTCTCCACCCCGCCGTCCCTTCTCTGCGAGATTTCAATTGATCGATCCGGTCCCTGTGATCCCGCGCGTGACCTTTAACCCCCCAGTATCGACCTATGACCACTCTAGGTGTCTCTGGGGGAGGGGTGGGCGGCACTGCGATGTCCAGATAACAGCACCGGCTGTCTAATTAGGCTGATTTAACGTCAGGGAGAGAGTGAGCGCGGTGAGGCGCAGTGGGGGGGTCGCAGTCGAGGGGGGGATGGCGGTGGAGGGGAGAGGTGGGGTGCATTTTAAAAGGCGGCAAGATTGCACAGTGACGCAATGGGTGGATTTTATCAAAACACAGCTGAATAATATTGCTAAAAACCCTCCCGTGTAGCCCACACCGGCCTGCTGGGCCAAGTGCTGTTAGCGAACCCCCTATGAAGGGCGGCACAGCGCGCCTACCAAGGGTCGATGTGGCCGGCACCACGCCCCGGCCACCTTTGTCTTTGCCTGCACACGGTGGCCTGCTGGCATCGATGATGTCACGGGGCCCCTGACGTCCCCCGTGACGGCAAGCCGCGGTCCCACTACGGTGCCCGCACGTGAGGCCGGGAGGGTGCAGGGGGGGGCGGGGGTACCGGGGGGTTTGGGGGGGGGCCTGTGAGATTCGAGGGCCCGGGGGGCCATGCGTAGACCCTCACCCCGTGTTGATGGAGATGATCTCTATGAGCGGGTTCTTGCGGATCTTGGGGAGGTCCAGGGGGGCGCCCCCTAAACGCTTCCCATTCTCCTTCTTCTGCCCGAACAGACGCACCGTGTGACCTGTGTGGGGAATGGGGGGAGGGTTGCAAGGGTTGTGCAAAATCATAAACTGCGAGCTTGCTTTCCCAAGCGTGTCGCCTCGACCAATCGGATGCGTCGTGATTACGGGGGATGTGGGGGGGGTGGCGGGGGGCGGCCGTCAGGGCCTCACCTTTCAGGGTCTCCTCAACCACCTCCACGACGCGGTCGATCTGCTGCACCTGCACGGTCGCAGCGCACACGCACGCAGCTCAACACCATTCCTGGAGGTGACGTCCACAGATTGAAAACTTTCTTCCCGACGGGTAGCCCGAGTGGTTTCAAGCTTTAGGGTTATTTAGTTTGAACCAGGTGAGAACTCAAGAGACCAGGACAGTGTCGTTCCTCGGTCGCCGACATGACACGAGAAACGACGAGTAGTTTAGAAATCGGAGCAAAAGCGACCGCATTACAAAATAAATTGCCAACGGTGCACAAACGAGAATCAATAATCACGATGTAAATGTCCCGTAACGCAAGTTGGCTGGGACAAAACGGCTGACAAAACCCACTCGTCGTGAAATTAATTAGAGAAACGTCGAGTAAGCGCGGCACGGAAAAGGTTACGCGGTGAGAGGAGTATAAGATGCGGTGGGGGGGGGCAAGGGGTGGGGGGGAGGCACGGAGGGGCCGTGGGGGGGCAGGGGGGAGCAGCGGTGCGTGGGGTCAGTGGTCGTCATTACCCCAACAACGCTGAGGCCTTTTATGTAGCCTAGGCGAGGCTGGGCCTGTGGGACGCAGCCTGACACCACCACCTTGTGGCCATCAGCCAAGGCCTTCCTGTGTGGCACAACCACAACCGCCACCACCACCGTCAATCACAACCACAACCGCCACCGTCAATCACACAACCACAACAACAGGCACCACGATCACTCACATTACTACAGCCAGCACAGCCACCACTGATGCTGAAAGTGATGTTGCTGAAGATGTCCATTACAATGATGTTGATGATCACAATGAAGATTACGACAAGGAAGATGATGGAGCTGCTGCTGATGATGAGGATGCTGTTACGGATGCCGATAACACTGATAACACTGATGATGCTGGTGATGCTGACGATGCTGACGATGGTGACGATGCTGACGACGCTCACTGCACGGCGTTGCGGAAGTGGTCCTCGGCTGGGCCCTTCACTGTGCAGCTGTTGAGCAGCCAGAGGTCGGCCTCACTCGGGTCGTCTGCAGTACACGCGCACACACGCGCACACGCACGCATACACGCACACATGGGCGCGTGGCTGATTGGGTTGGAGGTGAGTGAATAGGTGGGTGTGGAGTTGGGTGGGTGAGTTCGTAGTTGGGTAGGTGGGTAGTTGGGTTGTTGGGAGGGTAGTTGAGTAGGTGGGTAGTAGAGTGGGTGGGTGATTAAGTGGCTTGGTGGATGGGTAGCCAGGTTGGTTTGCAGCTTTTTTGAGTGGGTAATTGAGTGGATAGCTGGGTGGGTGTTGAGTAGGCAGGTAACTGAGTTGGTGAGTGAGGAGCTTGGTGGGTAGTTGAGTGGGTAGCTGGCTGGGTGGTCGAGTGGGTCATGAGGTTATTGAGTATTTGGGTGGGTGAGTCTATTGTTTGGTGAGTGGGTAGCTAGGTGGGTGGGTCATTGAGTGGATAGTTGGGTAGAAGAGTGGCTGGGTGCATGGGTGAATAGCTGGGTGGGTAGCTGGGTGGGTAGCTGAGTGGGTAACTGGTGGGTAGCTGAGTGGGTAACTGGTGGATAGCTGGGTGAGTAGCTGAGCGGGTAACTGGTGGGTAGCTGAGTGAGTAGCTGAGTGAGTAACTGGTGGGGACCTGAGTGGGTAGCTGGGTGGGTAGCTGAGTGAGTAGCTGAGTGAGTAGCTGAGTGGGTAGCTGAGTGAGTAGCTGAGTGGGTAGCTGGGTGGTGCCGTGCACCACACCTGTGATGCGGTAGCCGTAGGCGGCGAGCTGCCCCGCCATGTACTCCGCGTCGGAGCTGTTGTGCGAGCAGCCCCACGTGCGCACGTACACGGAGTGCGTGCCGGGGATCACGCTGCACACCGACACGCGCAGCAGCAGCATGCACAGCAACACGCACAGCAAACTCACTCAGCGACGTTTCACCAATAATTACGACTTCATCAGGCGACAGCCTGACAAATCTGTCTGTCGCCAGTGGTGTAATGCTCGCGCTGATTGGGATTGCGGATTGGGATTGCGGGGGAGCGGGGGAAGCAGGGGAGGGGGGAGCGGGGCAGGGGGGAGCGGGGGAGGGGGGAGGGGGGAGCGAGGGAGCGAGGAAGGGGGGAGCGGGGAAGGGGGGAGCGAGGGAGGGGGGGGGAGCGAGGGAGGGGGGAGCGGGGAGCGAGGGGGGGGGGAGCGAGGGAGGGGGGAGCGAGGGAGGGGGGAGCGGGGAAGGGGGGAGCGAGGGAGGGGGGAGCGAGGGAGGGGGTAGGGGGGGAGCGGGGGAGCGGGGAGCGAGGGAGGGGGGAGCGGGGAAGGGGGGAGCGAGGGAGGGGGGAACGAGGGAGCGGGGGAAGCAGGGGAGGGGGGAGCGGGGGAGGAGGGAGCGGGGGAGGGGGGGGAGCGAGGGAGGGGGGAGCGAGGGGGGGGAGCGGGGGAAGCAGGGCAGGGGGGAGCGGGGCAGGGGGGAGCGGGGAGGGGGGAGCGGGTGAGCAGGGCGAGCTCACCTGTCAGCGAGCACTTCCTCCCGCTGGGTCGCGTGAGCCCCCCGGCGGCGGGCGCGGGGGACGAGGTGGGGCCGTGGGGGGCGCCCCCCCACCTCGTCGCCCTCCCCCAGGATGTCCTCAATGTCCTCCAGCTCAGCCTCGCACGGCTCCGGCATCGCGGCGACCCCCGCAACGAGACGGCGCAGCGCTCCCCCGTTACCTGGCCCGACCAAACACAACCGACTCGGTCAATAGCGGCCTCGATCCATCAATCAATAGCGGCCTCGATCCATCAATAGCAGCCTCGATCAATGAATATCAGCCTTGATGAACATCAACCTCTATAATAACAGTCTCGATCAGATCTCAACACCAGTCTTTGTCAGATATTATTGTGTCAATCTAGGAGCATTTTTTGTAAGAGAGGAAATATCCTTGCCCATAAACATCTGTTGATTGATCAGCATTAGTTCCAGCAAGCCCGGCAAGCCCGACTCTGCTGATGAGACGCCGGATGTCAAAACCAGACTACACACACCTGGCGATTCACAAACATTAGTACAAGACAGCCTGACTGCTGATGAGACGTTTAACATCAACACCGCTCGAGAGTGTTGCTGTTCTGTTGAACAAGTGCCGATGCAATGCCGCACTCCGCGACGAGCTGCTGATGGGATGTGTAAAAGCGAATGCTTCTACGTGTAGGCACAGATGTGTGGACGCGTATTGTATTTGAGTTGCCTCATTCTCGTGTGTGCACGGGGTGACACTCACAAAGATGCACCTACGTACGGCGCGAAAGAGTTCAACATGCGCACGTGCGTGGAAGCGAGCGGCACCTATGAAGGCCGGCACGGCACACGAAGGGTCGTCGGTGGCGAGCACCAATCCCGGCCGCCTTTGTCTCTCTTAGTGTCAATGTTTACGCACCTCACCACGTATTCATTTGAGGCTGAGTCGACCTAGGAGAGGCCCAGCACCGCGATCGATCCCGCTAAGGCAACAGCGACCACGCACCCAGCGTGACGCTCGCGGAGCTACGGGGCGTCGCACGAACCAAGCCGCGTCAGACTCGCAACGCGTTTTGTTAATTTAGACTTCAAAGTTTTGTGACTGCAGGAATTTATATTCTTTGGTTCTTTCGGTCGTCAGACATTTGTGACGATGTGTGACGAGGGGGGGGGGGGTGAGAAATGTGACGTCACATCAAAATGCGCAACTTTTAAATAAATATAGACACCACGTTCTACCTAATTAAATAGACTTTTTAATGTTTTCTCCTACAACATCAGAGTGCAGCGCCACATTAAATACGCACTACAATGACAATAGTTTAAAGCGATTTGAAGCATGTTTTATTTGGGGGGGGGGGGGGCAGAGCTTTGTGACGTCATATTTGAGGGGGGGTCTGACTTTTTGTGACGCCGTGTGACGAGGGGGGGGGTCAAAAATCGTCCAAAATCGCGTGACGTCATTTATGGACGGCCCCCTGGGCCTCCCCCTAGGTCGACTGAGTCTCAAATGAGTAGCTGGTGCGGTGCGTAAACATCGCCACTGGGGAGACAAAGGCGGCCGGGCGTGTTGTTGGCCACCCACCCCCAACGGTCCTGCCAGGCTACACGGGGCATCTTTGTCTTTGGCCGACACTGGACACTTTTTCCGGCTCCTGTTGCATTTTCGCGTTCGCGTTTTGTCCCCCGCGGCCCGCCGTAGCCCCCCCCCCTTCCGCGTGCCGCCACGTCTTGTGATGACATCATCCCTTCCCCTCCAACGGTTATCGTGACGTCATCATCCCGCCGACGTGACGTCACCACCTCGCGGGCGTGACGTCACGTCATCTCGGGCCGCCAAGCTTGCCTCGCCAAGTTGTGCACCGCGCTCAGGTGAGTGACTCCGCCGATTCCACTCGGCGCCGTCTTCCCGCTCGCTCGGCCCCGTTCTCGCGTCGGACGCCCGCCCGGCCACCACCGCCTAACTCCCCGCCCCCCTCGCGCCGCCCCTCACCCTCCCGTGCGCCAGGGCCGCCGACTCTAGCTGCGGCCTAACACCGACCCGAAGCCTCGGCGTTGCCTGGAAACGCAGCCGGGCCGAGTGGCCGCTATTCCCGCAAGCTCGAGCCGGCCCCTCGCAGGGCCTCCTCCCCCGCCGCGGGACTCCAGGCGACAATGTATTGCCTGCAGTGGCTGCTGCCCGTGCTGCTCATCCCCAGGCCCCTGAACCCGGCGCTGTGGTTCAGCCACTCGATGTTCATGGGCTTCTACCTGTTGAGCTTCTTCCTGGAGCGCAAGCCGTGCACGATCTGCGCCCTCGTGTTCCTGGTGGCGCTCTTCCTGCTCTGCTACAGCTGCTGGGGCAGCTGCTTCCTCGCCCTGTGCGGAGACTCGGCGCTGTCGGGCGGCGCGCCCGACCCCGCCGTGGTGAGCACCTGGCTCAGCAGATAAAGCGGCGGCGGCGGAGGAGGCGGAGGATGGACGAGCAGGAGGAGGAAGAGCGGACGGTCCCGAACGGCGCTTTCTTTCCCTCGCGTCGGTGGTTCGCTGCCGCTGCTGTCGTATGGCCTTTGAAGAGCAACAGTTCGATGCTTAGTTGTGATTTGGCCATTTAATTGCCGTGTTTGAAAGTTGGTGCATTGCAGACACACACATTCACCCCGCCACCTTCCCTTGCACGTATTGGGCAGTGCGACGAATTGGCCAGAGCTTGGAGTTCGTAGTCACACGTTAGAGAGAGGAGAGTCTGTGATTGATTCTGCTGTGCGTTGGCGAGCCGCATCCTCGTGGTTTGCGCGGATCCGGCGAAGCGCTGATTGTTTCTGTAGGAGACCGATGGCATGCAGTGTGGCGGCTGGGCTCGCTCGCGAGATATTCGTTGAGCGCGCCGTTGTGGGTGTTGGGGACATTTTGCGATTCCTTTGCTCTTAAGTGGAGTGCCGTTGTAGTCGCTTTCGAACCTCACATGGGCCCCCCTCCCCCGCCGCCTTCGTTACCCTGAACGCACCGCGCTGCGCGCCGGGGTCGCCGATAGCGGTGTGGAGGTGCTGAGACGGTCCCCGCACCACGAACTGTCCCTTCGGCCCAAGCCGAGTTGACTCTCATGAGCGGTGCGAGAGTCCCTCTGACGATGGGTCCCCCACAGCAGCCCTACTGCCCCCACACTACGCCCGACAAACTCATCAGACCCGTCCCGTGTGCAGTGTGTGCATGGCCACCAACGCCTGGCGACGGTGGGCATGCACGTGGCCTGAATCCAGCGCCGTGGAGGAGGGGAGAGTGCAGGGTCTTCTTCACCCGGGTTTGTTTCAAGAGAAGGCAGTACAGCAAGCCGACTCATCGGCCTCTGTTTGTCCATCTCTCCGGGGGACGTGTTGCCCCCCTCGTGCCGCGTGGGGTTTCTCTGGGTGCTCCGGTTTCCTCCAAATTGTATAAACAATCATCGTTACAGTGATTTGCTCAACACATCTTAAAATAAAATAAAACAATGTAGCAGGACCCTGCTAAGTAAAACTTAATGAGGAAAAGTGTACAGATCGACAGGGCAGGTCTGTGGTCGATTCAAGGTTTGGGAAACATCATGGATCCACATCAGCGGTTGGAGATGTTTTGCTCCGCATTAACAGGCTGGCCAGACTTTACCCGAGCTTGCGAGTTGGGTATTTCTAATGGTCAAATTTGCAGACGTAATTCCTCCCGTGTGAAATTATCCTCCGTGCTTTTCTTGGCGAGGTCTCCCGCCCATTTACGAAGGCAGACTTTGTAAACGGAGGGAGATCATGGTTCAACAAAAATATAACCACAAACCACTAAAGGAAAAGCAAATACGTTTTTAGAAAGGCCTTCAACTTACATCTTAGTTGCAGTGTGTGGCATCGTACTTGTGTTCACCTTGCGATGACATCGACTCACCCACACGAGCGATAAGGACTGTGGCGTCGTGGGACTTACAAGATGACCATGTCGGAAGGCCATCCTGCGGTGGATACAACTCAAGGCACACACGACGACGTGTGGACAATTTTAAAGCACAGCGCCGCACCGCGACGACTCGTGGGACGCGTGCACTGCGACGCAAGGATCGGATCCGACGTTTGTCTCGTTTTCTTCTCGACGCATCGCAGCCATCCTTTGCCCCCCGTGGGCCGCTCTGCGAGCCGTCTTGCATGGAGTGCGCCCCAATGGCGCGGGGTTGTGGTGCTGTTTGAAGTGAGCGTATCTTTTAATTTTTTTAATCGTGTATCGCCTCGTCAAGGGTGGAGGGGCAAGTCATTTAAAATCGAAAATCTTTAGTCTCGTAGGCACGTATCCCCAAGGCTGTGTTATCCTGCGCTTGCCAACGCACGAGTTTGAATTCTTTATTTCATCAAAACGAGTGAAATGAGCTTGCAAAGTTACGCGTCTGCGTGGCGATCCAGTCGCGTCGCATTGCTGATGCGACTGCATCGCTCTGACGGACGGAGCGCCTTGGCCGCCAGTTCACTCTTCTAATGGACACAAAGTCGGAAGGAGCGAGGGTGCTCTGGGTTTTAAGGTGCCAAGGCAGCGCCACTCATCTCCGGGGTTCTCATCCAGATTCAGCTGCCCGTCGTTACACTGGGTTCTGGAGTGTCCACCAATCCATGGTCTCAACCTTGTTACAAAGGGATGGATGCACGAAAAACAATCCCGTTATCGGTTAATGTCACTGATTCCTCGCTCTGATTTAAAAATATTCGTCTGATCGACCTGCGTCAAGCACTGTGTGCGAGGCATATACAACGAGTGCCCGGAGTGTGGGTCTGTGACTTCAGGAGTAGTTCTCTTGCATCTGCTTCCGATGCTGCTCCCTGACTAGCTGTATAGTTTTGAATAAAGATGGCTGTATCATGATAATTATAGCACAAGTAATAATAATTGGGGTAAAGCGTGTAATAAATTCAACTTTAAACTCGTGTTGGACAGAACAGGTCTTGGCATAAGAGCAGTTCGTTGACTTGGGTTTTTTCTTTTAACGATATCGGTCAACAATATAAATGTTTCCCCTGTTCCGCGTGCGCGACACCTTCACGTCTCATGTTGAAGGTATCTGGCTCTGGCAGCTGGGGAAGCCGTGTGAAGCCATGACATACAACACGTACGAATCCACAGGCACGTCTTAATCGCGCGCCGATTCATTGCAGAGAGTTTCGTGAGATTTAAAGAGTCTATGTTTATGGAATAATCATCGCGCCCGTAATGTCCCATGCTAGTCGGCGGAACTGGCCAATCGGCGGAACTGAAAAAAGGGGTCTTGAGACTCGGTGATACTCGTTCAAATGTTAAATGATCTCTACGCGCCTTGATTATAATTTCAAGCACACGTTTTTGCTCATGGTTTTGAGCCATCGCTGCTGCCACCTTCTCACACTTGTGGAGCAGTGTCGGCGTCGTTTTTACTTTTAAAAATAATCCACCGAACTGAAACTCCGCGTGCCACATTTGATTTTGCTTCCTTCAGCGCATTACGACTATCAGTAGCCGGCAGTAGGTGTGTCCAACATACCGCGCGCGTGTGTGTTGTCGCCGTGCTTGCACAAGGGGCGGGGGGGGGGCTGACACGCTAAGCCTGGTGCTGCTAGCCCCCCCTCTCCCCATCTGTGGGTCCGTGCGTGTCGCGATGTGATTATAAAACGTGTTCCCCCAGACTCCAGCCCTCGGGACCAGCCCAGCATGATAGGTAAACGCGCCAATACGCGTTCACGGAGACCTTTGTTGACATAGCCACGTAGATTTTCGCAGCCAACGCTATGATAGACACGCAATGCTAAATGGATTCATCTCAAAGCTTTCGTGACTGCAGGGATTCATTTTCTTGGTTCTTCCGGTATAGTCCCTTCTGCGTGACTTTACCGAAAGAACCAAGAATATGGATTCATCTCAGTTAAACCCACTGTGTGCCATTCTGTGAATGTAGAGTGTATCCGTGTGAATTGCACTGCGCATGTGTGTTTCAGCATGTTTGTGTGTAAGTGTGGTGGGGAGCTGTGGTGGGGAGCAGAGGCGCAGTGATTAGCGCACTGCGCTACAAACCCGGCGACGCGGGTTGAGTTCCTGCTCCCGACCAGTAACAGCGAATATTTGAGCTGTTTCTGGGCCTCCACAAGTTAATCTGTCTTGTATTTCTTGATTTTTATTTTGGTTTTATTCCCATGGTAACATTTCCAATTTCAAAGTCTACATATGTCCTCTCTGAAACAACAATGTCGTGCGATATTGAATATTTTTTGCAGTAAATTTTCTGCACTACGTCCGCTATCTCATGCTCGTGTGACAGTCGTCCTGAACCTTATTGCGGTGGGCGATACACCGTGATTGTACACGTGACAGTCGTCCTGAACCTTGCCGCGGTGGGCGAGAAACTGTGATTGTACACGTGACTATTGTCCTTCAGCTTACACCGGTGGGCGATACACCGTGATAGTACACGTGACAATTATCCTGAACCTTACCGCGGTGGGCGATACACCGTGATTGTGCACGTGACAATTGAACCTGCATGGCTGCGCCGGGTGATCGAGGGTCTTCCGACCGAAAGTTGTTCAGACCATTTGTTGCCGAACCCAATAATCTAAATGAGTTTAAGACGTGTGTACGTGCCCCACATGACCGCTGATTCAACTCCAGATGTCCCGATTCGTTACTCTTCTGTGTTTGGCCCCCATATTGATCTGGCCATATTTCCGTTGTGAGAGCCTCCACCACCATACGTGGCCAAACGAAATTAAATTATCACGCGGTGTACAAATGCTCGCACGCTTGGCTGCTTACCTCCGATTAGCACGGGTGACTACGTACAGTGCGAGAGACGTTCACCATACATACAAACGTCATTTTAACGCGCACAGAATTATTGTCGTTTCATCTTCACCGGTGAGTTGAAGAATAACTGGCACAGATCGTTAGGTGGCGTAACACATAAAAACAATTATGCATCGTAACATCGACTGCGAATAACTGCGTGTTGAGTCAAGATATCGTGTGCGTGTGTTTGTCCACGCGTGTCTCCTCCCGAATGTGACGCTACGTGCAGATCGTTTATTTCAACCGGTGTACCACCGACGTCACACGCGATGTCTTTGCCAATCACCAGGCTCGTGCGGCGTGTCGCGGTGGTGGCTGATGTGCACGTGGCCTGGAGCCGGCCACTGGAGGGAGGAGAGGGTGGCTCGCACGAAGTTGAAAAAGAAAGATGTAGGCCATGAGCCCAGACCAGATATTTCACTTTGTTGGTACCACGTGAGATGGTACAGCCAATAACAGTTGCTCATGTATGTGATCGTCGTTTGAGCAGGCTGTCATACATTTCGCCCCTATTAACCATGCAACTACATTGTAACTATCAGAGTTTACGAGAGTGTTTCCACCTTCATACCAACTTCTGCTCTGGACTAATCTGTGAGCGTAGCCGAGGCCGGCAGTGGTGATGATGGCGGTGGAACACGAGGACTGGAGCGTCCGTGAGCCACGCACAACTTGGTACCATCAAAGGTGTCGCAAAGCTTTAGCCGTACCGATTTATTTGCATGGCCAATAAGACTAAATGCGTTGTCCTCTGCTCATTTCAAATTGATATCGCTCACTGTTATTGGCCACAGTGAAATTGAAAACCGCAGAAGTAATGCCACCTCTGCTGTTACCTAACAAGTAAAACATTCATATCTCGAGTCTGAACTCTGAGTCGGTGGAAAATCGGACTGGCGTAGGCGTGCCCCGCGATAATGTGCGGCGCGTTCTCTTTTTAAACCGACGGTGAAGCCACGACGCGAGTCCGTGGTGAGTCACTCGCTGTAACTACCCCCCCGCGCAAACAGACTGGAAGTGGCTGGTTGCCTGCCATATTATTTGCTCGCTGAAGAGTTGGGTTAGGAATTTCAAAATAAAGTTTCTACCGACGACAGTAATTTCCAATGTCGCTTTACCTGGCGCGTGGCGCCCGTGCGTGCTGGCGGCGTATCGACGCCTAACGACTCGGGGGGGGGGGGGGGGGGGGTGTTGTGTGTTGCATCGCCGGCAAGGTGACGGGGGAAACCCCCCGGGAGGGCTCAGCCGTCGGTGGCCAGGGCCGTCCGTGATGGGGGTGCGGGGCCCGGGGCAAATCACACTGCGTGGCCCTCCAACTCACGACGCCTTCAAACTAAACCATAAGTATTACATCTTACACCGTTACGTCGGAGCGATCACCCCCCCCCCCCCCCCTGTAAAGCGAGGGGCCCGGGGCAGTCTCACCAGGATGAGGTCACCACGAGGAGGAGACGGCTCTGCTGGTGGCTACGCCGCACGCCCAGCGCTGTGGAGGCAGCAGCAGCAGCGAGGGCTGATTGATCGCCGCACGCGACTATTGTGAAGCTTCCTACCCTCGTGTGGGCGTCGAGAATCCGTACCCGGGCTCGCCAGGAGATGTCAGCTGTGTGGGGGGAGGCGGTGTCGACGGACTTTCCCACGCGTGGGGCTTTTTGTTGTTTTCCGCGTGCGCGACATTTCACCACCAAGTGGCGGGGACGTCACCACGGCGCCTGTGCCACGCTCGGTGCCCCTTGAGGCCACGTGAAGTGTCGAAGGCCGCCTGGCAGAGGAGGTCACGGAGCAGACCCAGGTGTCATGAGGTTGACTGACTGGGACATCTGTAAACAAAAAGAAAAGAGCCGTAAAGCTCATCGGAGTCCTCCAGTATAAGTACAGACTCTGACGATAAAGATACTGATATATATCGAGGACCGCAGAGCTTGGGCAATTGTTGGCGTCGGCTCACCACACGGCTGCTGCCATGCCGCTCGTCTGTGGTTCCGCGAGCCTTCGAGTCGACCTCTCTCTCTCTCGACAAGAGGGAGCCAACACCGTGCACCGTGCAGCAGCAGCGTGCAGCAGCAACACCGTGCAGCAGCAGCGTGCACCGTGCAGCAGCGTGCACTGTGCAGCAGCAGCGTGCACCGTGCAGCAGCAGCGTGCACCGTGCAGCAGCAGCGTGCAGCAGCGGCGCCTTGCAAGTTGTAATCTGTCTGCGCTGCGGTGGCTAGGCGATGTCAACTACCTCGCCTGGTATACAGGAGGTCGTGGGTTTGATCCAGACCCTGACGATGCCTGCTGTGTAATTTGCGTGTCTCTCTCTACGTGTTCGCGTGGATTTTTCTTCGGGTCCTCCGGGTTTTCCCTCCGCATTTCGAAACGCGCGTTTCGAGTATTTGGCCGCTATAAGTTCGCTCACGCGATAAGCCACTTCGTGGAGCTATGATAGCCAGGTCGCCTCTGACAAAGTACTGCATAGGTCGGTGGGCCTTATCTGGTCAAAAAGATATAGTTTAGTTGAGTATCATAGCCGCACACGTCGACATTTCTCGAGATGTAAACACAACGCATTTAACCTTTGAACTGGGGAACGGAGCCACGTGTCGGCGCGAGCATTCGTTGCTAAAATGCGACTGGAATCGGTTACCGGAGGTTCCTGACTTTCAGGACCTATAACCGAATGTTAAAACGGTTACCGGTTCACACCGCTTGTCGTTTTCCCAGCCGCAGGAACAATTCCTCGTCCCACGATTCGGTGATTGTTGACGACTCCAGGGCGCCGCTCCCGTGCCAAGGTTCGAGAGCGCCGTGTCTCGTGTGTGTCTCGTGTGTGTGTCTGCGTGTGTCTGTGTGTGTGCGTCTGTCTGTGTGTCTGTGTGTGTGTCTGTGTGTGTGTCTGCGTGTCTCGTGTGTCTGTGTGTGTGTCTGCGTGTGTCTGTGTGGCTGCTGCTTTGTCACGCGTGCATTGTGTCATCATGCACCTCTCCCTTGGTGTCGGCATCGCGCCGCGTCCCCTGTGCGTCTCGTTTGTTTCAGACAAATGTAAGTTAACATTTCAAGCCACAAAGTGCTTCACGTGGGGGGTGCGCTCGATGGGGCCAGGGCGCTCACGGCCGACAGAGCAGTGACGAATACCTGAAGCGGGCGCTGAACCTGTGGTACGGCGCATCAACAGCAGCCCCGCTGGGGAGACAAAGGTGGCCGGGCGTGGTTTGCTGGCTACCCCCTCGTGTGCCACGGTGCCGGCCTTCACGAGGTGCTACTCGCTAACAGCACTTGCCCCAAAGGTCTGCTGAAGGCTACAAGGGGGGCCTTTGCCTTTGTCAGCCCGCAGTGCCGCTCTGCGCCACCAGGCGGCGCTCGCTGCCAGTGGCCCCGGGGCGCTCCCCGCCACTTTGCGGCGAACGAGCACGAGGTCACTACGAGGAGGTCACCAGGAGGAGGTCACCAGGAGGAGGAGGTCACCACGAGGAGGAGGTCACCACGAGGAGGACACCAGGAGGAGGAGGTTACCAGGAGGAGGAGGTCACCACGAGGAGGAGGTCACCACGAGGAGGTTACCAGGAGGAGGAGGTTACCAGGAGGAGGAGGACACCACGAGGAGGAGGTCACCACGAGGAGGTTACCAGGAGGAGGAGGTCACCACGAGGAGGAGGTCACCACGAGGAGGAGGTCACCACGAGGAGGTTACCAGGAGGAGGAGGTCACCACGAGGAGGTCACCAGGAGGAGGAGGTCACCACGAGGAGGAGGTCACCACGAGGAGGTTACCAGGAGGAGGAGGTTACCAGGAGGAGGAGGTCACCACGAGGAGGAGGTCACCACGAGGAGGTTACCAGGAGGAGGAGGTTACCAGGAGGAGGAGGACACCACGAGGAGGAGGTCACCACGAGGAGGTTACCAGGAGGAGGAGGTCACCACGAGGAGGAGGTCACCACGAGGAGGAGGTCACCACGAGGAGGAGGTCACCACGAGGAGGAGGTCACCACGAGGAGGGGGGGGGGTCCCGGGCACAACACGAGATGACGCGTGAACACTCTGGACCGGTTTTGACATTCAGCGTCTCATCAGCAGTCAGCCTTTACTTGAATAAATGCTGAGTCGGCCCATCATCTCCCTCCCACCGGGATCGATGCAAATAAGTGCCACCTTCGTGAGAAAGTCAAGCGTGGTTGTTCTACACATTGACTCGGCCCTCGCCATAGGAATGTGGAATTTCCGCCACTCGCTCAAGGCTGGCTATCGCCGTGACGTTTTTGATGATGTGGTTATTGATCCGGGCAGGCCCCCCACACAGCTGGCTGCCACAGCAACAACCCAGATCTCAATTCTAGATTTGAAGTTTTCGTGACTGTAAGGATCCACATACTCTTTGGGGGTTTTTTTCGTGACTTTACCGAAAAAAACCAACCCAGGTCTCTCTTGCAGAGACTTGTGATATGGCCGTCTCTGTGCACTCTCTCTTTGTCTCTCTCCATGTTTTCTCTCTCTCCATGCCCTCTCTCTCTCCATGCTCTCTCTCTCTCTTTTTTACGATCAGTGGAAACAAGAAGATGCTCGGTGTAGTCGGCACTTTGCTTCGTTCATCATTTCATAATTTTTTTTTACTTTGCTTTATGTAACCCCCCCCCCCCTCTCGCTCACTCTCTCGCTCTCTCGTTCTGCACGCAGCCCTTCTCGCAGTCCAACGGCCTCCGACGGGAAGCTCATAACTGCATGTTCTCTCTCTCTCTCGCGCGTCTTACTCTCGCTCTCTCTCTCTCGCAGTCAAGAGACGGCGGCGTATCGGCGGCGATTTCGTTTCCCATGGCAACCGTTGCTATGGACACAGAGCCACTTTAACCCATCTCCCTGGTTGTCACAGAAACCACGTTGCCATGGCGACCGCTGTAATTGAGGGGTACCGGTGTCGAGGTAGGGGGAGGGGTGCGGGCGGGGGGGGGCAGCATTGGTCCCCGTTGGACCCCCTCCTCGCCTCGGCGCTCACCTGTTCCACTCGGAGCAGAGGCATCACCTGCGCTGACGTCACGTGGTCGTGGTGCACATCGTTAAGGTTAAGGTCAGCTGATGGCTGGTTGGTTGCTGATGATTATTGGTTAATTACAGGGGTAGCAACCCGAAATAACTCGAAGAGCCGTTTTATTCTAATTCTGTAATAAACTCGATGTTTCAAAAACCGCAATGCTGGTGAATGCGGGACGGTGGTCCTTGATAAATAAATAAATAAATGGACGTCTCGGAGCCGTCCTTGAAGAGCTCCGGAGCCGCAAGCCGCCGACCCCTGGATGGTGATGATGGTGATCGGTTGGTGATGATGGTGATTGGATGGTGATCGGTTGGTGGTGATGGTGATTGGATGGTGGTGATGGTGATTGGATGGTGATCGGTTGGTGGTGATGGTGATTGGATGGTGGTGATGGTGATGATGGTGATCGGTTGGTGATGATGGTGATCGGTTGGTGATGATGGTGATCGGTTGGTGATGATGGTGATTGGTTGGTGATGATGGTGATGATGGTGATTGGTTGGTGATGATGGTGATTGGTTGGTGATGATGGTGATGATGGTGATCGGTTGGTGATGATGGTGATCGGTTGGTGACGATGGTGATGATGGTGATTGGTTGGTGATGATGGTGATCGGTTGGTGATGATGGTGATCGGTTGGTGATGATGGTGATCGGTTGGTGATGATGGTGATGATGGTGATGATGGTGATTGGTTGGTGATGATAGTGATTGGTTGGTGATGATGGTGATGATGGTGATTGGATGGTGATCGGTTGGTGGTGATGGTGATTGGATGGTGGTGATGGTGATTGGATGGTGATCGGTTGGTGATGATGGTGATTGGATGGTGGTGATGGTGATGATGGTGATCGGTTGGTGATGATGGTGATCGGTTGGTGATGATGGTGATTGGTTGGTGATGATGGTGATGATGGTGATGATGGTGATCGGTTGGTGATGATGGTGATTGGTTGGTGATGATGGTGATGATGATGGTGAGCGGGGAGAGGTAGGAGAGTGCGTGGAGGATACACCAGTGACGATTTCCTGGACCTCCCCTGAGGTGGCCTCAGGTGTAAATGACCCTGAGGCGCCATGTCTATGAAGCACCAGCAGTGGGGAGACAAAGGCGGCCGGGCGTGGTGCTGACCTCCCCAGCACTTTGTGCGTTGTGCCGGCCTTCATAGGTATCACTCGCTAACAGCACTTGCCCCAATAGTCTGCTGTAGGCTATACGGGGAACCTTTGTCTTTTTTCGTGAAATGCCACGTGGCATGGACCAGCAGAAGGGTGCCTTGACCGCGGGGCGAGCGTCACCCCGAACGAGGCTCAATAATTCACCAGAAGCCGCGGTCACGAATCAAACAAAAAACCCGGCATTGTTTTTTTGGTAGTAAATAAAAATACAAAAAATATCTCCGGGCCAATTGTCCCGCGGTCCACGCGGAGCTCACGTCTCACAATCCACCTCCATAAACAATCCCCGCGCGTGCCAGCAACACAGCCGGGCATGGCAGTCCTTGTCAGCTCGCTTCAGCGTCAAATACAACATTCACCCCCTCCTCTCCTTCTACTCTTTCCGCCTTCCTGCTCCCCTCGTCCTATCACTCCTCCTCCCCTCTTCCTGCTCCTCCCGTCCGACTCCCATCCTCCACCTCCTCCTCATCCTCTTCTCTCCATCCCTCACGAGTCCCGCGATGCAACGACTCTCCCAAGAGCAAATGAAGTGAAGCTGCACGTTGATCTGTGAGTGAAACATCTCGGACTCGTGGGAGCCCGGCTTACTCACGGGTGGCCCACCCCCACGCTGAACCCCTCCCTCTCCTCCCCACGCCCACTGTGAGAACAGACGCCGCTCTGTGCAGCAGCAGCAGCAGCGTCGAGGCCCTGGCGCAGCCTCTCCCTGCTCCCTCTCATCGTCTCTCCTGGACCCCTCGGTGCTTCCGTTTCTCTGCTCTTCCGCTGACCCCCCCCACTCTCTCCCTCTCCTTGCTCCCCCCCCCCCCCCCCACATTCCTCCACCCTTGGCTCTACTCCCCGTGCTGGTTGTGGTGGTGTAGCCACGGGTACAATCGTCGCTATAGTAACCCACCTCCTGTTACTCGGGGCCGTCTCAGAGCGCTTGGCAAGGGGGCACCCCGAGTGGCAGCTGCCCCTGTTCGGCACAAGGCTTGACTCGGCACCTGGCTTGTCAGCGGGCATTAAGTCTGCCAGTAGGGAGGAGGGGGAGGCGTGCAGCCCTGTGCAGCGCAGCGCAATGTCTATCACCCGCTAGGATCAGTCGCGTTAAGATTGTCATCGACATCCGCCTTGGTGACGATGATCGAGCAATGGGTATCGGGGGCTGGGGGACACGACCGTTTGCACCTGGCATGGTTTGGTTTTTATTGTTCAAATTACTGTACCCAATATAGATTGTACTCATATAAAAACAACGAAACACGTCATTCAATAACACTGGCCTTAAAAGGGAAACATGAAATAGGTGACGGTTCGGGTAACGGCCCTTCTTCACAGTGCATCATATGGCCCATCGCAGAAGGAAAGGTTCATTGCCCGAAACGTCGCCTATTGTGCGCACAACAGGCACAAAGGGTTAGGGCGATAATTGTTTTGCTTAACACTGCAATGCACATCATCATCATCAACATCACCAACATCAACACCATCAACATCGACAACATCAACAACATCGTCATTATCACCATCCTCAGCATCATTATCGTCATCATTAGCATCATTATCGTCATCATTAGCATCATTATCGTCATCATTAGCATCATTATCGTCATCATTAGCATCAAATATCGTCATCATTAGCATCAAATATCGTCATCATTAGCATCATTATCGTCATCATTAGCATCATTATCGTCATCATTAGCATCATTATCGTCATCATTAGCATCATTATCGTCATCATTAGCATCATAAACTACCATCAACATCACGAGCATCAGCATCATCAGCATCTCCATCATCATGATCATCAACATTGTTACGAAGATTAATACATTCTATATGAACTTTAAGGACGCAATTTGTCATAGTTTGTTCAACATCGCCATCCTCGTCTATGGTATATCTGCTGCTGGATGAATGCCTCCCCGTCATTGTCAGCAGCAGTATCACGACTCATGGCCCATCATCCACATGGCCCATCATCCACTGCTGGATGAAGGCCGCCTCCTCCCTCCCGGTCCTGCAATGCCCCAATACCACCGCTCCAGAGCGACCACGCACGTAGAGTCTGCACACGTAGACTCTACACACATAGACTCTACACACGTAGATTCTACACACGTAGACTACGCACATAGACTCTACACACGTAGGCCCACGTAGACTCTACGCACGTGGACTACACACGCACGCATACAAAGACAAGGTCCTGGCCTTCGTCTGACTGGCTGGGACAAGTGCTGTGAGCGAGCGCCTCTTAAGGCCGGAACGGCGCACGAGAGGGTGGGTGGCTAGCAGCAACACGCCCGGCCGCATTTGTCTCCCCAGTGCAAATGCTGTACACACCAGGTACCCGTTTAAGGCTGAGTCGATCTCGGGGCGGCCCAGGACTGATTCCGATATTCGTTTCCGATGTTGGCCGTGAGCAGAAAATCGAACTCGGGTCGCCGGCTTCGTAACGCAGTGCGCTAACCGCTGCGCCACAGGTCCTCCGTTATACACACATACGAACATATACATACAGACACACCACCACCACCACTATCATCATCATCATCATGAGTCGGGGCCCATCCTCTCGCCACCCCTCGCGATCTGCGATGGCACAATTCGTCTCACTCGCTACACGAGCGAATTCGGTTGCTCCATTCTTCCACAGGGGTCGTTCTTCCGAAAATCTTTCCCCTCCTTCGCCTGTCATTCCGTCCCCAGCCTCGTCCGTCGATCATCATCTGCGCCGGTGGTGGCTACGCTGCGACTGCTGCTGCACGAGGGTTGGTGGATCACCGCACAGACGTCGCTGTGGAACTCCCTTCCTACCACGTGGGTGGGCGTAGAGGAGGAGCCGTACCCTGGCTCGCCAGGAGAAGGCGGTACAGCAAGTGGACGAGTCTCCATCTGTTCGGGGATAGAGTGTTGCCCCCTCGCGCAAGGCGTGGGTTGTCTCCGGGTGCTCCGGTTTCCTCTCCACCCACGTGAACTTTAAACACGACTCGTCGGTAATTGGCTGGCATCTTACAAATAAATAAAAACCTCAATGTAGCAGCAGCGCGCTTAAGTTTTACGTCCTCACTTTCCTCGACAGGCAAATATGATGTCCTCTGATTTGGGTTTGATCCACGGGGCCAAAGTGGATCACTCGGCCGGAGTGGATCACTCCGACCGAGTGATTCGGGGTGACTCGGGGTGACTCGCTGGCGATACGAGGCATCTCGACGCGCGTGAGCCAAGACGCCTCGCCCCTCAAGGCTCTGACCCCGATCGCTGTGTATTGGTCAAACCGCGCACGGCTCTAAAAGCGAGCGGTGTACACACTGCGCACGCCCGATGATTGGTAAACATCGTCTCCGTGTGAAGACGCAGAGAGCTCTCGGCTTAAATTACAATTAAGGAGCAAATCGTCCATACTGACACAAAGATACCCCGTACAGCCTTAACATACTGTTGGGGCAAGTGCTGTTAGCGAGCACCTATGAAGGCCGCCACTGCACACGAGGGGTGGGTGGCCAGCACCAACTCCGGCCGCCTTTGTCTCCCCAGTGGCGATGTCTACACACTTTACCAGGTACTCATTTGAGGCTGAGTCGACCTAGCGGGAATCGAACTCGCGTTGCCGGGTTCGTAGCGCAGCGTAGCACTAACCGCGACACTACCGCTCCCCACACACACGTACACACACACACACGTACACACACGCGCGTACACACACGCGCGTACACAACAACAACCGACATTCGCCACTAAGTGGCGGTGACGTCACCACGACGCTTGTGCCAGGCCATGTGCACCTTGAGGCCACGTATACACACACACGTACACACACACGCAATACCATTTCAATGTTTGAATGGGGGCGCTGTTTTTAAAAAACGTGTTCACCAATCATCGTGCGCGTGCAGCGCGTTGACACTTGACTTGTATCTGAGCGGAGGGATGTCGGCCGCGCACGTGGGGGGGGTCGCCGTGCGTTGGGCTCGGGGTCAACCAAGAGCTCCTTAGCTCCACGGGCTGTGATCAGTGCCAAATACGCTTCCGGTTAATCGTGCGGGGATTTACAAATTCGTCGCAGCAGCCCACAGTCACCTCTCTCCCTCTCTCTGGATAAACCTCTGGGGTGGAAGGATCACCCGCGAGAATTCGGGATGAGTGAACGCGCACGCGGAGCGAGCGAGCGAGCGAGTGGAGGGTCGCTTCGAGTCCGCTCCGCGTCAGAAGGTGGACTCCGGGGTGTCGCCGCGCTCCCCTCCCCTCCTCCCCGGCGCCGCCGTCTCCTCGAGCTCGAAGCTGAAGTTGCTGTGCGAGCGACTCATCGCCGCCGCCGCGCCGCTGCCGCGGCCGCGCTCGCACGCGCCCCGCCACCCAGCCGCCTCGGCGTCGTCCTCGGCGTCGTCCTCGGCCCACGCGTCGCCCCCTTGCAGCTTCACGTACCCCGACGATGCCTTACCACCACCACCACCACCACGTCTACCACCACCACCACCTCCTCCTCCGCTACCACCACCTTGTCCACCTCCTCCTCCCTCTGCTGCCGCTCCACCACAAGACGCAGCGCGTTCTTGCAAGCGTGGCCAGCTTGGGTGCTTCACCTTCTGCTGCTGCTGGTGGTGATGGTGGGGCTCTTGAGGTTGGCCCGAGCAAATGTGGAAGGCGTCTCGCTCGCACAGGTCCAGAGACTTGGACTGCCCGGACACCACCGAGCTCGCCGCGTTGTTGCCGCTGCCCGTGTCTCTGTCGCTCGAACTTCTGCGTCGTGAGCACCGCACTGCGTCCGAGAAGCCATGAGGGGCAGCAGCAGCAAGGGCAGCAGCAGCAGGAGGAGGAGGATGGGGGGGACGCCTCCTGGCCAGGGCAGGCGACAGCAGCTTCCCGAGGAACGCGACGGCTGGGGAGAGCGACGCCCTCGACTCCGCGGAGGAGGAGGAGGTGGAAGAGGGGGGAGCCGCTCTCCTCTGCTCGGCGCGGCTGTGGAGCAGCTCGTCCTCGGGGTTGTCCTGCGAGCCCATCTCCTCCTCCTCTTCCTCCTCCTCCTCCTGCTCGACTTCGCCGCCGTGGCCACCCTTGCCGCCGTCGTCGCCGCGGTGGCCGCGCAGGAGGCGCTCGGGGCGGGAGGGGAGGAAGGCGCCCGCGGACGCGCGCACCATCGACAGCTCCACCAGCGAGGGCGACGACCGCGACGGGGGAGCCCCGGCGGCAGCGGCGGCGGCGCGCTCGGCCGCCTCCCCCTCGTCGATGACGCAGTTGTTGAGCTTGATGATGGGCAGCGTGAAGGCGCTCACCGACGGCGAGACGATGGAGCGCGCTCCGCACTCGCCTCGCCTGATCGCCCCCCTCCCCTCCACGCGCCCTCCGCGTGCTGCCCAGAGCCCGGCCTCCACGGAGCTCTGGAAGGAGGCGGTCGCCAGGCTTTGGGCGAACGGCCTCGGCGCCGTCGCGTGGCCCCCACGTGGCGCCGTCGCGTGGCCCCCACGTGGCGCCGTCGCGTGGCCCCCACGTGGCGTCGTCGCCGCCGCCTCGCTTCGGCTGCCCGGTGGTTGCGCGCTCAGATCGACACCTCCAGCCAGGGCCTGTCCCGAGCCACCACGCCGCACGACGAATCCTCCTCCTCCTGCTCCCTGCCCGTCGCTCTGCCTCTCCTCCTCCTGCTGCTGCTGCTCCTCCTGTGGCTGCCCGGGCCCTTGCCCTTGCCAGGGCTCGTAGCCCGAGAGCGCGTCGCTCGCCTGCTTGGCGTGCATGACGCTCACGTCGATGACGGTGGAGTAGATGTCCCGCAGGTGGATGATGCGCGTCTCGCGGTCGCGGTTCTCGTGCAGCACCGCGTTGGCGCAGATGAACACGAAGATTCCCACGCCCATGAGCAGCGGCCCCAGCAGCTTCATGCGCTCCGAGTGCAGAAGATGCCTCACCACGAACGCGACCACGGAGCCACGGGCCGGAAGCCTCAACTGCTGCTGCTGATTCTGCTGCTGGTCTTCCTGCTGCTGCTGATTCTGCTGCTGGTCTTCCTGCTGCTGATGATGCTGCTGCTGCTGCCACCACAGCTGCTGCTGCTGTTGGAAGGCGGAGCCGTTCCCTTCTCCAGGAGGTTCGAAGGCGGCCCCCGGAGTCCTCCTGCGAGGCCAGTATCCCATGACCGTCATGGTGATGCCCACGAGCAGCACCAGGAGGCCCAGGCACACCACGACGCCGGAGAGGGAGCACATCTGCACCTTGCCCCGCACCACCACGGCGTCCGCCGGCCGCCTCCGGCGGGCCAGGCGCCTCGCCCGCCGCTGTCTCCTGGCGCGCCGGCGCTGCGAGTCGCGGCGCTCGGACGAGCTCTGCGGGTGCAGAGTCAAGCGGAGGCTCCCGCCGCTCGCCGCCTCCTGCCTGTGGCGCGTAGCGACGATGCCGCGCAGGACTCCCCCCGTGGCGATCATGATCCACCCCTCTCCCTCCCACGCCTCTCTTGCTCGCTCGCCTGCTCCGTCTCCGGCCACGCAACTCACGTGGCCGCCTGCGTTCTGGTGGGAAAGGAGGGGGTGGTTAGCTGGGTGGTGGATTGGTTGGTGGGTGAGTGGGTGGGTGGTGGATTGGGTTGGTGGGTGAGTGGGTGGCTGGTGGATTGGGTTGGTGGTGAGTGGGTGGGTGGTGGATTGGGTTAGTGGGTGAGTGAGTGGGTGATGGATTGGGTTGGTGGTGAGTGGGTGGGTGGTGGATTGGGTTGGTGGGTGAGTGGATGGGTGGTGGATTGGGTTAGTGATGAGTGGGTGGGTGGTGGATTGGGTTGGTGGTGAGTGGGTGGGTGGTGTTGGTGGTGAGTGGGTGGGTGGTGGATTGGGTTGGTGGTGAGTGGATGGGTGGTGTTGGTGGTGAGTGGGTGGGTGGTGTTGGTGGTGAGTGGGTGGGTGGTGTTGGTGGTGAGTGGGTGGGTGGTGTTGGTGGTGAGTGGGTGGGTGGTGGATTGGGTTAGTGGGTGAGTGGGTGGGTGGTGGATTGGGTTGGTGGGTGAGTGGGTGGGTGGTGGATTGGTTGGTGGGTGAGTGGGTGGGTGGTGGATTGGGTTGGTGGTGAGTGAGTGGGTGATGGATTGGGTTAGTGGGTGAGTGGGTGGGTGGTGGATTGGGTTGGTGGGTGAGTGGGTGGGTGGTGGATTGGTTGGTGGGTGAGTGGGTGGGTGGTGGATTGGTTGGTGGGTGAGTGGGTGGGTGGTGGATTGGGTTGGTGGTTAGTGGGTGGGTGGTGGATTGGGTTGGTGGTGAGTGGGTGGGTGATGGATTGGGTTGGTGGGTGAGTGGGTGGGTGGTGGATTGGTTGGTGGGTGAGTGGGTGGGTGGTGGATTGGGTTGGTGGTGAGTGGGTGGGTGATGGATTGGGTTGGTGGTGAGTGGGTGGGTGATGGATTGGGTTGGTGGTGAGTGGGTGGGTGGTGGATTGGGTTGGTGGTGAGTGGGTGGGTGATGGATTGGGTTGGTGGTGAGTGGGTGGGTGGTGGATTGGGTTGGTGGTGAGTGGGTGGGTGATGGATTGGGTTGGTGGTGAGTGGGTGGGTGGTGGATTGGGTTGGTGGTGAGTGGGTGGGTGGTGGATTGGGTTGGTGGTGAGTGGGTGGGTGATGGATTGGGTTGGTGGTGAGTGGGTGGGTGGTGTTGGTGGTGAGTGGGTGGGTGGTGGATTGGGTTGGTGGTGAGTGGGTGGGTGATGGATTGGGTTGGTGGTGAGTGGGTGGGTGGTGGATTGGGTTGGTGGGTGAGTGGGTGGGTGGTGGATTGGGTTGGTGGTGAGTGAGTGGGTGATGGATTGGGTTGGTGGTGAGTGAGTGGGTGATGGATTGGGTTGGTGGTGAGTAGGTGGGTGGTGGATTTGGTTAGTGGGTGAGTGGGTGGGTGGGTGGTGGATTGGGTTGGTGGGTGAGTGGGTGGGTGGTGGATTGGGTTAGTGGGTGAGTGAGTGGGTGATGGATTGGGTTGGTGGTGAGTGGGTGGGTGGTGGATTGGGTTGGTGGGTGAGCGGGTGGGTGGTGGATTGGGTTGGTGGTGAGTGGGTGGTGGATTGGGTTGGTGGGTGAGTGGGTGGGTGGGTGGTGGATTGGGTTGGTGGGTGAGTGGGTGGGTGGTGGATTGGGTTGGTGGTGAGTGGGTGGGTGGGTGGTGGATTGGGTTGGTGGGTGAGTGGGTGGGTGGGTGGTGGATTGGGTTGGTGGGTGAGTGGGTGGGTGGTGGATTGGGTTAGTGGGTGAGTGGGTGGGTGGGTGGTGGATTGGGTTGGTGGTGAGTGGGTGGGTGGTGGATTGGGTTAGTGGGTGAGTGGGTGGGTGGGTGGTGGATTTGGTTGGTGGGTGAGTGGGTGGGTGGTTGGATGGGCTAGTAACGTAAAAACTGTTGGGGCACGTGCTGTTAGCGAGCACCTACTAAGGCCGGCGATTCCTGCTCAAATTGTCTGTGAAGCTGTACTCTTATTCATATCCCTGAGTAAGGAATGGAAATTCCACGTTCCTATGACGGGAGCGAGGGTGCGGGGAGACGGGGCACGCGGGATAAGGTTCACTGAACTATGTAGCTCTTTTGCAGAAGCGACCTGGCTATCATTATTGATAGCTCAACGAAGTGGCTTATCACATTGAATGTATCGCAGCCAAATGCTCTAAACGCGTGGTGATGAGAGACACAGACCTCCTGTACACCAGGCGAGGTGGTTAACATCTCCTAGCCACCGTGATGATGATGATGAGAGAGAGAGACACAGACCTCCTGTACACCAGGCGAGGTGGTTAACATCTCCTAGCCACCGTGATGATGATGATGAGAGAGAGAGAGACACAGACCTCCTGTACACCAGGCGAGGTGGTTAACATCTCCTAGCCACCGTGATGATGATGATGAGAGAGAGAGACACAGACCTCCTGTACACCAGGCGAGGTAGTTAACATCTCCTAGCCACTGTGATGATGATGATGATGAGAGAGAGAGACACAGACCTCCTGTACACCAGGCAAGGTGGTTAACATCTCCTAGCCACCACGGCAGAGCTTTATTCACGCTCCAGTCACATGGAGCCTCTCCCCGCCCAGATGGGCAGCTCCCTTCGCTGCTCGAGAGCCAACAGGGGAAATTCGACATTCCCATGGCGAGGGGTTAACTTTATTCGCTGGCACGTGGTGGCTGTGCGCGCCTGTAGCTTGGAGGCGGGGGTTGGTGGATCATGCAGAGATTTGTGAATTCCCCAAAGTCAAACTCGCTCATTCACCGCGTCACTCCGCTCACTCGTTCGCTCACCGGCGTTCAGTCGCCTACTCATCTCTCTTCTATCGCTACCACTGCTACGGTTACTGTCACCGTCAACGTCACTATTTATTGATTTTTGTGAACTATTCACCGTCATATGAATAAGGGCCACTGCCCGAAACGTCGCCTATTATAAAAAGAATTTATCTGAAGGCCACACACGCGCTGTTACTCGGGAATGCGTCCATCTCTATGTAGCACCATAACAGGTGGCAGTGGCCACGGTGATGCAGTGACGGTGATCACGCGCGCACGGCAAGAGAGGACATCGTGAATCTGTGTGCGGGAGAGCGGTGGTGCAGTGGTTAGCGCGCCGTGCGCGCTACGAACCCGGCGACCCGAGTTTGATGCCCGCTCACGGCCAACATCAACACCGGTGACCTTTATCTGAACAAGTCCTGGGCCTGCCTTAGATCGACTCGGCCTCAAATGAGTACCGAGCGCAATTTGTAAACATCGCCACTGCGGAGACAAAGGCGGCCCGGCGTGGTGCTGGCCACCCACCCCGTGCCGGCCATCACAGCTGCTCGCTAACAGCACTTGCCCTAAAAGTATGTTAAAGCTACACGGGGATCTTTGCCTTTGTGTGTGTGGCGGGTGTGAGTGGTGGGTAACAACCACTGCGCTCCGGACCCGACCCCCCGAGTTTGATTGCCGCACACAACCAACACCAGCGTCGAATATCCGAACCAGTCCTGGATCCTTGCCTAGAGTCGATTCGTCAGCACTGGGGAGACAAAGACGGCCGGGCATGGTGGCGTTGGTCACGCGCCCCTCGTGTGCCGTCCCGGCCTGCATAGGTGCTGCTCCTCGCGAACAGCACTTGCCCCTACAGCCTGTTGGAGTCTTCATTGTGTGTGGCCTCTGCAAATGTGTGTTTAGTTGCATGTTCCCGTGCATGTAGGGTGCATGTACGCATGCACGTGTGTTTTACACGACACTTCGCACGCACTCGATACACACACACTAGACAAACTACACTCACACGCACAGTAGACACACAGTGTACACAAACAAGAAACACACAGCAGACACACTAGACACACACACACTCGACACTCACACACTTCACACAACACACACACTTCACAAACACTCCCCGCACACACACACCCCACACACACCCCACACACACCCCACACACCCAAACACACTACACACACCACACACACACACCACACACACCATACACACACACCACACACACACCACACATACCCCACACACACACCACACACACCCCACACACACATACCCCACACACACCCCACACACACACCACACACACCATACACACCACACACACACCACACACATCACACACACACCCACACACACACACCACACACACACCACACACACACCCCACACACCACACACACCACGTACACCACACACACCACACCCCACACACACACCACACAAACACACTCCACACACACCACACACACACCCCACACACACACAACACACCATACACACACCACACACACCCCACACACACACCACACACACACCACTCACACCATACACACACACCACACACACCACACACCCCACACATACCCCACACACACACCACACACACACCACACACACCCCACACACCATACACACCACACACACCATACACACACACCATACACACACACCATACACACACACTACACAGAAACCACACACACACACACCACACACACCACACACACGCCACACACCATACACACCACATACCCCACACACACACCATAGAAACACACACCCCCCACACACACCACACACACACGCCACTCACACCACACACCCCACACCCCCCACACACACCGCACACCACACATACACACACCACACGCACACCCCACAGACACACCACACACATCATAGACACACACACCCCACACACACACCACACACACTCCACTCACACCACTCACACACACCCCCCCACACCACACACACACACCACACACACACCACACACACCATACACACACCCCACACACCACACACACACACCCCACACCACACACACACACCACACACACACACCACACACACACACCACACACACCCCCCACACCACACACACACACCACACACACACCACACACACACCACACACACCACACACACACCACACACACACACACACACCCCCACACCCACCACACACCACACACACCACACACACACCACACACACCACACACACACACACACACACACACCACACACACCACACACCACACACACACCACACACACCACACACCACACACACCACACCCCCACACACACACACACACCACACCCCACACCCACACACACACACCACATACACACACCACACACACACACACACACCCCACACACACACCACACACACCACACACACCACACACACACACCACACACACCACACCACACCACACACACACACCACACACACCACACCACACACACCACACACACACACCACACACACCACACACACACCACACACCACCACACACACCACACACACACCACACACACACACCACACACACACCACACACACCCACACCACACACACACCACACACACCACACACACACCACACACACACACACCACACCACACCACACACACCACACACACCACACACACACACACACACCACACACACACACACCACACACACACACCACACACACACCACACACACCACACACACCACACACACACCACACACCCCACACACACACCACACACACACCACACACACACCACACACACACACCACACACACCACACACACACCACACACACCACACACACCACACACACACACACACCACACACACCACACACACCACACACACACCACACACACCACACCACACACACCACACACACACACCACACCTGCAGGAGGAGGCAGAGGCAGCTGCCCTGGCCGGCGAGATCAGCGTCGCCCCGCTGACACCACGAGCAGAGCCCCCCCCCCTCTCTCCGTCTCTCTCTCTCTCCGTCTCTCTCTCTGTGCCCCGCGCAGCCTCGCGGACTCACGGCTCTCGTCGAGTACGAGTCCCTGCTCCTCCTCCTCCTCCTGCCATCACCACCTTCCTCCTCCTGCTCCTCCTCCTCCTCCTGCCATCACCACCTTCCTCCTCCTGCGCCTCCTCCTCCTGCCCCGCGCTCAAAGCAGACCGCGTGGCTCCGTGTCGCGCGCTCTGTGCGAGGCTGCTGCTGCTGCTGTTCCAAGAGAGTAGGGACACTGGTTGGACGGTGTAGCGTGTGTGTGGGTGCGTGTGTGGGTGCGTGTGTGTGTGTACGTGTGTGTACGTGTGCGTGCGTGCGTGTGTGTGTGGGGAGCGGTGGAGTAGCGCGCTGCGTTGCGCTACGAACCCGGCCACCGGAGCTCGAATCCCGCTCACGGCCCCAGCAGCCAGTGACGATTTTCTGAATCAATCCCGGGCCCCCAAGAAGTCACCCCAGTTGTAGATCAGGACCCGGTGCGACAGCGCCACTGAGGGAGACAAAGGTGACCAGGCGTGGTGCCGACCACCCACCCCTCGTGTACCGTGCCGTTCTTCGTCGGTGTTACTCGCTCACAGCACTTTCCCCACAATCTGGGGAGGCTATAGGGGGCGTCTTTGTGTGTTCTGGTGAACGTGCATGCGGCTCTGTGTGAGTTTGTGTCCTTTACGCCCCCACCGAAGATGAACATCAGTGGAGGGATGCAGGCAAGGCCGATGAGTCAGATGCCTCCCGTAACCTCCTGTCCCAAGTGTTAGCTAAAGTGGCCCCTCGGGATAGAGGCATCCTGTTGGGGCCAGAGTGATTGGAAGGCATGGGCTAGATCGGATCAACAACAACTGGAGGAAGCTGTTAGACTTCTGTGCGAGACTTCGTGGACACGCTGTTCCGGCATCGGCGCATCCACACGACGCCGGCTCCAAACAAGAACATCTGCCCGACTCTGTGTTGCCGGAGCAGCCAACGTGGGCCCATGTCATCGATACCAGGCGTGCAAAGCGACGCTGCATCTCTGGAGGTCTCTTCTCACCGTGCAGTGCTTGCCAGGAGCTCTCCCTGCGCGCCGAGCAGGAAGCTGCCCGGTGGTTGTGGCAATCAGTGCGGCCCCACTCCTCCTCCTCCTACTTAGGAAGGGGGACGACCATGACATGTTCTGTTCACGTGACAAACTTGACCAATTGGCGGTTTAACGACACGTTTATATATTTACGCGATCTAACCCCAAAAACACCTGTGCTTATGGAAGATGTTTTTTAGTTATTTAAATTCGCGAAAATAAATGCGTGTCGTGCACCCTCCGCCACTCGACAGAGCAAATTAATGAAGTGGTCTCTACTTGAGCAGCACCACCGGTGTGACGTTGAACTACGATCCACACGCGTTTAACAATGGGGTAGTCCGACGTTTCGCTGGGAGACACAACCAGCATCATCAGACAGTAGCTAGATTTGTGATCCCCGTGTTGCTGCTTGTCCACAGAGTGTTGGGACGAGGAGCAGCACCTGTGAAGGCCGGCACGGCACACGAGGGGGTGGGTGGCCAACACCACGCTCGGCCGCCTTTGTCTCCCCAGGGCTGATGTTTTACACACCGCACCAGGTACTCGTTTGAGGCTGAGTCGAGCTAGGGGAGACCCAGCACCAGTTCTGATAATTGTCACTGGTGGCAAGGCCGTAGCCATGAAGTCAACATTGGGGGGGGGGGGGGCAAATCTTCTCGGGGGTCTGGGGGTCCCCCCCCCCCCAGAAAAAAAAATCTAAATTTGAAAACTAATTTCCTGCCTAAAATATAAAAAAAAATCACTAACGCATGGGATTTATTTTTTATTTCTTTTTTACAATAATGTATAATACAGTAGTGTATTGTATTACATTGCTATGTTTCTTCTTTTTTACCTTTTCTTGTTTCATTGTATGTAATGGCAGAGATTAGGGATTTATAAAGTGCAACCATAACCACAATCATCTGGACAGAAATCTAAATAATAGCAATATATTTGTGGGGGGGGGGACATTTTGATCACATTTGACTATTGGGGGGGATGAGTGTCCCCCAATATATTGTATAATCACGGCCTTGACTGGTGGTGGCCGTGAGCTGAAATCGAACTCGAGTCGCACGGTTCGTAGCGCAGCGCACTTACCGCTGCACCCCCCCCCCCACTCAATACACACGCACGTACCAACAAAGACAAAGATGCCCCGTGTAGCCTTAACAGACTGTTGGGGCAAGTGCTGTTAGCGAGTAGCACCTGTGAAGGCCGGCACGGTGGCACACGAGGGGGTGGGTGGGTGGCCGGCACCACCCCCGGCCGCCTTTGTCAGCCCGAGTGGCGATGTTTACTACACACCGCACCAGCTACATACACACATACACACACACACACACGTACACACACACATACACACACACACATACGCATACACACACACATACACACACGCGCAGAGTGCTCGCCCCCGCGTGGTGCTCGCGCGCGCTCACGAGAGACGCGCTTTTCTTCACAGGAGCCGCTCTGGTTGCTAAGAGACCGCCTGCTGATGAGACGTCTTGCGGATCGAGGTGGGGGGGGATGTTACCTTGAGACTCTTCCACCAACACCAAGAACTCGAGCTCCCACACTCTGACTGTTCCGTCTCCTCCGCCAGCAGCACGCTGTGCTCAGCCACCACCACTCCCTCACTCACTCACCCACTTGCTCATCCACTCACTCATCCCCTCACTCATCCCCTTACTCACCCACTTGCTCATCCATTCACTCACCCACCCACTCATCCCCTTACTCACCCACTTGCTCATCCATTCAAACACCCACCCACTCATCCACTCACTCATCCACCCACTCATCCACCCACTCACCCACTCACCCACTCACCCACTCACCCACTCACCACACCGCAGGTCACCTGCTTCTTTGCTCGCACTGCTCCACTTTGAATTTCCCTCCTCCTCTAACCACAACCACCATCGTATCTACCCCCCCCCCCCCCCCCCCACCATCACCATCGTATCCCCCTACCACCAAAATCTGACAACAATAATCGCCTCGTTCAATTCAAGGAACGCGAACTAACCTCTGCTCTGTGACATCTGTGATAACGGTGCTGTTTGTCGCTGGCCGTTTGACTTGCTGGACCTTTGGGCCGTGTACTCAAAGAGCCCCGTGGGACGAGTCGGTGTCTTTATGTCGCCATGCCACCATCGTTGTTTATTTACTAATAATCTCGTGATGCGCTATGAAGAAGGAGTATTGTCCCAAACGTATTTTACATATTGTTTTCTGTTAAGGCCACATTGTTGTTATTGACGAGTGTGTTGAGTTGTTGATGTTGTTATTGTTATTGTCAATTGTGCGTGTGCATCACTGCTAACGCAGCAGCAGCAGTGTCATCGCCAACATAATCTCTCTCTCGGTTTATTCCCAGGCAGCCGAACCCCAGATTCGAACCCATGCAGGCGGTCGGTCTCGGTGCGTTTGTAACCTCTGAGCCACCTCTGGTTGGTCTTAAATATCGTTGTGAAATGTAATAAAGAATCTTCCTATAACAACAACAGCAGCGACAACAGCCTCAGCGGCGACAACAACCACCACTAACGCCGGGACAATTATACAACTCAGCGAAAACGCGCCCGCGCTGTGCACGCGTGGCGCATGCAGCACGAATCTAAATCCTTTCATGTCTCTCTCTTCTTTAACAAGTGTCGATTTTTTTTGTGCGGCCTAATTAAGAGACCCCGCTCCGCTCCACAGATGTCCGAATTTTGCACATCAAACACTGGCCCTTGCGCAACCAGCGCGTACCACTGGCCACTGACACACACACACACACACGTGTGTACACACACACACGTGTGTACACACACACGCGCGTGTCAGAGCACGAACGCCTTTGTATCGTGTGTCAACACTGCGCCTGTGTGTGTCCGTCTCGTCATGCAGCTCTCGCTGCGGCGCTTGAGCGCCACTGCTCTACGAACCCCGGCGACTCGAGTTGGATTGACGCTCACGGCCAGTGACATTGAACCTGTCCTGGGCGGTACCCGGTGCGTTGTGTATTAAACATCAGCACTGGGGAGACAAAGGCGGTCGGGCGTGGTTCTTGTCCACCGCGCCACCTCGTGTGCCGTGCCGGCCCCCACAGGTGCTACGCGCTAAGAGCCCTTGCCCCAAACAACCTGCTGGGGCTTTTATTGCGCATGGCAGCAGTCTGGCTCAGGAGGTCGACGCCCCCGTGAAGGTCTGCTGCTCCTGGTGGGCACGGCGAGAGGGCTTCAGCAGAGACAGACAGACAGAGAGAGAGAGAGAGTTCGTGGCCCTTTGCCGTTCTCCTGCGTTGGTTTCACTGCAGGCTCTCTCCGGGCATCTCTGTATCTGTGCAGGTCTTTGTGTATCTCTATGGGTTCACGGTATGATCAGTCGTTTGGGTTGCATGGATCTGTGTGCACCTCCATAGGTCGTTATTTATCTCTGTGTGTCTCTAAGAGTCTATTAGCATGTCTACGTGTCTCTATGAGTCTCTGTGTGTCTATATGTGTCTCTGTTAGTCTATATGTGTCTTTGTTGGGCTCTATGTGTCTCTGTGTATCTCTATGAGTCTCTGTGTGTCTCTATGTGTCTCTGTTAATCTCTATGAGTCTGTGTGTGTCTCTATGTGTCTCTGTATCTCTATGAGTCTATGTTGGTCTCTATGTGTCTCTGTGTATCTCTATGAGTCTCTGTTGGTCTCTATGTGTCTCTGTGTGCGTCCGTGGGTCTACTAGGCGGGCCCACTCGTCTGGGTTGCATGTCCACCACAATCGCGCCGTCGTGGGTGGGCGCGGCGCTGATGTCCCGAGCAAGCGCAGGTTCTGGCACGCACAGTCCACGTGGCGAGCGGGCGAGCGTTTCGTGCATCGATGAATGAATAATTGATTTCGTCATTTGAATGTAACGAACTCGAGTGGCCGGGTTCGTGACGCAGTGCGCTGACCACTGCGCCACCGCTCCCCCTAAACCACACACGTGCGTGTGTGATGTTGGTGCGTGTGTGATGTAGGGTGAGTGGTGGCGCAGTGGTCAACGCATTGCACCACGAACCTGGCCACCCGAGTTCGATTCCCGCTCGCGGCCAACATCGGTGACGGACATTGAAACCGGTCCTGTGCCTTCCAGCGAGTTGACTCAACCTCAAGCGAGTACCTGGCGCGGCGCGTATTAAGCATCGGCACCGGGGAGACAAAGGCGGTCGGGCGGGGTGCTGGCCACCCACCCCCCTCGTGTGCTGTGCCGACCTTCATTGGTGCTCGCTAACAGCACTTGCCCCGACAAACTGTTGAAGGCTATACGGGTGATATTTGTCTTTGTGTGACCATGTGTTATGTAGGTCGGTATGTCCTGTTCACTCTTTAATAATTAATCGATAACCATATATGAAGGATAAGTAATTGTAGGCAGATTATTAATTTATTATGAATTTTGACTCATTGCAAAAATAAAATCCATGTTGGTGGTGATTTTCATGTTTTGGGGATGATAATGTAATGTATTGATAATGATGAATTAGCTTATTGATGCTGATGATAATAAGGACGATATTTGCAATGATGATGATGATGTTTCGGGAAATGGCCCTTCTTCACAGCACAACATTAGAAGAGTAATTGCCCGAAACGTCAAGTATTATATGTTTTCCGTTGAAGGCCACGCACACACACGCTCACAGTGGTGTTACACACGAGTGTATATTGACGTGTTTGTATATTGACGTGTTTGTTTATCGACGTTCATGGTGCTTGTACACCATTGCCAACGCAAAAGCAGCATCACCACGTAATTATCCACGATGGTGATGTAATAGACGATTATTATAGTTTATGTAAAACGATAACAGGATGTGTATTAATTTTAGTGTGTCTACTGCGACTAATTTATGCAATGCTGGTTACTATTTATGTAACCAGAATCGTATGATGTGCAATGACTGTCAATAACAACATAATGGTGGTGTTTGCAGTGTGGTGCTGTTGCTGGTGACCGTGATGATGATGACGACGATGATTCCGACTGTTGGAATCTTGATGGTGAAGATCCTTCACGTTGTGTCACCCCGAGTAGACACAGTGTTGTGTTACACCATCTCCCACTTACTCCAAGTTACATAATTACATAATTGCATTATTACATCGTTACATAATTACATTGTTACTTTATTACACAGTTACATTGTTACATTGTTGATGAAAGTTGCAAGCGAGAATTTCATGATCGCTTGCAGCTGGGATTGGCATCGTCCCCCACTCCTCCTGAAGTCGAGGGTAAATGGGCGAGGTTTAGGACTGTGACTCATGCAGCTGCAATGGCTGCTTTGGGTACGCAGTCCAGACCTCCCCAGAGACTCTGGCTGACAGAGGAAGTGTTCAGGATAGTTGAGAAAAGCGACAGGCCCACTCTCATCGCCTACAGCATCCCACGTCAGAGAATGAAGAGGCTTACCGCAGCCTTCGCTCGGAGGTTCGGAGAGCCGTAAGGCGCTGCAAGGATGGGTGGTGGTCGCAGGTTGCTGAGGAGATGGAGTCTGCCTCAGTGGCCCGCGATCACAAATCATTATTTAACTCCATCAAAAAAGTAACCTGCAGCGCCACAACTCTTACCATCATTAGGGGGAAAAACGGTGATCCAATCTCCGACCCCCAGGAACAGATTTGCAGATTTGCTGAGCATTTCTGTGAGGTCCTGGGGGAGGGGAAATCCCTCAGCCAGGAAAACATCATGGCAGAAAGTGGGGATAACCCTGCTGAGGCTGCGGTGCCTAAAATATTGGAAGAGGTCACCCCCTGTGAGTGGCTGGCTGAGGTGCCATCTGTTGAGGAAGTACTGAAGGCGATCTGAGACCAGGAAAGGCACCGGGCAGAGATGATCTTCCAAGCGAAATGCTGACGGAGGGTGGCGTTTGTGCACATACTGCCCTATATGACATCATAACAAGAGTCTGGACCGCTGGACGGGTTCCGCTGGATTGGAAGGATGCCATGGTACAGACTGTAACAACTACAGGGGCATCTCACTCCTCAGTGTGCCGGGAAAGGTCCTGGCAAGGATTATTCAACATCGCCTTGCTAGGCACGCTGAGGAGAGGCTTGCGGAGCCCCAATGCGCTTTCAGGAAAGGGCGGTCCTGCACAGATGCCATATTTTCAGTTAGTCTGCTACAGCAGAGGTGTAGGGAATTTCAACAAGACCTACATCTCTGCATTATTGACCTGGTCAAGGCCTATGATAGCCTCTGTAGGCAAGGGCTCTGGGTTGTTCTTCGTGCTTTCGGAGTCCCTGACCCTCTGCTCACGATCATTGAGGACCTTCATGATGGTGGGCGGGCCCGGGTTAAACTACGTGGCCCGGAGTCAGAGCCTTTCCCTATACACCTTGGGGTGCGACAGGGATGTCCTCTGGCTCCCACATTATTTAACATCTATTTTGACCACGTAATTCGTGAAGCCTTCAATAGCTGTACCGGGGGAATCTCCATTTGCTACAGATATAATGGGAGGCTGATCGATGCCCGGGTGCGATCAAGGGATGGCTCCCTATTGGTCAACCACGTTGTGTATGCCGATGATTTGGTAATAGCTGCTCATTCAGAGGAGGAGTTGGAGACGCTGCTGCTGAGACTGGACCGTGCCACTAAGAGGTGGGGCCTTACCATCAGCCCCACCAAAACTAAACACCTGCCTTGGTATTTTGTACCATCGGACACTCCACCCCCACAACTCCCCATCGGTGATGGGGCAGTAGTGGAGAGAGTGTAGAGTTTCCCATACCTGGGCAGTGTGCTTATGACCGGCTCCAGTTTAACATCAGAGGTCTCACTCCGAATCAGTCGAGCGACAATATCTTTTCATCGGTTGCGTAACGCTGTGTGGAAGCTACCTGGTCTGTCGCTCTGCACGAAGCTTCAAGTCTTCTTGGCCACAGTCATTCTCTCCATTCTCTACGTTTGCGAAACGTGGACCCCCCTAATGGATCATCTTCGCCGGTTGGAAACATTTAGGCTGGCCTGCCTACGATCCATTCTGGGTTTAACGAGGCTGGATTGTGTGAGGAGCTCACAAATCCTTGAAAGATCTGGGTAAAGTCCCATCGGTGAGCTCCTCCGGCAGGCAAGGCTGCGTTGGCTGGGTCATGTAGCCCGCATGCCCAGCCACTGCATGCCCAAACAGCTTTTGTTCGGCCGGATCGAGGGGGCTAAATTGGCGCGGCACGGGCTGGATAAGAGATGGAGTGATGTGGTACAGGAGGACGTGGAGCTGAGTCGACTTGCCGATGACTGGTACCAGCGGTGTCAAGATCGGCCTCTGTGGAGGAGGCTCGTGAAGGACGCTACTGGGCAGTTGGAGGCAGTCGCCCTCCAGCAACAACGGAGGGCGCAGGAGCGACACTCACAACAACGAGCGGAACGCCGGGTGGCTAAAGCACAACAAGTTGGCACATTCGGGGGCACAGGTGGTGCATCAGCCAGTCATCTCAGTCATGTCAGTCAATCGACCCGTGGCACCTGGGTCTGCCCCGTGACCTCCTGCCAGCGGGCGTTCGACACTTCACGTGGCCTCAAGGTGCACATGGCCTGGCACAAGCGTCGTGGTGACGTCACCGCCACTTGGTGGCGAATGGCGGTTGTTGTTGTTGTTGAGTGTTCGTGACGGCGCCTGCAGGGGGCGCGCCAACTCCCCCGCTGGGTCGCGTCACCGGACGCGGCTCACGACCTGGAAGCGCTTCCACGTGGAGCGCTCACAACAACCACCACCACCACCACGTCTCGAGCTGCTGCTGCTGGTGGTGGTGCTGGTGGTGGTGCTGGTGGTGCTGGTGGTGCTGCTGGTGGTGCTGGTGGTGGTGCTGGTGGTGCTGGTGGTGGCGAGTCAGCTGATGGTGACGGCGGCGGCGCTGGTCACGGTGATGTGAGGGATGGGACGCCACGTCTGAGGAGGAAGAGCGGCCTTGACCAAGTGAAATGTGCGTTTGTTTTGTGTGCGCGCGTGTAGGTCGGCTTGGCCTCGAATGAGTGCTTGGTGCGGTGTGTAAAACATCGCCACCGGGGAGACAAAGGCGGTCGGGCGTGGGGCTGGCCACCCCCCACCCCCTCGTGTACCGGGCCGGCCTTCATAGGTGTCACTCGCTAACGGCACTTGCCCCAAAAGTCTGTCGAGGCTATACGGGGGATCTTTGTATGTGTGGGTGGGAGCGGTGGTGCAGTGGTTAGCGCGCCGCACTTCTAATCCGGCCACCCGAGTTCGATCCCCACTCACGGCCGACACCGGTGACCTCGATCTAAGCTGGCCCTGGCCCTCCCCTAGGTCGACTCAGCTTTAAACCCTCACCTTGCGCTGTGTGCGCGTAGCCACTGTGCGTTGAACTTCTTGCGCACCGTACGTAGCCAACCGTGCTCAGCGGAGGGGCGCGGAAACGACGACAGGCACTTAACGCAAACATTAACGCTGGGGAGACAAAGGCGGCCGGGCATTCTGTTCGCGCGCCGTGCTACTCGCCTGCAGGCTACACGGGGGATCTTTGTCTTTGTGCGCGTGGCGGTGCAGCAGCAGGAGCAGCAGCAGGAGCAGCAGCAGGAGCTACAGCAGCAGGAGGAACAGCAGCAGCAGGAGCAGCAGCAGGAGCAGCAGCAGGAGCTACAGCAGCAGGAGGAACAGCAGCAGCAGGAGCAGCAGCAGGAGCAGCAGCAGGAGCTACAGCAGCAGGAGGAACAGCAGCAGCAGGAGCAGCAGCAGGAGCAGCAGCAGGAGCAGCAGCAGCCCCGAGATGTACACGCTGCTGTCGGGCTTGTGGAAGTACATGTTCAAGAAGGACGAGTACTGCGTGCTCATCCTGGGCCTGGACAACGCGGGCAAGACCGTGAGTGCCGTCAGGAACAACCCTGGGGGAGCGGTGGCGCAGCGGTTAGCGACGAACCCAGCAGCGACCCCAGTTCGATTGTCGCTCGCGGCCAACACCGTCCCTGGGCCTCCCCTAGGTCGACTCGGCCTCAACGGAGTGCCCGCTGCGGCGTGTGGTAAACATCGCCGCTCGGGCGACACCGGCGGCCACCCATCCACTCCCTCGTGTGCCACAGTGCCGGCCTTCACCGGTGCTGCTACTGGCTAACAGCACTTGCCCCTTAACAGTCTGTTAAGGCCGTTTGGGGTATCTCTGTCTTAAAATAAAAAACAAATATCATGGGCGACGTTTCGGGCAATGGTGCTTGGGTCACAACACGTAATGTCACATGCGGTTATGACAAAGGCCCGGCTTCCAGTGGATTGTGACTAATGCACGAGAGGTTATCCCCTGGCTTTATGCGGTAGATGCGTTCTAAAAAAAAGTCTCCAGGAGGAGGAGGAAGGGGAGGAGGGATGACCCGGCCAAGATGAACGGCGATGAAGAGAGGGTTGCTGGTGGTGGTGGTGAGAGGGGGGAGGTAGGGAGAGGTGAGAAGGGAGGAGCGAGCAGCAGGGAGCTGCGTGGAGGAGGAGGAGCGGCGTCTGTTTTCACAGTGGGCGGGGAGAGGGGAGGGGCTCAGAGTGGGGGTGGTCACACGGGAGTCACGTGGTTCACGGGAGTCTTGAGCGGGTGTGGATCGAGGGGCTCCTCTGTGTTTGTTGGCAGACGTTCCTGGAGCAGACCAAGACTCGATTCAGCAAGAACTACAAAGCCATGAACCTGTCCAAGATCACCACCACCGTGGGACTCAACAGTAACTCCCCCTCACCACTCACCACTCACCACGCTCACCGCTCACCACTCACCACACTCCACTTGCCCCATGCCACTCACCACACACCACATAAACTTACACCGTACGTGTGTTGAACTTCTTTCGCGCCGTACGTAGCCGACCGCGCTAATCGGGGGTGCGGAGGAAGGACAAACTGAACACAACGACAAGCGGTTCTGACGGAAAGGGTTTTAAATGTAGGGTGCGCTACGAACCCGGCGACCCCAGTTCCATTCCCACTCACGGCGACCAACACCGGTGACAATTATTTGAACCAGTTTTGGGCCGCCTCTAGTTCCACTCGGTCTAAAATGAGTACCTGGTGCAGTGTGTAGTAAACATCACCGCTGGGGAGACAAAGGCGGCCGGGCGTGGTGCTGGTCGCCCACCCCCTCGTGTGCCGTGCCGGCCTTAATAGGTGCTCGCTAACAGCACTTGCCCCAACAGTCTGTTAAGGCTATACGGGGGATCTTTGGTGTGCGCAGTCGGGACGATCGACGTGGGCTCCGTGCGTCTCATGTTCTGGGACCTGGGCGGTCAGGAGGAGCTCCAGTCACTGTGGGACAAGGTGAGGTCAGCACGGTGCTCACCACACGCACTCACCACACGCACTCACCACACACTCACCACACACTCACCACACACACCACACGCACTCACCACACACACCACACGCACTCACCACACACACTCACCACACACTCACCACACGCACTCACCACACACTCACCACACACACCACACGCACTCACCACACACACTCACCACACACTCACCACACACTCACCACACACACTCACCACACACTCACCACACGCACTCACCACGCGTCTCACCACGCACTCACCACACACACTCACCACACACCACACGCACTCACCACACGCACTCACCACACACTCACCACACACTCACCACACACACTCACCACACACACCACGCACTCACCACACGCACTCACCACACACTCACCACACACACTCGCCACACACTCACCACACGCACTCACCACACACTCACCACACACTCACCACACACTCACCACACACACTCACCACACACACCACGCACTCACCACACGCACTCACCACACACTCACCACACACACTCACCACAGACTGACCACACGCACTCACCACACACTCACCACACACTCACCACACACTCACCACACACACCACACGCACTCACCACACACACTCACCACACGCACTCACCACACCACTCACCACACGCACTCACCACACACTCACCACACACACCACACGCACTCACCACACACACTCACCACACACTCACCACACACTCACCACACACACTCACCACACACTCACCACACGCACTCACCACGCGTCTCACCACGCACTCACCACACACACTCACCACACACCACACGCACTCACCACACGCACTCACCACACACTCACCACACACTCACCACACACACTCACCACACACACCACGCACTCACCACACGCACTCACCACACACTCACCACACACACTCGCCACACACTCACCACACGCACTCACCACACACTCACCACACACTCACCACACACTCACCACACACACTCACCACACACACCACGCACTCACCACACGCACTCACCACACACTCACCACACACACTCACCACACACACTCACCACAGACTGACCACACGCACTCACCACACACTCACCACACACACTCACCACACACACTCACCACACGCACTCACCACACGCACTCACCACACGCACTCACCACAGACTGACCACACGCACTCACCACACACTCACCACACACACTCACCACACGCACTCACCACACGCACTCACCACACGCACTCACCACAGACTGACCACACGCACTCACCACACACTCACCACACACACTCACCACAGACTGACCACACGCACTCACCACACACACTCACCACACACTCACCACACACTCACCACACGCACTCACCACACGCACTCACCACAGACTGACCACACGCACTCACCACACACTCACCACACACACTCACCACAGACTGACCACACGCACTCACCACACACACTCACCACACACTCACCACACACACCACACGCACTCACCACACGCACTCACCACAGACTGACCACACGCACTCCGCACTCACCGCACGCACTCACCACACACTCACCACACGCACTCACCACACGCACTCACCACACACACACACCACACACTCACCACACACACCACATGCACTCACCACAGACTGATCACACGCACTCACCACAGACTGACCACACGCACTCCGCACTCACCACACGCACTCACCACACACTCACCACACGCACTCACCACACGCACTCACCACACACTCACCACACACACCACACGCACTCACCACAGACTGACCACACGCACTCACCACACGCACTCACCACACACTCACCACACGCACTCACCACACACTCACCACACACACCACGCACTCACCACACACTCACCACACACTCACCACGCACTCACCACAGGCACTCACCACACACCACACGCACTCACCACAGACTCACCACACACACTCACCACGCGTCTCACCACACACTCACCACACGCACTCGCCACACGCACTCGCCACACGCACTCGCCACACGCACTCACCACACGCACTCACCACACGCACTCACCACACGTACTCGCCACACACACTCACCACACGCACTCACCACACGCACTCACCACACGCACTCACCACACGCACTCACCACACGTACTCGCCACACACACTCACCACACGCACTCGCCACACGCACTCACCACACGCACTCACCACACGCACTCACCACACGCACTCACCACACGTACTCGCCACACACACTCACCACACGCACTCGCCACACGCACTCACCACACGCACTCACCACACGCACTCACCACACGTACTCGCCACACACACTCACCACACGCACTCACCACACACACTCACCACACGCACTCACCACACGCACTCACCACACGCACTCACCACACGCACTCACCACACGCACTCACCACACACACAAATATCCTCACTCATGGAGGCTGTATATGCGAATCTGCGTCCGTTTGTCCATGCGCATGCATGCGTGCGTCCGTGCGCATGCAGTATTTTGCCGAGTGCCACGGCGTCATCTACCTGATCGACTCCGTGGACGAAGGGCGCCTCGTGGAGTCGAGGGACGCGTTCGGTACGAGCGCCCGCGGCGCGCCGCTGCCTCGAGAGAGAGAGACGGACGCTTTCGGTCTGTCCCCGACCACGCTCGCCCCGGCGCTGGCGGCGGCCCACGCACCGGGACTTGGGCATCCCGGCCCTGCTGCGCCGCCGGAGCCGTAGGCTGCCTGCCGCACGCGTTCCATTCTTCGCTTTCATGTTTAATCGCCTAAAATCAACGGAGGGCCCATTAGCGCAACCCGCCTCAACATTCTGTTGAAGGCTACTCGGGGGATATCTTTGTGCGTGTGTGTGTCTGTGCTTCTGTGTGTGCGTGTGTCTGTCTGTGCTTCTGTGTGTATGTGTCTGTGGTTCTGTGTGTGTGTCTGTGCTTCTGTGTGTGCGTGTGTGTGTCTGTGTGTGCTTCTGTGTGTGTGTCTGTGTGTGCGTGTGTGTGTCTGTGCTTCTGTGTGTGTGTCTGTGTGTGCGTGTGTGTGTCTGTGCTTCTGTGTGTGTGTCTGTGTGTGCGTGTGTGTGTCTGTGCTTCTGTGTGTGTGTGTGTGTGTCTGTGTGTGCTTCTGTGTGTGTGTCTGTGTGTGCGTGTGTGTGTCTGTGCTTCTGTGTATCTGTGCGTCTGTGTGTGCGTATGTGTGTCTGTGCGCCTGTGTGTGTTTGTCTGAGGGGCGCCACGATGGCGAGATGTTAACTACCTCGCCTGGTATGCAGGAGGTCATGGGTTCCATCCCGATCCTGACGCCTGCTGCTGTATATTTGGAGTTTGCGTCTCTCTCTCATGTTGGCGTGGATTTTTCTCTGGGTCTTCCCATTTCTCCCTCCATATGTGGCTGCTATATATTTTGATATGATACGCCACTTGAAGCTATCATTTGGGGTTAGGTCGCGTCTGAAAAAGAGCTGTACAGCTGAGTGGTTGGCTCACCGCGCTATGAACCCGGCAACCCGGGGTTCCACTCCCGCTCACGCCCAATTACGGTGGCAGTGACCAACAACGGTGGCAGTGAATATTTGAACCTTTTCTATTTTCCTCCCCGAGGTCGACTCGACTTGAAATGAGTACGCAGTGCGGTGTGCGTTCAACACGATGAGCACTGGGGAGACCGAGGCGGCCGGGCGTGGCTTTGGCCACCCAGCCAATCGTGCGCCGTGCCGGCCTGCGTGGGTAAAGGCTGTGCGTGATGCCGGTGGTGGTAACGGTGTGTGGCGTGCAGACAAGATGGTTAGCAGCGAGGCGCTGGAGGGGGTGCCCCTGTTGGTGCTGGCCAACAAGCAGGACATGGAGGTAGGTGGCCTCCCCTGCCTGTGGCAATGCTCCAGCCTCGCAGCCAGAAGCACCTGGGTTCAATTCCCGACCACGGGTGACTTTTTGCGTGGAGTTTTGTGTGTTCCCCTATTGTGCACAGTGAGTGTGTGTGTGTGAATGTGTATCGGCGAGAGTATGAGTGAGTGACTATGTTTGCCAGAGTATGTGTGGCCATTATAGGGGCTTCTCGCTAACAGCACTTGCCCCAAAAGTCTGCTAAGGCTATACAGGGGATCTTTGTCTTTGCGAGGAAATGTGGGGAGTTTGTAAATTCTCTCCCTCTGTTCTCCGCATGGGTTTCCTCCGGGTTGGTGTGGTTGTTGTGATTGTTGTTGTGATTGCTGTGGTTATTGTCGTGGTTGTTGTGATTGCTGTGGTTATTGTCGTGGTTGTTGTGATTGTTGTGGTGATTGTTGTTGTTCTTGTGGTTGTTGTGGCTGCTGCGGCTGCAGGGCTGCCTCACGGTGCCCGACATCAAGACGGCGTTCAGCGACTCCGCCACCAAGATCGGAAAGAGGGACTGCCTGGTGCAGCCCAGCTCGGCGCTCACCGGGTGAGCATGACGCCTGCCTCCTCGCCACCCCTGTAAACACCAGCACTGGGGAGACAACGGCGGCCGGGCGTGGTGTTAGCCACACCACCGCGCCCCATCACGGCCTTAACAAATGCTGCTCTTGCACCGACATCCTGTGTGAGCTACACTGGGAACCTTTGTCTCTTTGTGTGTGTGCAGGCATGTGCATGTGCGTGCGTGTGCGTACGTGTGCGCAGGGAGGGAGCGGTGGCATAGCAGTTAGCGCGCCACGCTAAAAACCCCGGCCACCCGAGTTCGATACCCGCTCACGGCCAACGCCAGTGACGATTATCTGAACCCGTCATGGGCCTCCCCTAGGTCGACTCAGCCTAAAATGAGTACCTGGATATAAAGGTGGCCGGGCGTGGTGCTGGCCAACTCACCCCGTCGCGTGCCGGCCTTGATCGGCGCTGTTACTTGCTAGCAGCACTTGCCCCATACAGTCCGTTAAGGCTACATGGGGGCTGGGGGGGGGCGGTCTTTGCCTTCACAGGGACGGCGTGAACGAGGGGATCGAGTGGATGGTGAAGTGCGTGGTGAGGAATCTCCACCGGCCCCCGCGGCACAAAGACATCACCTGACCCCGTCTCCGCTGCCTCGCGCTGCTCCCGCTCGGCGTGGTGGGCGTGGGATCTTCTCCGTCTGTCTTCGTTCAACTCGACCCGTGGGTTGGGGGGTGGCCGGGTGACGCGCAGGGGAAGGGGGCGAGGGAGGAGCGGAGGGGAGGAGGCGAGGGTTTGGGAATGGTCGCGTTCGAGACGCAGAACTGGGAACGGCGAAGGTTCTTCAAGTGGCGTTTCAGCCGCCCAGCCTCGGGACCCATCCGAGACTGGAACCGGCTTCTCGAGTCGAGCTAGTCGACGGTAACTCAGCCCGGTCGCCGGTGATTTGCATCTCTAACTTTGTTTTATTTTCACCACTTAATTTAGGCGATTCCAGGCTCCCCTCCCCCACGAATGAAGCGTTTTACATCGACAATTTGACGAGCACCCAGGATTTCCACCATTTCCGCTATCGACGGCAACCCGGATAAGTCGCTCACTCGGCACGAGATCGATTATCGCAAACTCCGCCGGCCTGCGGTAAAGTTCAACACGCCAACACCGGTACCACCAGATCTCGGTACTCATCAATCGCCACGGTGGCGAGATGTTAACTACCTCGCCTGGCAAACAGGAGGTCGTGGGTTTGATCCCAACCCTGACGCCTGTTGTATTTTTGGAGTTTTCATGTTCTCCCCGTGGTCGCGTACATTTTTCTCCGTGTCCTCCGGTTTTTCCCTCCACATTTAGAATCAACAGCGTTTAGTATTTGTGTGTGTGTATTTGGCTGCTGTGCATTTACACACGATGATAAGCCAAATTGTTGGGCTCTCATTTGTGGCCAGGTCGCTTCTGAAAAAGAGCTACATAGCTTAGTGGGCCTTAGCTAGCCAAATAAAAACTCCCGCCACCAACAGCAGATGCCAATTCCCGGGCTGCGTTCTGGTGGGTGGGTAGGGCGTTGATGAGCACCGAGATCTGGTGGTGCCGGTGTTCTGTAGAACTCTACCCCGAGAGGACACCGCACAGTTTGTGACGTCCTGGATTTGGCCTGCAGTGGGAAAGGTGGTGACCCTACCACTCACCTACCCACCCATCTGTTCATTCACTTACCGATTCACCCACCCACTCATTCACTTACCGATTCACCCACCCGCTCATTCAATTTCTCATTCACCCACCCACTCAATCACAGTACACTGAGCTGTATCACAGGATACTGCACAGGTTTGATAATAGACTTAGTCGTACTGACTTGAGAAATATGGCGTGGGTTTGGTCTGCAGTGGGGAAAAATGACAGCCGCAGTCTGAGTCCATTGATGAAGAAGGCTGCTGCTGCTGCGAGCGAGGATCTCGTTGTGCGTTTTGATAATTGTCGGCCTGTGAACAAGGGGAGGTGGATTAAACAAAAAAATAAAAAACATTCATTCATGGCTATTGGGATTTAGACTAATATCTAAATGTAATAATCTTTTACCTGTAACTGTTGCGTAACGATAGATATTATCAGACGATTGCTGCGTAACGAAAGGAAGAGGCACACTTGTTAATAAACCCTGTTTGGTGTTAAGTCGCCTGCGTTGGTTGTTAATCAGCAGCAGTAGCCATGGTCAATCCACTGCTGGATGTAGACCCCCACCCCCATCAACGTCATCGCAAGCCCTCCCGGTCCGCTGACTCCACAATGATTCCCCTCTCACCTGCACGAGCGCTCACAACGCCAAGCGGCCAGCAGCAAACGGCACGGCTGAAGGTGTCATACAACGGGAGGTGACGCGCGTCCTGGGTTGAGCGATAGGAGAAGGGGATTCCAGAGCGGAGCGAGGGAACACGTGGAGAGAGACGTGTTGTGACCTGCAGTGTGGTGAGTGGGTGAGTGAGTGCATGGGTGGGTGAATGGGTGAGTAGGGCAATGATGGATGAGTGAGTGGGCGAGTGTGTTGTGACCTGCAGTGTGGTGAGTGGGTGGGTGGGTGAGTAGGGCAATGATGGATGAGTGAGTGGGCGAGTGTGTTGTGACCTGCAGTGTGGTGAGTGTGTGAGTAGTGGGTGAGGGGGTGAGTGTGTTGTGACCTGCAGTGTGGTGAGTGGGTGAGTAGGTGGGTGATTGGGTGAGTGGATGAGTGAGTGGGTGAGTGTGTTGTTGTGACCTGCGGTGGGGTGAGTAGGTGGGTGATTGGGTGAGTGGATGAGTGAGTGGGTGAGTTGTTGTGACCTGCGGTGTGGACGAGACTAGTGATCATGGGAGCAAGTGACCTTGTCGTAGCGACAGAAGAGTGACAGGGAGGCGACTGGTGAGCGAGTGACGACTGAATCGGTGAGTGCTGGGGTATCGGTCACCCTGACTGCAATTCGAGCGAGTTATACAATTAGATAATGTTTTAGTTTCTCCCATTTAAGGCCTCAGTGTTTCTGATGAATGTTGTGAGTTGTGCTCGTGCACGACTGCCAACGCAGCAGCAGCATCACCAAATAATGCAGTCGTGATTGGTTTCAGCAAGCGCGGCTGCTGCTGATGAGACTCTGAATGTCGAAACTGGTCCAGGGTTTCTGCCCGTCCCGCACCAGGAAAAAACGCCGCTGATGAAGTCCGCACTGCCAGAAGGCCGCGTGGCTGATGGGATGTGTGAAACAAATTAATACCGTTTGTTTATTATGAGGCGGGGCAGATAAGGGGGAGGGATTTGAGTTTTCTGCTTTAGTTAATTTGAAATCTTTAACGAAATAAGTAACATTATTGGTTCTTTCGGTAAAGTCACGTAGAAGGGAAATAATAAAACAATAAAATTATCACGACATGTCGATTGCAACACAAGCAATCATCAGGTGTGAAAACCACAGCAAGAAAATTTGAAAAACCGCCACTTTTTTCTAATTTTCTTGTGGTTTCCACACCTGATGATGATTGCTTGTGTTGCAATCGAAACGTCGTGATAATTTAATTGTTTTATTTTATTATTTCATTATTTCCCTTCTACGTGACTTTACCAAAAGAACCAAGAATATGAATCCCTGCAGTCACGAAAGCTTTACATCGAGAAATAAGTAACGTCACGATAATCAGATTGTAAAAGTTGCAGTGGGTTTATACTCTCCAACACCGGTGTGCTGTATTAGTAACGAATTGGCACGTTCTGTAAGTGACAAACATTACTAATTGGCTGTGTCGGGTGGTGGCGGGTTTCAGCGACACATATATTTACGAGATCTAACCCCAAAAAAACCTAAATTGTGAATACTGAGACATATTCTTGGGTCTTTCGGTAAAGTCACGTAGATAGGTTCAAAGAAGATAACAAACCTATCTACGTGGCTTTACCGAAAGACCCAAGAATATGAATTCCTGTAGTCACGAAAGCTTTAAGTCAATAATGAGACATTGGGGGAGACGTCTCGCTCCGCCCCCCCCCAACATTGGCCCCGCCCCTACCCCCCGCAGCCCCCCCCACCCCTGACTTAGTCCCGTGACGTCACTCTGCCCAGGACCAACATGGCGTTCCCTCACATCGGCGCGAAGAGAAAAGTGTGCTACTACTACGACGGTAAAACGATGGCGACGCGCCCCTCCGCGCACTCCGTGAACTCACTCGCACGCTCGCACACCCGCGAGTTTATGGGGCGCCGGGTGGGTGGGTGATGTGGGCGGCGGCGAGGGGAAACGAAAATATACGAGACCGAGCCGCGACCCGTATTGGCGCTGGTGCCTCCGCCGCGCTCCTCGCACCCAGCCCGGCGGGGAATCTAGCCGAGGCCGGTGGTGCCGTCGAGTGCTGGGCTAGGCCGCGAGCACGCTCTCTCGCGGCCTCGCCCCCGGAGCGATGCTTCGAGGTCCGACGCGGCCGTGGGCGCGTTCCGACTCGCGGAGCCGCTCGCGGGCGGCAGGATAAGTGGCCCGGCCGGCTTGGGGTGGTTGAGTTTGTGTGCGAGGTGGATGCGAGGTGAGAGAGAGGCTGAGAGCCATTGAAGCTCTTTGTTAAGTCCGCGACGATGAATCCCCTCGATAAGGACTCACTCCCAGCGTCTCGTCACTCTTCTGTGGGTATTTTTATGGAAGTGAAGATTTTAAACAACTATATGTACACTCTTGAAGGAAGTAAAAATTCTAAGGATGGACGAGCCCCCGTCAAGAGAATGTGGAATTTCCATTGCTTTGTTCGGCCGCCATCTGCAATGTGCGTTACGTATCGTGAATAGTTTGATTATCTTCGACATCGATGAGTCTTTTAAATGCGAACCAAATATTCAGGCAACGTACAGATATTTACAAGTATATATATAATTATACGTTAAGCGATCGTTTTGTCTTTGTCTGGATCAACTGTGCCCCCTGGCGGCGGGTTGGAAGTTATAATAAACACGGCGCTAATTGGCTGGCCTTTGTGCTTCCTGGTTTCAAAATGGGGGGCTCAAGAGTCGATTCTTCTCGCCAGCAGCCGTGCTCGGCTCATGAAAAGACCTCGAGTGATTTCCTCCTGCCCAGTGATTTTTTTTTAAGTTCATTTATTTGGTATAGCACCGTGAGCCATGCGGCTCTTGAATCGGGTGCAACCGCAACAAACAAAAACATGAATAAGAAAACATCTTAAAGTGAATACGCGCAACAGAAAAATCCAGAAAAAAACAGCAAAGTCTTCCAGACAAAGCACAACGATTGCCTCCTGCCCGGTGATTGCCTCCAGCTCGAATGAGCTTTCAGACATCGGTGTTCCAAATCTCCCCTTTTACAGCCCTGCACGGCTAGTGGTGGGAAAAATAAATCCACATTTCTATGGCAGAGGCAAGCCCATTCGTAAAACAACCACCCTTCATTGCCCCACAAGGTGCTTGATATTTTATCGACCCCTGAGGAAGGGATGATGGGCTGAGTCGACCCCTAACCAGGATATGACTTCGCGACCTCTAATATTTTACTTGTTTGTCCAGAAAAGCCATTCAGAGGCGTAGGACTCGTCAGGAGGATCCTTCATTGGCTTTTTATTTTAAGCTGCCAATGAGTTAAGACAAGTAGGAGGAAACCGTAGCACCCGGAGAAAACCCCACGCATTGCGTGGGGGAGTACTCTGTCCCCCCACAAATAGGAACAAATGGCCATTCGTCCACTTGCTGTACTAGCTTTTCCTTGGTGAGCCAGGGTACACACTATCTGCTGGATAACATTTAGGGCAATGGCCAGTCTTCATAACAGGAGTGGGGGGGTGGCAAAGTCAATCCATAGGCAGATGGGCTATTGCCCAAAACGTTGCCTATTATATTTGTTATTGATCTATAAATTAAATTACATTATACAGTTCTTTCAAAGAAGTCGGTGTGTTGCTCCCTTTCTGTTTCTCTGTTAAAAATGTAAAACTGTGATGCTTTTTTCGAGATATCACTATCCGTGTGACAAACCGATAACCTGTCTTTTACCGTTTTAAAGACCTTAATGGGTGCCCTCTTTTGCGTTGCAATCGTCGCGCCCTCACTGTGCAGGTGACATCGGAAACTACTACTATGGACAAGGTCACCCCATGAAGCCACACCGCATTCGCATGACCCACAACCTGCTGCTCAACTATGGCCTCTACCGCAAGATGGAAATCTACGTGAGTGGGTGCAGGGCTTGTGGGACACCGGGAACAATAAACGATCTTTGGGAGATACCGCGCTGGCCACTGCTTGTCACGGCCACACTGTCGCATCGTTCCAGCATTGTCGCGGCTTTCGTTCTGTTTATAAATGTATGCCAGTAAATGTAGCGGTGATCTCCATTCGTAACTGGCCTGATCTTTCCACTGCTGGATGAAGGTCTTGCCAAGCCGTCGCCAAACTTTCACGGCGGTCTCATAACATTCATGTTGACAACAAAAAGCTCAAAACATTAATCAATAACACTGTCGCCTTAAACAGAACATGTAAAACATAGCCGACGGTACAGATAGTCCCTGAGACCCATTCATAAGTAGATACCTCCGCGGTTCGTAGGTACGATCGAACATTCGCAAGTCGGATGGTTAAAAACAATAACATCTTATGGCGGTTCGTTTGCAAGTTACAGATGTTCGCAAGTCAGACGTTCATATCTCGGGGACTGCTTGTGCATTTAAACAGTATGAAATACAATACATTTACTCGAATGAAGGTTGACTTGGACAAACTTAGGGAAAAGAAACATTCGTTGTAAACTTAGTGGAAAAACATCAAAATGTATTTTGGGTGATTGTCGCATGTGACATGCTGTCGCCCGGAGCCTGTTCTGGGCCCGTTGTGGTGGTGGCTTGCTCTGTGTGTGTACGCGTGTGGTGCCCGCGCTCGTCATCACGTGTGTCTGACGATGCTGTCGTCGCTCGGCCTCTCGCAGAGGCCGCACAAGGCCACGAGTGAGGAAATGACCAAGTACCACAGCGACGACTACATCAAGTTTCTGCGCTCCATCCGCCCGGACAACATGTCCGAATACAGCAAGCAGATGCAGCGCTGTGAGCATCGCAGCACACGCACGCCACACACATAAAGACAAAGATTCCCCCTATAGCAAGTGCTGTTAGGGAGCACCTATGAAGGCCGGCACTCACACGAGGGAGTGGGTGGCCAGCACCTCGCCCGGCCTGATGCGATGTTTACACACTGCACCAGGTACTCATTTGAGGCTGAGTCGACCTCGGGGAGGCCCAGAACTCATTAAGATAATCGTCACTGGTGTTGGCTATGTGCATATCCTCACACCCATATCTTTGCACACATTTTACGATGGCACTAGATTCATGAAATGATTAAACAAAGAAAAAATAAGTTTAAAATATTACGAAATCAATTCATGTATAAAAACCCAGTCATGAAGTTGGTAAAATATCCAAATATAGGACCACAAAGCTTGGGAAATTGTTGGTGCTTGCCTGTTGTTTCCCCTGCCTCCGTGTAAAATCGGTGCGTGATACGGAGTCTGCTCCAGTGTTGGTAACGATGCAATCTGCATGCATGATGCTGTATCAAAATAATTATTTGTACCGGTCCATAACATTGCGATTTGTTTTGTGTGTGTGGCAGTTAATGTGGGAGAAGATTGCCCGGTGTTTGACGGCCTTTACGAGTTTTGCCAGCTGTCCACTGGCGGCTCTGTGGGTGAGCTTCACAGCAGTACAACGTCAACCGCCGTTAATCACGGCACTTGCACCACGCTAGATGCACTTTTGAGGCCACGTGAAGTGTCGGAAGGCCCGCTGGTAGGAGGTCACAGGACCGACCCAGGTGCCCATGAGTTGACTGGTCTGTGCACCAGCTGTAGTACACAGCAGTGCACACACATGAACACATTTTAATCCGCATGCAGTAACCAACTGGGATGCATTTTGTATCTCCTCCGTGAGGGCGAGCACAAACAGTTTATTAAAACACACAAACAATGTTTCCGTTTTGACTTAAAACTTTCGTGACTGCAGGAATTCACATTCTTTGGTTCTTTCGATAAAGTCACGTAGATTGAAAATAAAAATAAATAGTTTGTCTACAAACTAAGCTTTTTCTGCGGCAGCAGTTACATTGGGGAGACTTAGCGACATGTCTCGGACCGTGTTCGTGAACATAAGGTGGATTTGATACACGGTAGGACCAATACTTCTGCTGTAGCTGATCATTATTTTAATGCGGCTGGCTCACGCAAAATTGATTTCTCTAAAACGATGGTACTTTGCAAGCCTACTGGCTATCAACAAAGATTTGTTCGTGAAGCCATCCACATATATAGACACAGGCACAATATCAACCGTGAAGACGGTTATAAACTCAGCAATCATTGGAAAGATGTCTTCAACCACTTTGGGTCATGACTTGATTTGTGATTTCTTGTCAACCTCCACCGTCATCAGTGTGGGTGTGTGGAGCGAGGTGCAATGCTCCCTATCTCTACCCCCCCTCTCTCTCCCTATCTCTACCCCCCTTCTCTCCTCCTCTCTCTCCCCCTATATCTCCCCCCTCTCTCTCCCCCTTTGTCTTCTCCCTCATTAACATTAGCTGCCCCGCCCGTGCTGCTGACACACTTGGACTACACCGCTCGGCACGAGCTCCACGCCTCTTGCCCCGCCCACTCACAACTTTAGCTCGTCCATTCATGCTGCTCCGTGGCTCTTGGCCCCCACTGCTTCTGACACTTGGGCTGTCCCCATGTTAAACCTTTATAAACAGTTGAAGTTAGAGGCTTACCCCCATTTTCTCTCCGCCTGATGACGACCGCTTGTGTTGCGATAGAAACGTCGTGAGTTTTTGGTTTTTTATATCTATATTTTTCTATCTACGTGACTTTACCGAAAGAACCAAAGAAAATGTTTGCGTTGAGCCCGGACATTGTGCGTGCGCGATCGTTGCTCCGTCCCAGCCGGCGCCGTGAAGCTGAACAAGCAGCAGACGGACATTGCCGTCAACTGGGGCGGCGGGCTGCACCACGCCAAGAAGTCCGAGGCCTCGGGCTTCTGCTACGTCAACGACATCGTGCTGGCCATCCTGGAGCTGCTCAAGTGAGGGGGGGGGGGGGTGCAGGCAGCCAACGCCGTACGGTTCACACGAATAGTTGAGGCAGCGGGGCGGGTGGTCCCGACACTCTGGTTTGAGTCTGGGTTTCAACCAGGTTCATAAGTCAAGTGGCGAGTTTTGAAGGTCCTCGGCCCAGTCACCGATGACCGACCCGCACGTCATCTTCTCTGTCGTTAACATCGTTAGGCGAGTTGGACAGTCAAGCTCTTGAGCATGTAAAAAAAAACACAACGTTGATTTTGCTGCCGGAACTTTTTTCGCGCAACTTCTGCAGCTGCAACGGCGAGGGTACGGTCTGTACGAGCCGGCGGGTGCGCACCTTGTCATTATTTGCCGGTGTGACTGCGTGTGATATTCATAGTTTAATTGCACGCTGTGTAAGATGTAATTAGTTTGTACGCGTGTCACGATGTGTTTGCGATGTGGGTAACGGCGGCGCAATGGTTAGCGCGCTGCGCTACGAAGCCTGGCAACCCAAGTTAGATTCCTTCTCATGACCAATAATAGTACCAATTATATGAACCGGTCTTTGGCCTCCCCTAGGTCGACTCGGCCTCAAATGAGTACCTGGTGTGAAGTGTAAACACCACCAATGGGGAGACAAAGTCAGCCGGGCTTGGTGCTGGCCATCCACCCCCTCGTGTGCCACAATGCCGGCCTTCATAGGTGCTACTCACTAACAGCACTTACCTCAACGGTCTTTTAACGCTACGTGGGGCACCTTTGCCTCTCTGCTTGCGTGCAGGTACCACCAGCGCGTGCTGTACGTGGACATCGACATTCACCACGGGGATGGCGTGGAAGAGGCGTTCTACACCACGGACCGCGTCATGACCGTGTCCTTCCACAAGTACGGGGAGTACTTCCCCGGCACGGGAGATCTGCGGGTGAGGCGACCTGACCTTCCATCGCACGCATGCGCACGCACACCTGCCCGTCTTCTCTGTGCTAGTGGGAGCGGTGGCACGACGGTTAGCGCACCGCACTACGAGCCATGCGACCCGAGTTGGATTCCCACTCGTGGCCAACAGCAGTGACGATTATCTGAACTGGTGCTGGGCCTATTCTTTGGGTCTTTCGGTAAAGTCGCGTAGATAGGTTCAAAGAAAATAACAAAAAACTACGATGTTTCGATCGCAATACAAGCATTAGTCATCAGGCTCTTCCTGTTATTTTATTTGAACCTATCTACGTGACTTTACCGAAAGACCCAAAGAATATGAATTCCTGCAGTCACGAAAGCCTTAAGTCAAGATTTGGTCCTGGGCCTCCCCTCTAGGTCGACTCGGCCACAAATGAGTACCTGATGCGGTGTGTAGTAAGCATCGCCACTCGGGAGACAAAAGTGACAGGGCGTGGTGCTGGCCACCCACTCCCTCGTCTGCTGCTCCGGCCTTCATAGTTTGTGCTACTCTCTAACAGCACTTACCTCAACAGTCTGTTAAGGCTACACGGGTGGGGTGGGGAGGAAATCTTGTGTCTTTGTGAGACTGTAGCCTTTGGGCCTGTGCTCAGCCACTGCTGTTTTTAACAACGCGTGCCAGCTCTCGCTAACCTTGCGTGCACCTGTGACCCCCACCACAACCCCGCAACAGGATATTGGCGCCGGGAAGGGCAAGTATTACGCGGTGAACTTCCCGCTGCGCGACGGCATCGATGACGAGTCTTACGAGGCCATCTTCAAGCCGGTGAGCCGTCCGCCGCCTGCTGGGGGGTGGCCCTTTTTCCGCATCCTCACGCGGTGACGCCGGTCAATCGGTTTTCGCTTTTGTGGTGAAATCGGCCCATGCCCCCCGGCGAGCGGTTCCTGACTTTCGTATTACCGGTTCCAAATCGTCATAATTTTATGCTGGTTGTCGTTTAACGGCCTCGGGAAAAACCGCAGCTCCTGTGAGCTTCACTCGGACGCGGTGTGCGCGCCCTCCCCTCGCCACGCAGGTGATCTCCAAGGTGATGGAGATGTACCAGCCCAGCGCCGTGGTGCTGCAGTGTGGAGCCGACTCGCTCACCGGCGACCGACTCGGCTGCTTCAACCTCACCATCAAGGGTGAGCGGGCGGGCGGGATGTGCCCAGGTTTAACCTCCCGGCGAACGGCAGCACCGGAGAGGAACAGATCGTGCGAATAGGTCCTCTGCCAAAAGTTGGTTTCACCAGCTGGTAACTCGATTCAAGAAACGTGTAAAAATCTCTTAGACATTACAACTTTGCCAGCGCTATGTTGATTCTGGCTGCTCGGGGTTCCAGAGCCCTTGTGCCTATGCTCGGCAACTCCACTGATGAACTCTTCTTCTGATGAATTCAACACGAAAGAACGCATCCTCTTGTCCGTCGCTCGTCCCTGCAGGCCACGCCAAGTGCGTCAACTTCATGAAGAGCTTCAACTTGCCGCTGCTGATGCTGGGCGGCGGTGGCTACACCATCCGCAACGTGGCGCGCTGCTGGACCTTCGAGACGGCCGTGGCTCTCGACAGCGACATCGCCAACGGTGCCCCCCCCACCCCCTCCAACAGCCCCCTCCCCCACCCCGTGCAGCCTTAACAGACTGTTGGGGGGCGAGTGCTGTTAGCGAGTAGCTGGCACGACACACGAAAAGGGGTGGGTGTCCAGCACCATGCCCAACGTGCCTTTGTCTCTCAATTGGTGATGTTTACACATCGCACGGGTATTCGTTTGAGGTGGACGACCCAGGAGAAGGCCATTACTGGTTCAGATAATCGTCACTGGTGTTGGCCGTGAGCAGGAATCGTTCGACTAACTGGTGATCCCATTCTGTTTGGGTGGACACAGGCAGAGGGAGGGCATGTTAAAAATCTTGCACCATTTCAACAACCGCCACCAGGAGATAGAATCGAACTTGCGACTTCTGCATGGCGAGTCTATTGCACTGCGATCCGTCACACCACTGTGTGCAGCTCCCTTCACTTCTCAAAACGCTTAACGTTGCAATGTGTACTACCGCTGTAAGCATTTCTGTTCGTGCGGCAAAACCATTTCCGTCAAGTCAGTCGGTTTATTTGTGGCATGGCCCATTGAGCTCTCTTTGAATGGCGACGCGGCCAAAGTGGCTGATGCGAAGGTAGGGAGCACGTAACACGGGAAGTGAGAGAGCTTACGGAGGTTGCAGAGGTTGAGAATAAAAGCTGGGAAATATAAACATGAAAAATAAGTACAATTATAGACGACCAGTCCTATGTACAATAGAAATCTAGCGAGCAATCCACATTTACACCGTGCATGACGAGTGAGAGGAACCTGTGTATGGCATCTTACAGTGGCAGCGTTTATTAATACAACAGCAAGGGTGGCAGTTTAATATGTAGGCTTTCGCGACCATTATCCATGATATATATTTTTTGTTTGATTGCGTAAATATATAAATGTGTCATTAAACCTGCCACCACCTCACAGCCAATTAGTAAGGGCTGCAATCGCATTTCCTCTTTTACCTGCGACGCAAGCAAACCAAAAACCTCGCTGTGAACGACCCGGCCACGACGCTCGGCAGTCGTCATCAAAGCAGCGCGCGCATTGTGGACAGCGCGGTGAATCCCCCCCCCCCCCCCCCCCCCCGTGTTCCCCCCACACCCTCCTCCCCCATCAGAGCTGCCCTACAACGACTACTTTGAGTACTTTGGGCCGGACTTCAAGCTGCACATCAGCCCCTCGAACATGACCAACCAGAACACCCCCGAGTACCTGGAGAAGATCAAGTGAGTCCCGCGGCCACTGCCCCCCCCCCCATTGTGACGAGTGCGGACCCCCCACCACCACCACCCCCACCAGCCTCCCACCAGCCTCCCACCAGCCCCCCACCAGCCCCGCTCAGCTTGTGTTCCTCTCCCGCCCGCAGGCAGCGGCTGTTTGAGAACCTGCGCATGCTCCCGCACGCGCCCGGCGTGCAGATGCAGGCCATCCCGGAGGACGCGGTACCCGAGGACAGCGGCGAGGAGGAGGAGGACCCCAACAAGCGAATCTCCAGTGCGTCTCACACTCGCACAAAGACAAATATCCCCCCTGTCGGATTTATGGACTGTTGGGGCAAGCGCTGTTCGCGAGTAGCACCTATGAAGGCCGGCACGGTGCACAAGGGGGTGGGTGGCTGGCGCCACGCCCGGCCACTTTTGTCTCCCCAGTCGCGATGTTTACACACTGCACCAGGTACTCATTTGAGGCTGAGTTGACCTAGGGGAGAACCAGGACCGGTTCAGATAATCCGTCACTTGTTGGGCATGAGCGGGAATCGAACTCCGGTCACCGGGTTTATAACGCTGCACAAACGCTCCCAACACACACGCACACACACGCACACACACGTGCGCACACACACGCACACAAGCACACGTGCGCACACACGCGCGCGGCCACTTCCTATCGCCACGCAGCAGTAGTGCCCTTGATCTGGGCTGTGCCTGGTGGCTCTGGTTGGAGAGTATCGAGCTGGCACCGCTGGGATCGCAGCACAGCGCGAGGGGGAGGCTCTCTTCATGGGCTGGCTCAGGCAAGGTCGTTTTAATTTACGCTCTTCTCTTTTCGTCGGAACAACGCAAGTCCGCGCGTCGGACAAACGCATCGCGTGCGACGAGGAGTTCTCCGACTCGGAGGACGAGGGCGAGGGCGGCCGGAGGAACGCCGCCAACTACAAGAAGATCAAGCGGCCCAAAGTGGAGGAGGAGAAGAAGGCTGAGGTGCCCAGTGCCCCCGTCGCGGATGAGAGGAAGCCAGGTGAGGGGGGGGGGGCGTGCATGGGGGAATTATAAGGTCACGCGCGGTGCGTGTGTCGGTCATGGTCCGCGGGATGGGTCGAGGGATTTTTAATTGCAGAGGACAACAACCTGCTCAGGTTGTCGTCGCGCGCGTGTGGTGTCTATGGCCGTGTTGCGATGCTTGTCCCCGGGTACGTTGTGGCTGCGCGCTCAGCGTCCGTGTGTCATGGGGTGGTTTCCTTTGCAGAGCCCAAAGAAGACGAGCAGACCAGAGAACCCAGTGCGGAGACGGGCGAAGCTAAAGGGTGAGTGGTACGGTGGTATGGTAGTACGGAGGGTCGCGCCCTTTCACCGGCGGGCGTTCAGTCAGTCGCCTCCTTATTGCTCTTCTATCGCTGCTACCACCAAGACCAAGGTTACTGCTCCTGTAAACTTTCCACCCACTGACTCCTTCGTCTCATCCTCGCTGTGTTCAACCACCACCACCCACACTGCAGGTCAACAACACTCTCACCAAACCACCCACTCGCTAACCTGCTCAAACCACCACACCGCAGGTCACGCCACGTCTCATACATACGTCTCTTTCTGCTTCCTTTCGCACGGTGGAATTCCCTCCCATCATCGCCTATCTTTCACAAGTTCTCATCGTAACAATAATAATAACCTTGCTCGATTCAACAAACGTGTCAACTCATCTACAACAACTCTGATGGTGCTGTTTATTGCTCGCCCACTTGTCGCTCTGGGCCCTGCGTGCGATGTGGCGGCGATGATGATGCCATCGTGGTTCTGATGAAAACCGCTGTGTCTCCTCTGCCTGCCAGGCCCAAGCTGGAGGAGTCTAAACCGAGCACCTGAGGGAGGAGGAGCGTCGGGGGGGGGAGCAAAGGCGGCGGGTGCCGTGCGGTGTTGCCCGTGTGCGTGCCACCCCGGTGCCCTTAAGAGGAAGGGTCCCTTACCAGTCGATGATAACCACCACTGCCTCCCCGCCCACCACCACCACTCCCACCTCCCCAGGATTTATATTCAAGTGCCACTCATTACAACGACGACAACAACAACAAGAGTTCATGACCAGAAGCGTAGAAATGGCAGCGTTGGCTGGCTAGCGGCCGTAGCGAAACCGGAATGGTGCGGACAAACGTGGCTCTGCTTGTCCCGCGTCCGCAAAGATGTCTGGTACGTCGGCGCAGAACGGTGAGGAGCGGAGCTCGCCCGTGCCAGAGCAGCAGCTCCGGAACGAGCTCCGAAGGAAGTTAACCGCTAAAGATCTTTTTTTACAATCCCCTCCTCCCTGTCCAAACCCTACCCAGCATTAAAATGTAAAACGACAAAATCGGCTGAGTGTTTTGTCTGGTGCAGGCACGGTTAAACTTTTTTACACGTCGTTTTTTCGACCAAAGCCCTTTTAAATTAAGCGTTGTGAATTGTCGTGTAGGCCTTCCTCGCTTGCCTCCATCACGGTGTTGTCTTTTAGTTATTCCGTACAGCAAAGCAAAATAATTTGAAATTGAAGTCAAGCGGCAAGTGTGCGTTTCAGCCGCCATCAGATGAGATGCCGTGGGTGGTTATAACACCGCTCTGAACCTGCGGAGGAGAGCTTCAAATCCATAGTATTTTGTAAATTCCGTGCGTGCTTTGTTTTTCCACCCGACCACCGTAGCCGTAGTTGTCGGATTGCGACACTCTCCGTCCGTGTAACAAGCGGGTGGCTTTATTTTTAAACGATGCCATCGTCACGTGCTGCCCCCCACTCCCGTTATGACGAGGTCACTTTTGACCCCCCCTTGCCCCAGGTGTCGTGGCAACGTTAGCACAGTTGTGGAGGAATTTTGTGTGAAAACTTCCCCCGCCCCCACAATAAAGTCAAGTCACGTACACGAGTATGCTTATCTCTTGCTCATTCAACGTCCAATTTGTTCGCGGGTCTGTCAAAGAAGATTGAAAGTTTTATTTTACCAGGTAAGAGGTAAGGCCTACCAAGCTATATATGGCTGTTTTTCAGAAGCGACCTGGCCACAGGAGAACTCGACGAAGTGGTTTATCACGTGGAAATCTATAGCAGCCAATTAAACCCATGTTGGTTCTTTCTGTGGAAGGGAAGACCGCAGGACCCAGAGAAAAATCCACGACCACGGGAAGAGAGACACCGCAAACTCCAAATATACAGGCATCGGGATTGAACCCACGACCTGTATACCAGGTGAGGGCTTTAACATCTTGCCACCGTGATAACGGGGAAGCCTCAAATTCGTTCTTGCACGTAGGATCTCAAGGCCGATATGATTCATAATTGGTTACTGTTGGGTCCGATTGTGTAGTTATGACGTCGGTGTTGGAGCTGTGACCATTTGCCGCCCGACAGCCTTCTAAATTAATTTCACAACATTTCGTAGCATGCAGATCAACAACAGTCCAGGTGAACGTGTTTTGTATCTTTCATTTTTTTATTCATAAACATACTACAACAATAAACGATTTCATAACCAGAACATTTGCAATATCCACCAATCCCTCCCAAGGTCGTGGATATCGCAGCTGATTCTGGTGATGCAGGTTCAAGCCCCAGAGCATTTTACATCCAGTATAAGTTTTACAAATTATTCCACAGCGACATCATCACACAGCCAGGGGGCCGACCATAAATGACGTCACGCACCTAGAGGGGGGGGGTGGTCAGACATTTGTGACGAGGGGGGGTTTGAGAAATGTGGCGTCACATCAAAATGCGCAACTTTGAATAAATATAAACACGTTCTATTTCGATTTCAAGCTTTCGTGACTGCAGGTATTCATCTTCTTGGTTCTTTCGGTAAAGTCACGTAGAATGGGAATAATAAAAATAAAACAATAAAATAATTCTCACGACGTTTTGGCTACAACGCAAACAGCCGTCCTCAGGTGGATAACAGGTCTGTCGAGAAATCATTCAGACTCTGTCTTCTCGACAGACCTGTTCTCCACCTGAGGACGGCTGCTTGCGTTGTGGCCGAAACGTCGAGAGTATTATATTTTATTTTTATTATTTCCATTCTACGTGACTTTACCGAAAGAACCAAGAAGACAACACGTTCTACTTAATTAAATAGACTTTTTAATAAATGTTTTGTCCTGCAAAATCAGAGTGCAGCGCCACATTCAATACAATGACAATAGTTTAAAGCGATTTGAAGCATGTTTTATTTTGGGGGGGGGGGGGGCAGAGCTTTGTGACGTCATATTTGCAGGGGGGGTCGGACTTTTTGTGACGTCTTGTGACGAAGGGGGGGGGGGGGTAAAAAAATCGTCCAAAATCGCGTGACGTCATTCATGGACGGCCCCAGGTGTCACGTCGTGTGCTCACTGCACTGAGCGAGCGCCTCCTGTGTGTGTGAGGACGCAGTGGCTTAGGGCAATAAGCAAAATACGATATCAGAACATTGGAGGTTATGATCCAGCCCCGAGTTTATGAGGAGCTACTAAATCCCATACTGCTCTTCAAGAATGTGGACATCCCCCTGGGAGTAGGTTCCGCTTGACAGGCGTCTCAGCTGCTTCATCGCGTTCCTGATCGCCTCTTTTTCGGAACTTGTCAGGAACGAGCAGGCCACCTGCAAGACGCATTTCACGCACACAGACATGGCGTCATCTTCCCTGCTACTGCTGCTGATGATGCTCTCGTCCGCTGTCGCTACTCCTGGTGCTGCCGTATGAATGTAGTGTGGCGGTGCGCGTGCTGCGCTATGAACCTGGCGACCCGAGTTCGATTCCCGCTCACGGCCAACACCAGTGATGATTATCTGAACCCGTTCTGGGTTTTTCCTAGGTCGACTCAGCCTGAAATGGGTACCTGGTGCGGTGTGTAAACATCGCCAATGGGGAGACAAAGGCGGTCGGGCGTGGTGCTGGCCACCCACCCCCTCGTGTACCGTTCCGGCCTTCATAGGTGCTCGCTAACAGCATTTGCCCCTACAGTCTGTTAAGGCTATACGGGGGATCTTTATCTCTGTATGTTGAACCTATTTCACACCATAAGTAGCCAACCATGCTGCTGCTATGCACGCGTCTTAGATTTCCTCTGATTTATATTTGCTTCATTGCTGCACATTGTTCTTGCTGTACTCAAAGACAATGTTTGAGGGTACTGTTGACAATTTTTAGTTTGTATACGTAGGCTTCCACGCCCTCTGCTATGATTCGTAATTAATTTTTCTGTTGGGTTAGATCATGGGGTCCGCTCACAGCCGACTATAATCCACCACCTGACGGAGCCAATCAAATCAAGTAGTCACGTGGGCAAAGATGCCAACTGATTTGGTTCATCGGCATGGCCTTTTCAACGGATGAATGTTGAAAAGGCCACGCGAAATCTGACAATCCTTCCAGGAGGTTTTCGCTGGAAATCACGACCAACATGGAATGGCGCTGAAAAGCGCACGGCACTCCCCTCGCGTGGAAGAGTTTCCCGCCCTGGTCCTCGCGTGGGTGCCATGACGTCAACAGCACAGCCGGGCAGTGTGAAGTCGGTTTAACGATTACAGAGTTGATGGATTGCTGGTTGATTGGCTGTGATTGACAGTGATGAAGAGATAAGAACAGGTTTTACCCTTTTTGGCAATAAAACAGGAGGTGTTAAGATGTTCAAACACCAAATAGATGCCTTTTGCAAGGCAACAAAGTCTGCATTAACCACACGTACTTGTGGAAAAAACGCGCAAACATCCTCTGATAATCAACACATGCATTGTCTTTCAAACTGATTTGGCCATCATACTGGCATCGAGGTGCCATAGATACGCAATTGACAGGTTACGCGATTGGCGTAACGAGGAGGTAAGCACCGGTGATGCCTCGGAACGCTCCCTGGAGCAGCGGGAGATCTCACGCGCCAGGGCCCACCACGGCCTCACCTGGAATCGCGGCGCCCTGGTCAAGCGCTGCAGGTAGCGGAACGCCGTGCCGGGCTCGCCGGGCAGCACGTGCCGCTCGACGGCCCGCGCCACCAGCGCCACGTCGGCGCCCTCCAGGAGGTTGCTCGAAACGAGCGGCAGCCGGTCCGGCCCGACCGAACTCAACAGGTCGGCCGCCGCGCGCACCGCGCCGGCGTTGGGGTCCGCCCCCAGCCGACTCCACCGCTGCCCAAACTCGTACGCGCTCAGGGGCACGGCCTCGCCGGACGTTCGCCGGTCGGCGCCGCTCCTCCGGCCGAACGCGGTGACGGTTGCAGCGGCGGCGGTGGTGGCAGTGACAGCGGTGGCGGTGTTGGTGGCGGTGGTGGTGACGGTGGCGGCGGTGACGGTGGTGGTGGTGGCGGCGACGGTGGCGGCAGTGACAGCGTTGGTGGCGGTGGTGGTGGTGACGGTGGCGGCTGTGGCGGTGGCGGTGGTGGCGGCGGTGGCGGCGGTGGCGATGGTGGCGGTGGTGACGGTGGTAGTGGTGGTGGTGGCGATGGTGGCGGCACATTTTGAGGAATCCTCGTTGCTCTGGGACGAAGCGGCCGTGGGGGTGACGGCGTCCGCGTGCTGCGTGACACTCGGCGCGGCGCTGGGCCACGGTTGCGCTCCTGCGAGGTCTTCATCTCCTTCATCGTCCTGCAAAATATTTGTAAGAACGGACGTCGCCAATTGTCTCGAGGGACAGCAATGGTTTAACGGCTCGTTGCGGTGGGCGGTGAAGCTGTGCGTTGCCAGTGTGATCCAGCCGGGTGGCCCAGCGGTCGAGCGGGCGGCTCGCAATCGGAAAGCCCAGAGTTCACCTCCCGGTTGTCGGGGTTGACATTGAAACATAATGTGCATTTCATGTTAATATCTTTGTTATTTTATTACTAGATTAATTTTTTTCTTTTGACAGCTGACGTAAAAGTGGTTCCAATCACCCATAAGTTCTCTCCTAACTTACACAACTGATTACGAGTAATCCCCGTACGGAACTCAGCGCTAGGCCAAGTCTCGTACGTAGCGTGCCGTGCTAATTGGAGGTGCGGGTGAAGGACAACAAACTGAGCTGCCATGTGTGTTAAGTTGTCCTTACCCCGCACCTCCGATTAGCACGGCTCGCTACGCACAGTGTGAGAGAAGCTCAACATACATACGTATAAGTCTCAGCTTATGCGATTTGTTAGAATTACATAAGTCGTTCCGTGTTCGGGCCCCTGTCCCGAGAATTAATAACAACACCGTGGAACGTACCTCCATCTCTATTTGAAGGGTTACCCTCTTCTTACCGAGGGAAGAGGATTCTGGATGCGAGGCGAGAATTGGACGTTCACCTGTACGCACACACAGCCACCAAGAGTAGAGCAACACACACAAACACGCACGCCGTCACTGGAGCCGGACTCGCCTTGCTCACGGCACGTCTCGGATTTTATAAATCAAAATATTTCATACCCACGTGACTTTGCCGAAAGAACCAAAGAGTATGGATCCCTGCAGTCACACAAACTTAAAATCTATAATGATGACGTCACTTGTGAGCCCATCACGTGCGAAGGGGGGGTTATTGAATTCACATAAATTACAATGGGTACACATTGCCCGTTGGGTTATTCACATGGCAATCAACGCACATTGTGCTTGTACCTCCTGTCGCTTTCTTTGGTTCTTTCAGTAAAGTCACGTAGAAAATTATAATTAAAAATAAAGTGAATTAAAATTATACAAACCACTAATGTAGACTGTAGCCTGGTTCTTAATCGGAGTGAATGTACTGGCAATCTATAAAGTGGACTGCAGTCTGGTTATTTAGTTTGGTGAGTGTACTGGCAGTCTATAATCTAGACTGTAGCCTGGTTTTAAGCTGGTGAGAGTATTGGCAGTCTATAATGTAGACTATAGCAATGGTTATTAAACTGAGTGAGTGTACTGGCAGTCTATAATGTAGACTGTAGCAATGGTTATTAAACTGAGTGAACCTACTGGCAGTCTATAATGTAGACTGTAGCAATGGTTATTAAACTGAGTGAGCCTACTGGCAGTCTATAATGTAGACTGTAGCAATGGTTATTAAACTGAGTGAGCCTACTGGCAGTCTATAATGTAGACTATAGCAATGGTTATTAAACTGAGTGAGTGTACTGGCAGTCTATAATGTAGACTGTAGCAATGGTTATTAAACTGAATGAGCCTACTGGCAGTCTATAATGTAGACTGTAGCAATGGTTATTAAACTGAGTGAGCCTACTGGCAGTCTATAATGTAGACTGTAGCAATGGTTATTAAACTGAGTGAGCCTACTGGCAGTCTATAATGTAGACTGTAGCCTCCTGCCGTTTTCATGCAATATACCAGCACTGTACCTGCTATTGTCTGCGTACAGGTAATCCCGATTGATGTATGGTGACCTGTATAGGCATGTATGATTTGATGATTCACTTCCAAGTAGCACAATGCCTGTTGCTATCCGAATGGTTACAATTATTTTTATTTCTCTCAATTTCGATAGATTCTCGAATTAGTCTTGGCCAGTTTTGCACCGAACTGATATAAATAAATAAAAACTCTTCACTGGCCCTCATATCGACCCTTCGTACGTCCGTCACAGACCCTCTGGGCCCAGGGTGGGTGTCGGAGCCGTCCCGCGCTGCCCTGCCGCCAGCACGCCGGCAACGCGGCACCCTCCGTCGTCGCCACCCTCCACGCTGAGCGTGAGCTTACGCAGCAAGGTCTGTTCCACACGGGGAAATAAACATCCTTCGCAAAATCCCCACAAAGCTAAACATAGCGCCAAAGACAAAGATCCCCCGTATAGCCTGCAACAGACTGCTGTGAGCATGCGGTACCTATGAAAGCCGGTACAGCACACGAGGGGGTGGGTGGCCAACACCATGCCCGACCGCCTTTGTCTTCCCAGTAGCGATGTTTACACACTGCACCAGGTACTCATTTGAGGACTGGGGGTCAGATAATTGTCAATGGTGTTGGCAGTGAGCAGGATTGACAATCGGGTCGCCGGGTTCGTCGTGCAGGGCGCCAACTGCTGTACTACTGCTCCCCACGAGCCCCACACACACACCCCCACCTCGAACAGCAGCATTTCAACAGCACTGGTGCAAACACGAGTGTACCACTCTAGACAATAATTGTCTCATCAGCTTCATCAGGCTTGGTTGAGCCAATGCCGGTGTCGAACTAGGACTCATATCTAATCGAAGAGGGTCCTTGCCCATACACATATTACAGTTCCTTCCCCAGCATTGGTTCAAGCAAGCCTGACTGCTGCTGATGAGAAACTGTGAATGACGAAAAACCAGTCCAATGTATCGTCTTATTGAGCCAACTGCTGCTGAAATTACGCATTCCCAGAAGGCCGCGTGGCTGATGGGATGTGTAAAAATGTACGTTGTTATTCTTTTTCTACTTGAAGGGAATAGCTACGCGAAGAGGGAGGCGTGTTGTCTGCTTATTCATCTTGTTAATAACAATCTCCCCGACACGCCAACGCTCGTGATTTTCGCTCATAACTAGAGCACCCAATCTTGCAACCCGCACACATCAAGTTCACATGCACTAGCCAACGCCATCTCCCACAACACATCGAGCTCAGCCCGGCTGGCCTTGGGAACAAGGCCCGGCTCCAGCTCCTCTCCGAAGTTGAGGCTAAGCAGAGCTGTCGAGTGGGGTGGGGGGACCACCACGACAGTGATTACACCGCTAAAGGAGGAGAGTGACCTTGGCTTGGGCCTAAGGAACTTGGGGTGGTGCAGGGCCCCCCGCCCCCCCCCTCCGCCCTTGCGGCCAGCCCTGCGTGAGGAGTTGTGCAACGACCTGAGCCTGAGTGTTGTGTTGGTCCAGCTCCAGGACTGTGAGCAAGTCGCTCCGGGCAGAGGCGTCTCGGCCCCGTTCCCTGTGCACCAGCGCCCTGCGCAACAGAGCTGCAACGGCACAACATGTTGAACTTCTTTCGCACCGCACATAGCCAGCCATGCTCATTGGAGGTGTGGGGGAAGGACAACAAAGTAACACACACAAAGCTGTTTTTCACACGCTTGGGGTAGTGCTGCACGTGAACACCGTCGCTGTGCCCCGAGCTCGTAGACCTCGAAACATCCATCGGCCAGCAACAGCCGGCACTGCTGTCAAAGTCGTAATAGACACCAGCGGCTTATGGGCTCCTTGAATTGAGCAAGTACATCGTTGTAAGAACATGCAGCAGTGCAAGGGAAGAAGCGGAAGTGTTTTGACCAGGGTGAGTGGGTCGGCAGGTGAGTGTGTATGTGGGTGACTGAGTGAGTGAGTGGGTGGTTGAGCGAGTGAGTTGCTGTGACCTGCGGTGTGGTGATTGAACACAGTGCGGACGAGGGTCGTTCCCCCTCGTCGAGAGTGAGCAAATACCGCGTGGCGCTTTACCAATTGACATTATCATTGTTACCATAACGTCGTGAAGATCGAAAGGTGACGCCGACGACGGTGGCTCAAGTAAAGCGCGAGCGGTGCGTGAAACACGGAACCTTTGATGTTGTTTGGTTCGAGCCCGAGGACCGTGTTGCAGTCGCGCAGTGCGTCGTCCCACGCCGCTCGCTTGATGTGAGCCAGCGCTCGGTTGTTGTAGCAGGCGGCAGTCGGCAGCGCGGCAATGCTCCTGTTGTGCCGGCGACAGTGGGTGCCGCGGGAGCGTCGCTCGTTTCATACGATTCCGACAGGTACAGCGTTGTATGTACGATGTACATTAAACCTCTTTCGCAATGTACATAGCCAAGCAGGCTAATCACATACATGACGCTAACACGAAGCACAATTGCCATGACATCGCTTTGAGAAGGTTAACTGATGGTAATATTGTTGTTAAAGCAGCCGACTTACTTTAAAGTGAATACGTTACATCGCAACACGAATGTCCGGTTAGTGTGGAAGAGTAGACCAAAGGCCAGTCTAGCTCTCTAGTGGAGGCTCTTCCACCAGTAGTGATGTGAGCCAGCAAGCAAATTGGTAGGGTAGCACCTCTCCCTTTTGATGAAGGAATTATGGCAAACAAGAACCACGCCGTGACTCAGCCTGCCGTGCGGTGTGCACGACCCTCACGCATGCCAATCGTCGCGTTCGCTGCTCGACATTCCACAGGAGACGACGATTACCAACTCCTGGCCATCGGAAAACCGTTGACCGATTCTGAAACCAGTCAGTGTGGTTTTTTTTTTACCAGTTGGCGTTTAACAGCCCTGCTGGAGAGTAACAACCACTGAACTCGTGGCAACAAAAACACGTCCACACGTCCCACACACTACCTGGTCCACACGTCCACACGCTACCTGGTGTAGTAAGCCAGCGCTTCTGCAAAGTCTCCGGCTCGGAACGCATCGTTGCCCTTCTCCTTCTCTTTCTCTGCCCTCACCGCCAGCTCGGCAGCAGACATCCCTGCGACAACATTTGCACCGCCGCACGTGGTGGAACCACCGGTCACACCGTAGAAAGCCACGTCTTTTATACGGTGTCTCGCTTGGCATCTACTATAACTTTCCCCCGCCATATGAATGTGCACGTTGCACCACTGGCTCTGCAGGGGTGCAGGAAGAGATGAGCACCAGTGCCTCGATGCTCATTGGTGCAGGAAGTAACGCTAATATTTTTCATAGGAGAGTTATCAAGCTCATTTTTATAAAAAAAATCATTCATATTATTGTCACCTGTGTGAAATGTGAACATTAAAGTACACTTACATTGCCAAGGGGATTTTCCAGGCGATATAAATCAATACGAAAAGCGTGCAGGTGACCCACCCACTGTGTTCAAGGCCAGCGCAAGGTCCGGCGGGTTCCTCGTCGGCTCGTCACCGGCAGGAGGCCGTGGGTCACCACCTTCCCCGTCTGCGGCATCCAGACGGGCACACTCCCCTTCGACGTCATACCTGGAACACGCGTTCCCAGTAAATCCCATCATCACTTTTGGGACGTCTTACCATTGACCCACCGTTACAGGGAGCCAGCCACACACGCCCATAACCAGGGCGCCTGGTTTATGTTGTTGTTTTTGGTTGAATTACAGTCGCAAAGCACAGGCTAAAATTCTAGATTTGAAGCTTTCGTGACTGCAAGGATTCATTCTCTTAGGTTTTTTCGGTAAAGTCACGTATGTAAAAAATAAATAATAAAAGTTTTATTAATAATAATAGAAATAAAATAATAAATCACGACGTTTCTGAGGCAACACAAGTCTCTGTCATCAGATGGGACCGTCACAGCTAAATTCACTGTATCAAGTGAGGGCTAAAAGTTGTAGCACGTCCAGCGGCCAGCGACAAACAGCACTATCAGCACTATCAAAGATATTCTATATAATAGTGTAACATGTTTCTTGCGTTCAGCGAGGTAATTATTATAACAGCTTGGGGAAAAAGAGATGACGATGATGATGGGAGGGAATTCTAAAGTGGAGCAGTGCGAGGGAAGAAGCAGAGTGTGGAGGAGGCGAAACAGTGAGTCTGGTAGCCCGAGTCGCCAACAGGCGATGATGCTCTGGGCTAAATCCTAACGGGATCAAACATAGAGAGACAACCCTCATTTCAACCAGCAGTGACCAAAGTTTATTTTCATATCATAAACCAACAGAGTCTATGTGAGGATATCATCGTTTGGCACACCTGCCAATGGCGTTTACTGCCTTGTGGTACATATGTAATGCGGTTGTAAACGGCCCTTCTGAGGTGCCGTCAGGGGGGGAGGAGTTAGGTCACGTGGGGGTCAGAGGGGTTGAGTATAGAAGGAGGGGAACCGGAAGAGCAAGAGGGGTGACGGGGAACCAGGAACAGAGGAAGGCCACGAAGGGCGAAGCAGGGTGTGGCGAGATCGCCACGAACACGGGGGGAGCGAGGATCGGCACCGTTGGCCAGCGGTGACCGACCCGAAGCAGCGAGGAGGCTGCAGTCAGCAGCGGGGCTGCACAGAGAGAGTGGGCAGCGGGTCTGCATACAGTGACAGCCAGAGGGTCTGCACATAGGGGTAGCAGCGGGAGTCTGCATAGGGGTAGCAGCGAGTCTGCAGGGAGGAGGTTACAGTAGATGAAGCAGAGAGTCAGAGGGGAGAGGAAGCTATAATAGCAGTGAATAGCCGGGGGCTACGAATACAGGAGTTATAACAGAGTGCCGTGTGGGTAAAGACGTGAACCTGAATAAAGACACGAAGACAGAAAGAAGTGTTCGAGTCCTTTTATTACACTGGAGTCAGAAGTGAAACGGCATGGCGAAACAACTGAGGAAGAAGAATATCCCATCTCCGGCGTCGGCTTCATCATCGGACGACGACGATCTTCCTCCTGAGGTCGGCTTCACTTCGGCGGAGGGAGAGATCCGTGAGGGCCCGGGTGTGGAGGAGGTTGCCGCTGCGTCTGACCCATCTGCGTTGAAGGACGAAGATTTAAGATGGACCCGGATGGCGGAGCAACTGGCGACCCTAAAAACCGTCATCACGGAGTTGTGTGACCTTGTCACGCCAAGGGCGGCGTTGGAAGGTGATGGTGGTGATCGGCAGGAGCCCGGGTCGTCTTCGATGGCGCCGCCATCGGCCACGCGGCGTGAAGACGCCATCTTGGGCGTGGCGCACCACGGAAGGCGGGAAGCCGCCATTTTGGGGCCGCCACGAGGATCGTCCGCCATCTTGGCGACACCGCGTTGCGACGCCTTGCTGAACTTGCCGCCGGAAGAGTCGGTGACGGACGGAAGCAGGCCAAGGAGCCGCAGTCGTCACCTTACAACTGTTAAGGAGTTCTCCATCGGGGGCGATTGGAGTGCGTTCGCTTGTCGATTTTTGGCGGCGGTACGAACGGCAAGGTGGACGGACGCCGAGGCGCTGGAGGTGCTTCCGACTCTCCTTGACGATGAGTCTGTTCGTTTTTTTCGCTCTATAAAAGCTGCGAAGAAGAAAACATTGCGTGGAGTGTTCGACGAAATGGCGGACGCGTACGAGCCACCGGATGACGCCCATCGCCGCTTCGTGCAGCGGCAACGCGCACCGGAGGAGTCGCCTGTAGCGTACAGGGGCGCCGTGCTGGAACTCGCGATGGCCGCTTACCCGGACACGGAGCCTGACCTGCTGGAACCTCTCATCTTGGGGAAGATGTTGGAGTTATCCCGGGATCTGGGCATTCCTATGCCGGCGTGCGGTCACGAGAAACTCACGTCCCGGACCGTGGCCAAGTGTTTGGACGCCCAGTTCAATCTCCGCCGCTGGAAACAAGTCACGGCGTGGACGGGCGGTCCTGTCGTCGATGGGGGGGCCGTAGGGTGGGACCCTACAAAGGCCGTGTACGTGCCGGATGCGACCGGCCCAAAGGAGCTGTCGGCCGCCTCCACTCCGTGGCCGGCTCGAAGCGGGCCGGGGCCGCGGGCTCCGCCGCCGGCGCGGCCACGTCGGGACGGGGGGCCTGCTGCGCGCCGACCCGACGTCGACTGTTTCCGCTGCGGCCGTCGGGGCCACTATGCCAGGGACTGCTGGGCCCGGGTTCCGGGGCCACCCCAGCAGGAGGCCTCGATTGCGGACGCCCCAAAGAAAGACCCTCCGGCACAGACAAGCCGGCCGTGACACCGCAGGGAGGAGGACCTTCCGCTTGTGGGACGCCGACCGGAGCCGCAGAACCCACGGGACCTGCAGCTCTTCCTATCCCTCCGCGGACGCGAGTACGGGATGTTTCTGGACGCGAGCGGGACAGTGGCGGGCCTCCAATGGCGACGGAAGAACTTGCGCCCGTCGCCCCTAAAACCCTTCCACGTTCCCGCTCGGCGGGTGGGCCGCCGACCGTCCGGGACGGCCCGGCTACCCGTACTCGCTCGAAATCCCTCACGTTTCGTTAGATTGTGTTGTGTTGTGTTATTGTTATAATGTCTTCAATGCTTCGTGTCTTTTTGCGTGTTGGCCCTTTACACCCGCATTGCTTTTCAGGTTGCAATTCAGCCGAGGTCGGCTGGATTTTCTTTAGGGGGGAGGGTGATGTAATGCGGTTGTAAACGGCCCTTCTGAGGTGCCGTCAGGGGGGGAGGAGTTAGGTCACGTGGGGGTCAGAGGGGTTGAGTATAGAAGGAGGGGAACCGGAAGAGCAAGAGGGGTGACGGGGAACCAGGAACAGAGGAAGGCCACGAAGGGCGAAGCAGGGTGTGGCGAGATCGCCACGAACACGGGGGGAGCGAGGATCGGCACCGTTGGCCAGCGGTGACCGACCCGAAGCAGCGAGGAGGCTGCAGTCAGCAGCGGGGCTGCACAGAGAGAGTGGGCAGCGGGTCTGCATACAGTGACAGCCAGAGGGTCTGCACATAGGGGTAGCAGCGGGAGTCTGCATAGGGGTAGCAGCGAGTCTGCAGGGAGGAGGTTACAGTAGATGAAGCAGAGAGTCAGAGGGGAGAGGAAGCTATAATAGCAGTGAATAGCCGGGGGCTACGAATACAGGAGTTATAACAGAGTGCCGTGTGGGTAAAGACGTGAACCTGAATAAAGACACGAAGACAGAAAGAAGTGTTCGAGTCCTTTTATTACACATACACCTGGACACAGAACATCTGGAGGCGATATAAACTGCTTTAGCAGTGAAGTAGAGTGATGATGCGGTATTGCATGATGAGCACACGGTGTGTATTACTACTACTACGCTTGCTTAGCCATCAATGTCTCAATACTCTCTTTCAGGAGGGACCTGCCAAGCTTTCAGAGTAGTAGTAGGGGGCGATGCTTTTTGTGTGTGTAATCCCAATTGAGTAATTTGCAATGTAATATTTCAGCATTGGGATATTTTGGCCAATACCAGATATATTGTGTATATATATATATTTGCTATGGGAAGAAGCCAATGCAGAACAGAGGAGGAACATGCAATGTACACTCGCTCACTCAACACTCATTCTCTGCAGAGCAGATGGAGAACATACAAACTCCACTCACTCACTCAACACTCTCTCTCACTCTCTGCAAAACAGATGAAGAGCATACAAACTCCACTCACTCACTCAACACTTTCTTTCACTCTGCAGAACAGGGGGAGAAAGTACAAACTCCACTCAACACTCTCCCTCATTCTCTGCAGAACAGGTGAAGAACATAAAACTCCACTCACTCAACATTCTCACTCACTCTCTGCAGAATATATAGAGAACTTACAAACTCCGTGCAGAAAGGCGCTTGGATCGGGGATCGAACCCAGGGACTTCTTGCTGTGAGCACGGATGTTACCTCTGTGCCAGCCTGCACATGAGCAGCATTCCTCCTTCACGTCACAAGCACACACTCACTTGCATTTGAATTCTATTCCACCTTTCACTCACCTGTCCCAGGCCTTGTAATCCACAGAGCGAATCCTTCTCTCTGCGGCACCATGAATGTCTTTCTTAACAGATTTCTGATGAAAAGCAAGAGCATTGCATTAAGCCAAACACACACAATTTTCTATTTTTAAATGAACAAGCAACCCAAATGACACAAAAAACACATTTGTCAATAACACTGTGGCCTAAACAGAAAGTGGATCATAAGATCCATAATCATTGTCTTTTTGAGCTAGATTGCGTAAATTAAAATGTGTCATTAAACCTGCCACCACCGACACAGCCAATCAGTAAGGTTTGTCACGTAAACAGATCGTGCCAATGAGTTACTAGTTCAGCACGTCGGTGTGTTGGAGAGCAAACCCACAACATTTACAATTGGAGTACGACGTGTCGCTGGTGATTACAACCAGCCTCATCAGGCGATAGCCAGAAACACATTTGCACCTACACACACACACATGGACTCAACCGAATAGTCAATGGAGAACATTAGAAAGGTGTATTCCTACAACACACCCACCACAGTCTCACCTCAACGGAAATCTTGTCATGAACGTTTCTGACAGGAGGTAAAAGTGCCCCCATGAAGGCGTCTGCCTCAGCGGGACGCGTGCTCTTGATCGCTTCTTCTCTCTTTCGCATCTCATCACTCCACTCCTGAAATATACCAAATATCATATTTGTACAGAGGTAGGATTATTTTAAGTGTCTGTTAATACCGAATGAGCCGCTATACTGTAACAGAAATAAATAAGCACACAATAAAGCTGTATGTGTCCCTCCACATACAAAAAATACTTTTTTTTATCACAGCCCATCAGCCACATGGCTCTCTGGCAGTGCATAATGTCAGCAGCATTGGTTCAAAATCAGCAAAGCTCTGGACCCGTTCGATACTCAGTGTCTCATCAGTAGTGTCGGGCTTGCTTGCAGAAATACAATTGAACTGCCAGTGCCTATGGGCAAGAACCCTTGCTGTTATATATGGACCCTTGGTTTCCACACAACACAATATAATACAGAACACAACATAATCAGCCACGTCGTTTGGACGTTCGATTCGCGTGTGCCAACCAGTGCATTTGTTACTAAACATCCCACCGGATACGGTGAGCGGTTCCTGACTTTCGGAAACCAGTAACAATTCTGTAATCGGTTGGCCGTTTGTGCTTGTGTAGGACTAGGGCAAGCCCTAGTGTAGGACTAGGGCAAGCCCTAGTCCTACACTAGTCCTAGTCCTACACGAGCACAGCGGCGGCGGTGCAGCGGCGGCGGCGCCGGGTGACGTACCTGCAGCGCGTCCAGGAGTTGGGCGCGCTCCTCGGGCGGCAGGCTGGCCGCCGTGGGCGCCGGCCTGTCCACCCAGAGGGCACGGCTCTGCGGGGCCAGCGCCACCAAGCGCCGCTCGCAGAACTCGGTGAGGTGCGGGAAGCAGCCCTCCTCGCCGCTCCTGCGCACGCGTCCACAGGAACACAAATATCGAACTGGGTCCGGGGTCCTGCCCGTCTCAAGGTTATCTCCCGAGATGTTGGTATCCGTGCTTTTTTTCAGTTCATGCTGAATATGTTTTGTACTGATGTACGTTTTCACGGCTCGATGAATAAGAAATGCTCTCAAACGCCGCTCTTTTGGGATAGCCGCGGCGAGCGCTGCTCCTTTCTCCTTTGGCGACGTTGTTTGGGTGTCGAGGAGGTGCCGTAGCCCTGGCCAGCGAGGAGAAGGTGGTACGGCAAAGTGCGCGCTGATATCAGTCTCTTCTGTACCGAATAGAGTGTTGGCCCCCTCGCATTTGTGGGTGTTCTCCAGGTGCTCCAGTTTCCTCCCACATGTATCAACAACGCTCATTCATTGGTTGAAATAAAGGACTGCAGAGCGAAGGCAATATACATGTAGTTGGTAGCGGCGACTCTGCCTGGTGACGACCCTCCAACTTGTCTGTGGTTCCTCAGCGATCGTGAAATGCGATTTTCATGAACGATGCGATATAAAACAAAATGTCATTACTATTTGGTGACTCCTGTGTTATGCAGTATTATACATCATCGTGTTTTAAATATACTCCCGTAAGATTCTGATATTGTTATGGATAGGTTATGTAAAAAACACGTGATTATTTTGCGCGGAGAGGCAGATAAGTGAAGCAGGCATATTGTCTGCCTATCTATTGTGACGTTCTACACGACAATGCAAATGATTGTTTTGTGTTGTGTGATATCATGTTCTGTTGAACTAAGACCCATATTTAACAGAGAGGGCCAACAACAGTGGCGATTAAGTTACCTGGTCCTCCCCTAGGTCGACTCGGTCTCAAATGAGTACCTGGTGCAATGTGTAAGCATCGCCACTGGGGAGACAAAGGCGGTCAGGCGTAGTGCTGGCCACCTACCGCCTCGTGTGCGGCGCCAGCCTTCAGAGGTGCTCGCTAACAGCACTTGCCCCAAAAGTCTGCAAAGGCTATAAGGGGGATCTTTGTCTATACAGTGTATATGTTGTGACATAATAAATTATTCCAAAATGATGACATCTCACATGTGCATGTGTTGTACTTTAGCACGTAGAAAGGGGAAATAATAAATTAAATAATAGCATACGACGTTTCGATTGCAACACAAGCAATCGTCATCAGGTACAAAAGAAAGAGAAAACAAACCTAGTAAACTTAGAAATATAATGCAATACAACACATATAGTCGGCCAACATAACAGTCAACACCCTACCTGGTTGATTACATTCTTCCAAAGATTGCTAAATTTAAGAGATTTCTCTTTCTACGTGACTTTACCGAAAGAACCAAAGAGTAATTCCTGCAGTCACGAAAGCGCCAAATCAAGTTTGTACCTTAGCACTCTGAGAATGCGTTCAACTTCTTTGGCATTATCGCACTTGTCGATGTAGGCATAGTCCAGGTGCTCGACGGGAACCGGGTTCTTGCTGCGAGGTCCATTCGCAAGGCAGGCGAAAGCATCGGCACTCATCCTGCAATGGCACAGCAGAGCAACCAACACAGCACTAGCTGCAACACATAAAGACAAAGGTCCCCCGTGTAGCCTTCACCGACTGTTGGGGCAAGTGCTGTTAGCGAGCAGCCACCTATGAAGGCCGGCACGGCACACGAGGGAGCGGGAGGCCAGTACCACGCCTGGCCGCCTTTGTCTCCCCAGTGCCGATGTTTACACAACACACCCTGCACGCATTTGAAGCGCTCATATTGCACACACGCATATGTACACACACTCTCACTCACCCTCCTACTCACTTACCCACTCACCCTCTCACTCACCCTCCCACTCACTCTCTCACTCACCCTCTCACTCACCCTCCTACTCACTCACTCCCTCACTCACTCACCCACTCACTCACCCTCTCACTCACTACCCCTCCCACTCCTCACTCACCCCCTCACTCACTCACCCACTCACCCTCTCACTCACCCACTCACTCACTACCCCTCCCACTCACTCACTCACCCGCTCACTCACCCGCTCACTCACCCTCCCATTCACCCTCTCACTCACCCTCTCACTCACCCTCCCATTCACCCTCTCACTCATCCTCCCTCTCACTCACTCTCTCACCCACCCTCTCACTCGCCCTCCTACTCACTTACCCACTCACTCACCCTCTCACTCACCCTCCCACTCACTCTCTCACTCACCCTCCCATTCACCCTCTCACTCACCCTCTCACTCACCCTCCCATTCACTCTCTCACTCACCCTCCCACTCACTCTCTCGCTCACCCTCTCTCACTCACCCTCTCACTCACCCTCCTACTCACTCACCCCCTCATTCACCCTCCCACTCACTTACTCACCCACTCACTCACCCTCTCACTCACCCTCTCACTCACTAACCCTCCCACTCACTCACCCGCTCACTCACCCTCCCATTCACCCTCTCACTCACTCACCCTCCCACTCACTCACCCGCTCACTCACCCACTCACGCTCTCACTCACTCACCTTCCCACCCACTCACTCACCCTCTCACTCACCCTCCCACTCACTCACTCACCAGCTCACTCACCCTCCCACTCACCCTCTCACTCACCCACTCACTCACCCTCTCACTCACTCACCCACTCACACTCTCTCTCACTCACCCACTCACTCACCCTCCCACTCACCCTCCCACTCACCCTGTCAACCACTCACTCTCTCCCACTCGCTTCTCGCGCCGATGTCGCACTAAGGCCGCGGCTGCGGCGGCGTGGGGCGGTCCCCATGGTAACGAGGCCTAGGCTCGTCGGCAGCCTCCTCCTCCTCCACTCATAACCTTGCGCAGGCCGCGATGAAGTGAATAAAGACGCAACTCTGCACAATCCCCGTGACACAAACCCTCTGGCGATTGTGGCCGTGCAACCCAAACCACTCTGGTCTGCGCTCTTTCAACAGAGGGGGGGAGCGGCAAGACGACGCCAACTCTCTCGTGAAGCCCTCTCGTCGCGGCTGGCAGACATCGACATTGCCACCGAGACGAACCTCGAACCTCAACAAAAACGGACTGGAGGAACGAGTCATGTTATTGGCTGGCCAGCACCCACGTCCGGCCGCCTTTGTCTCCATACCTGCACGGAGCCTGACACGCGCACAGACAGAGAGAGGCGGCGCGCTGGCGACGTGAAGGCGGAGTCGCGTGAGAAGCACTCGCGCGCGCTCCGTCCCACGCGCTGCCCGCACGTTGCCACGGCGACAGCTGCCGTTGCCACGGCAACAGCTGCCGTTGCCACGGCGACAGCTGCCGTTGCCACGGCGACAGCTGCCGTTGCCACAGCGACAGCTGCCGTTGCCACGGCGACAGACTCAACTCGTAGATTCCTTCACTCGTTGATTCCTCCACCCACACCCATGTTGCGGACTCGGGTCAACCAGACTGTGTTCAATCACTCACTCACCCACTCACCCACCCCACTCACTCACTCACTCACCCACTCACCCCACCCCACCCCACTCACCCACTCACCCACCCCACTCACCCACTCACCCCACTCACCCACCCCACTCACTCACTCACCCACCCCACTCACGCACTCACCAACCCCACTCACGCACTCACCAACCCCACTCACGCACTCACCCACTCACTCACCCACCCCACTCACTCACCCACTCACTCACTCACCCACCCCACTCACCCACTCACCCACCCCACTCACCCACCCCACTCACTCACCCACTCACCCACCCCACTCACTCACCCACTCACCCACTCACTCACCCCACTCACCCCACTCACTCACCCACCCCACTCACCCCACTCACTCACCCACCCCACTCACGCACTCACCAACCCCACTCACGCACTCACCCACTCACCCACCCCACTCATCCACTCGCCCACTCACCCACCCCACTCATCCACTCGTCCACCCCACTCACTCACTCACTCATCCACCCCACTCACGCACTCATCCACTCACCACATCTCAAGGGCACAATCACTCGCTCACCCTGTCACCCACGCCCTCCACCCAACCACTCATCCACCCAACCACTCTGTCACTCACCACACTCCCTCCTTCGCCCAACTGCTCACTCACCCTTTCACTCGGACACTCACCCACTCACCACTCACCACACTGCAGGTCACCTCACTTCTCGTGCTGCTTCTTCCCTCGCTCTGCTCCACTCCGGAATTCCCTCCTCCAAGTCTTTTACCGATTGCAGCTCTGGTCGTGCTGCTTGTTGCTGGCCGCTTGACAGATTATATGGCAAGCAGATTTCTAAGCACATTGGGCTACAGCCATTTCGATGTAACAGTAGAGAGAAGTAGAGAGAACACGATAAGGACGCTTGAAGTGTTCATCGTGAAATGTGTTGTTTTTAAATGTCCTAATCAGCACTCAGCAGGCCCCATGGTGTCAAGTGCAGTCTCCATCTCTTCAAGTCAGAATGCCAACTTGTAGCGCTCCGCTCAGACAGAGGGGACGACTCAGAGGCACCAGGCGGAGGAGGGACCACAGCTGAGCAGCACGGAAGCAGCAGCAGCCACGCGGCGAGGAGCCGACGCCAAATCCCTCACCCCCAAGCTCTGCGGTCCTCTATATATCACGGTGTTCTCGGTCAAATAATGAGTTTGACACCGGAGAAAACCCACGTGTGCGATGGGGAGTAACACTCTATACCACTGCAGGTGAGGTAAATAAATAAAATCATCTCAACACCACCTGTTTATTGCCGGAAAGGTGCTGCAGCGCCTAATCATGGCGAGCCAGAGGCACGGCTCCTCCTTGATGCCCACGTGTCAGGGAGTCTCGCAGCATCTGTGCAGTGACCCACCAACCCCCGCTGACGTCTCCACACTGCTGGGTGACAGGCTGCCACGTGCAGCGTAGCCACCACCACGACTGCCATCCACCCGAGTTTGTCTTGAATCCAGGAGTGCAAAGGTTTTAGACATATCAGGGAGCAGGACACGGGGAGGGAAATAACATTGGAGGCAGTCATTATGTTTTTAACGTTAATATTTAATGTTTATTGGTTAATATTTATTGTTGCAGATTTGTCAAAGGATGCTGTCAGCATTTTGTGAACACAATGGATTTTTTCCCTCTCTTGTTTTGCCCTGCTTGTGTAATCCCAGGCATCCCTTGGGACGCGTGCACTCACGTGGTTATAAGTAAAGGACACACAATATCGATATAGTTTCACGATCAGCTTTCCACGTCAGAAATAATTCATCACAACAGAAATTGTGCCGAGTCGGCTGAAACCCCTCCAGTAAAAATCATTTGATATTATTACTTGGAACTGTCAAAAAAAGTGATTTTCCTGCGGCTGAGCAGTGTGCCCATTGGTGCTCCTCACGTTTACAACCCTGCAGTGCCAGTGTTGGAAATTCCACGTTCCTATGGCGGGTGCGAGCCTATCCTGAGGACAACCACACTGTTGACTTCCCCACAAAGTGGTACTCATTTTATCGATCCCAGCATGGAGGTGAACTCGCGACCTTTCGCCTGCAACTCGCTCCACCGCTGGGCCAGCTGGCAGCCACGCTCACCGCTCACTTGCACCGGCAGGGCCCGATTTAGAACACGAACGGTTACTGGCAACTGAAGAACGAAGGCAGACAAAATCAATTAAATTCTACCACCGTTCGCCACGTGAAGCGAAGTGACACATGCCACCTACGGCACCGCACCCATGGGTTCTAATTCATTCCCAAACAAACCAGTAACGCGTTGACGAACACATGTAAGGGCACATCACGCGCGCCCTCCTCCTAGTGGTACGACTCACGAACACAGTATAGGCCACTGTGCATCTCGACGACGCCCCCCATATTAAGTTCACAAAAAGTTAGAAACAGTTCCTTCTGCTTTGCACCCAACATCTTCCTGCTAATTATTTACTGCCATTAGTTGAAACGAATAGCACACTGATTAAATGAAATCCTACAGATTCCAGAGGCAGATCAATAAACTTCCCAGGGAAGGGGGCACGAAATGTCAAGTTTTTTTTAATGGGGCCCTACTGACCCTACTTAAATAAACAACACCATTCAATACGTTTTATCTAGTAAATATCAATAAAAATACCAATTTTCGGTTCTCAAGGGAGGGGGGTGCAATCGCCCCCTCATCTCTGCCCCTCTTTGGATCTGTCACTGCCAGAATAAAGTAGTTTCATAAGTTAAAATCTGACTTTTGCAATGATGTATTCACTGATGAAAATACATTCGTGCCAGGTGTATGAAAAACGTACAGACAGTCAAAATGCGAGATAAAAACCCTAGATATAATCAGAATCACGGTTTGTCAACGGTTGGTTCAAATCGCATGCATCTGTTGTAAGAGTAGGGTGGGGTAAGGGGCCCAAGGTGGTGTAAAATGCCTTTGTGATCCTGGTGCTGACTGAAATGTCACCAGCGATGATCAGGTTGAGGGGCAGATTGGCGCCATCCTGCTGGATACTGCAGTGCAGTGGACGGACCACGTGTGATCACCAGGACTAAGAGGCTCTTGACGCCACTCGGCCCCTTACCACCACTGTACTATATCTGTAACTGAAATGTACATTTTAAATAAATATACAAAACGGCACTCAAACGTAAACATTTGTGCCAATAAATATACCATAGACATTGCATTTAAATATAACGTCCAAAACCATTTGAGTGCTTTACAATGTGTAATACATGACACTTCCTGTGTTAATCACATCGGCACCCAATTTAAATTATACTGTACATAATGCTGGTCTAAACAAACTCACTCTAACCCTGACCAAAACACAAATCCTTCTTTAAAACTTGCAAAGTGTTTAGCTAGAGAGCCAGGAAGGGCACATTCAATGCCCTGAGTGTGGTTCCAGAGTGCTTTGCTACTGAACAACCGGTGAGCAAGCCCAGAGCGCATCGTGGCAGCAGCTAACGGTGCGAGGAGCCACCTCGCTGGACGTTCGGCAACATTCACCGCCAATGCATCGGGCATCCACATTGGTTCCTTCATTCCGCATGCGTTTCTCTTGCTTCGGTCATCTAGCAGCTAACAAAGTACAAGTTTGATAGGAAAAAAGAATAGGCTTTACCCTTTCCGGTAATAATACAGGCGGTGTTAAAATGTTCAAACATCAAATAGACATATATTGCAAGGCATCAAGTCTGCATTAACCACACATGCTTGTGGTAAAATATGCAAAACAAACATGCTGTAATAAAGCATGCAATATTCTTCAAACCGATTGGCCTTCATGGCCTTGCCTCCCCCGGTGTTAGACCAGAGAACGACGGCAACAGGGGAACAGCACAGAAGCTTTGCAAATATCAAACCATCAATAGCTCGGCTTTAGCAGTTACATCAATAATCTCCGCCAGTTTAAAACAAAAATAACTCTCCTCCTCCTAACACCTCTCAATGAGGGCGAACTTCTGCCTGCTAGCGCCAGGGCACAGCGCCCTGCCCTTCCAACGCATGCCAAAGGTGGCAGCTGCAAGTAGCAAGCTCCGTAGCGCAGTGGCAATGCTCATGCCTCACAGCAGGAAGGACCTGGATTGGATTTCCAATTGAGGCGCCTCTCTGTGTGTGGAGTAAGTACGTTCTCCCCCTGTTCTGCATGGGATTTCATCCGGGTTCTCTGATTTTCCACCACAGCTGAAAAAACACCACACAATATAAGTGGTATTGCCCAAAAAAACATCCCAATGCTGAAAAATCACCTGCAAATCACTCCATTGGGATTCTACACAGCAGTAGCATCACCACCCCCCCTCACTTTAAAAACCTGACAGGACCCTTCTGAAAAAGTGTTGAGACTGTGAGGTTTTCCTCGGTAAACAAGCAAAATAATAAATAAATTTAGTTAATAATATAAGTTTTTATATATCATCTTTTATGCAACCGCAATCCACAACACACAGAGGCGTCCATAAATTAAGATGTTTTAAGCCAATTAATTCGTGTTTATACGAGTGGGAGGAAGCTGGAGCACCCAGGCAAAACCTATGTGTGTGAGGGGGCAACGCTCGATCCCCGTACAGAAGAGACGGATGGAGGTTAGTCCGTACTTTGGTGCACCGCCTTCTCCTGGCGAGCCAGGGTGTGGCTCCTCCTCGACACCCATAGGAAGGGAGTGTCGCAACAATCCTGCGATGATCCACCAACCCTTGCTGCCTTCACCAATGCTGAATTACAGGCCACGTTCGTAGCGACCACCACCCAGCGATCTAACTCGTTTATTGTGCTCTACTTGCCTCTCGTCCCAGTGGTCTAACACCTGTGTTCAAATTTATGCCCCAAAACAATCAAATTATGCAGACATGCTCGTCTTGACAATAAACTGCAGCAACCCAAAGCTATTCGTCCGTTACAGTTTCGCGTAATTTCCAGTTGAAACGTCGCCACCCGAACGACGCTGTCGACGCCTCCGGGTAACCAGCTACGTACACCGCCACGTGCGCATCGCTCCCACCACCGCAGCGACCGCCGGCTCCGATTGAGCATGGGACGCGCCCCCTGCTTCCGCCCCCCACGCCAGCTCGGGGAGGAAGCCGGCGCCCTTCACACGAACGGCGTCGAAAACGCAGCGCGCCGCGGAACATTGCACGAGTATTTTGACGTCGACCGTTTCCGAGATCGAGAACTCAAGACTGGTCCCAGGGCCTTCTCCTGGCAGCACCAGCACTTTGGAATGTATTCATCTCTACTCTTAATATTCCACATTTCCCTTAAGGCGATGCTCCAAGATTGAACTCTGCCACAAAGGCGAATATTTATCCATTCTTTCAGTAAGTTCTGGCATGGGTTTCACGTCATTAATTTTAGTTTTTTCTCCTCCACCCTGAAATTTTATTTAACTGCCACCACTGCGGACGGACGGTCTTGGGCTGCGGTCATCCTTGCAACAGAGCTGATCAGCGACATCGGGCCTCACCAGCTGAAACAATAAAGTCCGAGTCTGACATCGGTGGTTGACTATTTTATATTTTACCAGGTAAGGCCCACTGAGCTACGTAGCTCTTTTTTCCAAAGTGACCTGACTACAAATGATAGCTCAACGAAGCGGCTTATCATCTTGTGGACATTTATAGCAACATGTTGATTCTAAATGTGGAGGGAAAAACCAGAGGACCCGGAAAAAAATCCACGCGACCACAGAGAGATTATGCAAACTCCAAATATACAGTGGGCATCAGGGTCGGGATCGAACGCACGACGACCTCCTGTAGACCAGGCGAGGTGGTTAGCATCTCGCCACCGTAGCGCCTTGACGCTTACCAGGAAGGTGAAACGCGTAGAAATGCCGTCGCATGCCAACTCCTAAGTCTCACACGCGGAGCGTGCGGTCGCAGGCACAATATAAGCACGTGTTTTTTTCTTACCCCTGAAATAAGTTAAGTTAAACACACCGGCAACAACCGCATCGTAAACAATATCGAAGGTTCAATACTATGCATATCACACGAAGCAGTCTGCTGAAAACAACTTCAATAGGCATGACAGCCGTACAGCAACAAAAGGCAGCAGATACACAGGCAGCATACCTCTTTGGGACGGATGGCACAGTGGGACGCGCTGTGATACCTGTGGTGATGCGTGGTGGATGGCTGTTGTGGTGAGTGGGCTTGGTGGCGTGAGATAATGGTCGCAGACATTCGCACGAAATAACTGGGACCCATGTCGAACGGACAGGGCCCTTGGCTACAAACATCTGGCATTTCGCCAGCGTCGTTTCAAGCGAGCCCGACCCACTCCGCTGATGAGACATTGCATGTCGAAACCGGTCCAGAGGTGTTGCTCGTGTTGAGCCGATGCTGATGAAATGATGCACCCCCAAAAGACTGATAGGATGTGTAAAAAACATAAATGTTTGTGTGCGAGAGGCATCCGGCATGCTCGTTTGTGTTGACGGACGTGGAGTTGTGAGCGCAGGCGTGGGACGGGCGGCACAGCCCTCAGAACTGCGTGGCACTGGAAGGGTCGCACTGCAGGAGCCGGACAATAGAAGGGTCACTCTTGGCCCCGCGTATGAACTCCTCTACCGACAGCTTCCCTGCAATGAGAAGAACGGAGTCACTGTGTTGAACCTCACGCCACCATGACAACGGTGACGAAGAGCCGCCCTCCTTTATTCAGAGAGCGCCTTCCACACGATAAGTGACCGGCATCGTCACACCGCCTCTCAACGCAATTGAAAGGGGGGCACCCCCAGTGGCAGCTGACTCTGCCCGGCACAAGGTGGCCCGGCACCTAACCCTGCGAACAGGTATTACTAGCTGAGATAATAAAGTCTGAGTGTAATGCAGTTCTGCATTGGTCTCGATGTAACACATTTGATTGGAGCTTCCAAGGCCAACAAGTTTTTTTAGATTAACACACATCGTGGCACTGTAGATGACAGAATTCAGGGTTAAATCAGCAGTAGGAATGATTCATTCATCTGACACCGTGACGTTGAAGCGTGGGGCCCCCCAAAGTGTGGGGCCCAGGGCAATTGCCCTGATTCACAGAAACATGGGAACGGCTCTGCTGGAATGGGTCTAACATGCCAACGGTTTTAAAAAAAATTACCCGCAAATTACTCAATTGGGATCACACATCACCCCTTTACTCCGAAAACTAAGCAGGACCCTCCTGAAAGCCTCACCGCTTGTCTCGGGCGAGAAAAGCGTGATAGTAACCATAGCGTGCAGACGTGCGCATTTACCATCCTTGTTTGTGTCCATCTGCTGGAAAATCTTCTCCGTTCGCTTCTCTGGCGTGGACTCATCTTCGGGAAGTTTCATCACGGAAGCCACCATCTTATAGATGGCCTACATGCACAAACACGCGAGACGGAGCTTACAGAGATGCACCGTCACGGTCAACTGTCATGGCGCGTTTCCTGTACGCTCGCTGGTTACCGTATGTCCGTAAATTACATCGAGATCTATGTGCAGCATTATATAGAGATTATTACACAGAATTACACGGAGATCCATAGAGTTACACAGAGTGGCGTAGAGTTGCGCAGGGGTGGCCGATGAGCGTACAGGAAACGCGCCGTGCCCATAACCGTGCTCAGGGACGCACTGCGGTGCCATCGTTAGAATGGTGTCACAGTCAAACGTGCGTTTAGAGTGTTTTCCTGATGTAAATTTCCACACGATGATAAGCCGCTTTGTTGATCTATCATTTGTGGCCAGGTCGCTTCTGTCAAAGAGCTAAAGAGCTCAGTGGGCCTCACCTGGTAAAATAAAAATTGTTTTAGAATAAGACCTGCGAGCAGCGTGGAAAGCGGACGTGTATACCCAACTGAAAACCTCGGCACATTTGGCAGAGTATCACAAACGCTTTCTTTCGGGTTTCCAAAAAACAAGTGAGCAGACAGTACGTCTCCTTATTTGGGTCCACCACCTTTAAAATTTGTAACAAAATATGGAGAGAGGTGACGCACAAAGTCGTCAATCCGTGCTCATGTACATTTTTGAGAATGGCTTAGAACCATGCCAGCGACGATTCAGAAGTCCTTCCACACGGGCGCAAAGGTCCCCCCTATAGCCCTGTACACAGGCTATTCAGAGCAAGCGCGGTTAGCGAGCACCCATGAAGGCAGGCAAAGTGCACGAGGGGGTGGGTGGCCAGGCACCACTCCCTGCCGCCTTTGTCTACCGAGTGGCGATGTTGACTCCACGCACACTGCACCAGGTACTCATTTGAGGCTGAGTCGATCTAGCGGTGGGGGGCGGGCATACCCAGGACCGGTTCAGATAATGTCTACTGGAGTTGGTGGCCGTGTGCGGGAATCGAACTCAGGTCCCCGTATCCATAGCGCAGCGCGCTAACCGGCACACTATCACTCCCCCACACTGCACACACACAAGTCCTACACATCCCGCAATCCCAAACACAACCTCCGGCTAGCTGCCCCTACGATCGATCTCACTCGTAGGCGGTGTCACGCAGTCACTCTCCGATTGAAACGGGACAAGCCCCTGGTGACGCCGGCAATGCAGTAACAACAACAGCCGTTCGCCACAAAGTGGCGGTGCCATCACCACGACGCTTGTGCCACGCTCGGCGCACTATGAAGCCACGTGAAGTGTCGAAGGCCCGCTGGCAGGAGGTCACAGAACAGACCCAGGTGCCATGGGTTGGTTGACTGAGATGGCAGATGCAACAAATGTGTTCCCCACTGCGCCAACTTTCTGCGTTTTAACCGCCCGGCGCTCCGTTCGTCGTTGTGAGCGTCGCTCCTCTGCCCTCCGTTGTTGGCGGAGGGCGACTGCTTCCAACTCCGCAGCGCGATGCACGTACACAGACACAGCCACGAGCTTCTCTCATCCCGTCGCTCTCACCCGCACGATCTCCAGCATCTCGGCCCGGCTGATGTAGCCGTTGCCGTCCAGGTCGTACATGCTGAAGGCCCACTTGAGCTTCTGCTCGAGCTTGCCACGCGACGTCACGCTCAGCGCGATGATGAACTCGCGAAAGTCGATGGTGCCGTCGCCGTTGGCGTCGAAGGTGCGGAACACGTGCTCGGCGAACTTGGAGGCGTCGCCGTACGGGAAGAAGTTGGAGTAGATCTTCTTGAACTCGTCCACCGTGAGGTGCCCGCTGGGGCAGTCCTTGAGGAAGCCCTTGTACCACTCCTGCAGCTCCTGCTCCGAGAACTCGGTGTTCTCACGCAGGTCCTGCAGCACCTCCGGCCGCAGCTTGCTGTTCTGCTTGCCCATCGCCCGCTGCTGCCGCTGCTGCTGCTGCTGCTGCCACTGCTGCTGCAGCCCACACGCCGCAAGCCTCTGTATCCAAACACAGCGCTCACGTCAATGGCAAAACTCATCATACGACAAAACGCCGAAGTGCGTAACACCGTTGTACAAGATAACAAGAGCCTTTGTGTCACCCCACTGAGTCATACATAATCTGTATTTATCCCGGATGATCCGATGAGCTAAAACAGCCTGTAACCACACCAAGGCAACGCCACAGGCCCTCACTTACACAGAGGGCCTCCCCCACGCCGTGTTGGTCACGTGCGTTGGTTGGCCATACTTCACCACAATGCCAATAATCCAACTTGGGTAACCAGGGCTCACAGCTCCATGCGCTAAACACTGCACCGCCCTTTAACTCGGAGTCTATGGGGCACTTCACCGTTGTAAATTAACAACGGAGTTCTGGACATCAACACGCTCCTGTTGGAATTCCTGCTGCACGAAGCAGTGAGCTGCCACCTTTTAGGACGTGTATCCACCCTGCCCGGCCTCTCTCTCTCTCTCCTCCACTCTCCCTCGTGCCTCCCTCGTGCCTCCCTCATCTCCCGTCTCCACTCTCCCCTTGTCTCTCCCCTTGTCTCTCTGTCTCTCCCCTTGTCTCTCTGTCTCTCCACGTCTCTCCACTTCTCTCTGCTTGTCTCTCCACGTCTCTCTGCTTGTCTCACCTGTGTCTCTCCTTGTCTCTCCACGCCTCTCCACGTCTCTCCGCGTGTCTCTCACCACGTCGCTCACCACGTCTCTCTCCACGTCTCTCACCACGTCTCACCTCGTCTCTCTCCGCGTCTCCCTCCCCGTTTCTCTCCCCGTCTCTCCGCTCGTCTCTCTCCGCGTCTCTCTGTTTGTCTCCCCACGTCTCTCTGCTTGTCTCTCCACGTCTCTCTGCGTGTCTCTCACCTCGTCTCTCACCGCGTCTCTCTGCTTGTCTCTCTCCACGTCTCACCACGTCTCTCTCCACGTCTTTCCGCGTGTCTCTCCGCGTGTCTCTCCACGTCTCTGCTTGTCTCTCTCCTGCCCGTCTCTCTGCTTGTCTCACCACGTCTCTCCGCGTGTCTCTCACCACGTCTCTACTTGTCTGTCCACGTCTCTACTTGTCTCTCCACGTCTCACCACGTCTCTCCGCCTGTCTCTGTTTGTCTATCCCCGTCTCTCTCCCTGTCTCTCCCCCTGTCTCTCTCCCCGTCTCTCTCCGCGTCTCTCACCACGTCTCTCTGCTTGTCTCACCACGTCTCTCCGCTTGTCTCTCTCCGCTTGTCTCTCACCACGTCTCTCTGCTTGTCTCACCACGTCTCTCCGCTCGTCTCTCTCCTGCCCGTCTCGCGCCGCGCGCAGGGTGGCGCCTCACAGGAAGTGACGCCACCGCGTGTTTCTGGGTGGCGCGCGACTTCCGGGATTCACCACTGGGGGAGTGGGGGGGGGTCAGTGGTCAGGGGTCACGGGGGGGGGGGTGAGCCTCGCTCTGCTCTCTCGCTGCTGATGAGGTCACCCCCAGCGCCCTGCCCCTCCCTGCGGGGGTTGCCATGCCAACATCCGTCTACATATTTTCCTGTCTTTTCTTGGATTTTCTGTTTGCACTTAGTCACATAGTCACTTTGAGATGTTTTATTGTTCATGTTTTAGTTGTTGTTTGTTGCGGTTGCACCCAATTCAAGAGCCGAATGGCTCACAGGGCTACACCAAATACATGAAACTGAAACTGGTTGCCACGCGACCATCCGCAACTTTTCGATGAAGAAGAGACATTTAGTTTTATTTAGGATCTGCCTTCAGCCAAAATAGTTGTAGAGCCGCATCACACGCGGAGCTACACAAGCATAGCAGCAGGTGCACGGCGGATACACTTGTTTATAACTTAAATAAACAAAATAAGTGGAATAAATTTTGACTTGAAACTTTCGTGACTGCAGGAATTCTCATATTCTTGGTTCTTTCAGGAAAGTCACGTAGATAGAAAAGACAATTTTAAAAATTAAACTTTAATTTTTATTTTCTATCTATAAAATAAAATTTAAAAAATTAAATAAAATGTAAAAAATCAATTTGATTTTTATTTTCTATTTACGTGACTTTCCCGAAAGAACCATGAATATCAGTGGAATAAACTGGGTCTATTTAGTGCCCCACCCCCCTTATTCTTTCACAACACAATTTGCCCGTTGTACATTTTATTGCGACCAAGACATCGTGACCCGTAACATTACCTGCCAAATTTCATAAACAAATAACCTTTACGTTAAATTGCGTTTAAGATTTAAGTTTATAAATATATAAATATATCCGACTGCCCGCTTCGGTGGCACAGCCAAGGAGCCGCCCGTCGGCTCCAGAGTGGCAGGTCCCCTCCGGGTCCTGACGGTGGCTTCCAGAGTAACAGTGAAGACGCCTGGGCAGTGGTGGTGATGATGCTGCTGCTGCTGTGTCGGCAACCCGGCACATTCGTCAATAACAACAACGCTATGTGTGGCCTTAAAATTTAACATAATGTGCGACGTTTCGGGCGATGGCCCTTCACAGAACATGCATGCTTCAGACTAGGCACGAACGTGTATAAATACAAACTTAAAACCTACCAGCAGTTCCTGTAGAACCGCGCTGTGGTCCATCAAAGTGGCCTTGAGCAAACGAGAGAAATGTGAGCCCTACTGAGCAGCAGGGAGCATGACTGTCAACCCACGTGGCTTACCCCGTCTTCTTGTCCAGGGAAATTTAGTTTTCAGGTCCATACGGCGTACAGCCGTTTCAGTACGTGCAAAAAAATGTGTCCATTCGTTTGTGTTTCTCCCTTGTGATGGGACCAGGGTTGCGATTTCCGCATGGAAAATGCGGAAGGAGGGTTCAAATTTTCCCGCATTTTTGCTAAAGTCAACCGCAAACGGTGGAAAGACTACTCCTATGACCGCGCGCTTTTAACAACACGTTAATGCGTTCTATTGGAAAGGATACATCATGTACATGTGCTCGTAATCACGGCTCCGCATTTGAATAAAGTATGTGGTTTTTGTGCGGAAATGCGGAAATCATATATTCATTCCAATCAGTAACTCAAAGCCCTACGTGATGCTGGGCCTTGCATGTATCCTTTCCAATAGAACGCATTAACGTGTTGTTAAAAGCGCGCGGTCATAGGAGTAGTCTTTCCACCGTTTGCGGTTGACTTTAGCAAAAATGCGGGAAAATTTGAACCCTCCTTCCGCATTTTCCATGCGGAAATCGCAACCCTGGATGGGACTTTGTAGGATGAAGGCTGAGATTACAAAGGGCACGGGGTGACCAAGAATGTCTGAATTGGTATGTAATAAGATAGGGCACTGAGAAGGGGTTGACAGGTATGCAGCAGACAATCTGTGACGGACGGGTTTCATCAACACGAGGACTCATCAGCACGGTATCGTCACCAGCGCTCACTGCTGCGGATGCTGCCTCTGGCTCTCACCACAAACGCTTCGAGCCACGCGAGCTGACTGCGTGGCTCCCTCGACGCGCGGTGGAGCCACATCCTCCGTGCAGACCGAGAATGCAGCGGGCTTATGGTGGTGGTGGTGATGGTGGTGATGGTACTGGTGGTGATGTTGATGGTGCTGGTGTTGATGGTAATGCTGGTGGTGATGGTGGTGCTGGTGGTGCTGATAGTGATGGTGGTGATGGTAGTGGTGGTACTGGTGATGGTGGTGATGGTAGTGCTGGTGATGGTGGTGCTGGTGGTGATGGTAGTGCTGGTGATGGTGGTGGTGGTGCTGGTGGTGCTGATAGTGATGGTGGTGCTGGTAATGGTGATGGTGGTGATGATGGTGGTGCTGGTAATGGTGGTGATGATGGTGATGGTAGTGCTGGTGATGGTGGTGGTGGTGCTGGTGGTACTGATAGTGATGGTGGTGCTTGTGGTGGTGGTGCCCTCTGGTGGACAGAGCGCGGCGTGGCCAGGATTGGGGTTCCGGGCGCGCCCCGCGTGCTTCACTGCAGGGCCCTGCGGGCTACGGGCGGCCCCTGGTGGCCTTCAGTGCGGCCCCGACAGTCCACAGCGAGTGAGGACACCTCCCATCGTCGTCGTGCTGCTGTCAACCCCCCAATGGTTTACAATGTGTGGCGGCCTTGCTCACACTGACGGCGTCTTGTCGGTGAGAGTAGCCCCCGCCCCACCTCACCCCAACCCACCCCGCTTCTAAAAATCAGTAAAGAATTACAGAGAGATGCATGCACTCACATTGAGACTCATAGACTCGCATAGAGACCAATAGACTCGCAGAGACAATGCCATCTTTAGCCCAGGAGGTGTTGGCTGTGGACGCCCGTAACCCAGCATGGTGGAGTATCGAGGGTTGGTGACCGCAGGCGTCGGGGAGGAGCCATGCCCTGGGCTTGCCAGAAGGTGGCAAAGCAAACAAAGTGGACTCCACCTGCTCCGTCTGTATGGGATCGAGCGTTGTCCCCTCACACGACGCGTGGGTTTTCTCTGGGTGCTCTGGTTTCCACAGGATCATTAGTTGGCCGATAACACCTTAACGTACAGAGGACTGCAGAGCGTGGGCGACCGTTGGCGCCGATCTCGTGTCGTGACTGCCTTCGCCACGTGTCTACGATTCCCCCTGGCGCCTCTCGAGCCATATTCTCTCCCTGCGAGAGAAGGCCCTCCCCCCGCACCTCCCATCAGCACGATTGGCTCCGTGTGGTGTGAAAAAATTTTAGAATTTTTTTTTCACGAAAATAAATTGTCACGCACAACGAGTCTGTGTGCAAAATGTCAGCTCGATTGGATCACGGGGAGTGGGTTAAAAACGACCGAAAGATTTGCACGGTCGTAAGCGCGCAAGCAAGCAAGCAAGTGAACTTAATATAAAGGATTTTATAAAGTTCAACATACATACGAAGGTACAAATAGTAGGAGTGGTGGTTGCAGGTTGCTGATGAGATGAAAACTGCCTTAGCAGCTCGCGATCACACGACACTCTTTAATTCCATCAAAATAGTAACTTGCAGTGCCGTATCTATACTAACACCCTTAAGGGAAAGAGCGGTTATCCAATCTCCGATCCCCAAAGAACTGGTTTGCAGATTTGCTGACCAATTCTCTGAGGTCTTGGGGGGCGCAGAAACCTCTCAGCTCAGACAACATCATGGGGCAGGTGGGGTTGTACTTATGTTGAACTTCTTTCGCACCGTACGTAGCCAACCATGCTAATCGGAGGTGCGGGTTGACCACGCTGGGACTGCTGTGCCTCAAACATTGGAGGAAGTCGCCACCCCTCGGGAGCGAGTGGCTGGCTGATGTTGCCGTCTGTTGAGGAGACGGCACGAGTGATCCAGAGCCTGAGGTCACAGGTCAACTATCTAGATTCTAGAGTTCACAGAACACCAACCTGGCGTGTAGGACCAAGCGTAGCACCATCACGTTTAGCCCGGCGCATCTCAAGAGCGCCTTCGATGCAACCTGTGGCTTCCATCGCATTACACATCTCAGAGGACATTTGAAAAGGGGCACCCCCAGTGGCAGCTGTCCCTGTCTGGGCTGCGAGCGGGCATCAGTCCGCTGCCAGTAGGTGGGGGCTGGGGGGAGGGGGCGATCAACGTCCTTGAGTGAATGGAGTTTGGTGTTGGGTGGTGGTGGAGACTCGGGACTACCCTCTGCGACGAAGAATGAAACGAGTGGCATAAACAGCAGCGGTTTTTTTGTGTTTGTTTTAATATTTATAATATATACAGTACAACTTTTATCGTTACGTGTGAATGACATCGGACGAGACGGCAGAGAGAGAGAGAGCGAGGGTTAACGTCCAGGTGATTACAAAACACGGCCGCCACCGAGGGAGCATCCGTCTCGTTAACTGTGTAAGAAATGCGAACTCCCGACGTACCGATAACGTTTAACCCTTTAAAATAAAAAAAACGGTGGGACAAACTAAACTGTGGCGCAGCAAGTACGAGCCTCCATGTATATACACACACGCGCACGACGACCAGGGGAATCAATAAATAACTCGACGGCCCAGCCTACTTTCTGTACTCACTTCGCATTGAAGTGCCCCCTTGTCAAGGCGGTGGCGCGCCAGGACACGTGGGGCTAGGACACGTGGGGTCAGGACATGTGGGGTCAGGACACGCGGGTTCAGGGCAATCGTCACCGGCGACGAGGAGCAACTACTGCCCGCCAACTTGGAACCGCGACACTTTTTTATTGTTTAAATCACGTTCAGCTGGGAAGATAACGCGAGCCGAAGCTTTCACCGAGTCTCATGAATGGCTACATTTTCTGGAGGGACCTGGAGGAGGGGACGGGGGGAGGGGTAATGATTACTGCCACGTGTGTTTGTGACTTGCGCCGTTTCTTTTGAACGTCGGCAAAAAAGTGGACCGCGACGCCGGGACCCGCTGGGGGAGGGGGGGGGGTCTCTTAACGTCGACTGCGAGCGAAATCAGACGGCGGTATTGTAACGGTTGATGCCACACGGCAGTATTAACCAAGGCGGCCGCTGCGTTCGAAACGCGAACCTCTGCAGCAACGAGCGGCGGATGCAGCGTGACCACCCTGGGCAGGGTCGGCATACAAAATAAAATAAACCACCTCGATATTTCAGGCGCCGCCAATGCAACGTGAATGCGTGACGGTTGGTCCTCAATCCCGTCACGATGCAGTTCTTGCAGAGCCGTACGCGGTTCCGGAGCCGCAGGTTTCCGATCCGTGGGCTAGGCCGTGTCACCGCCCCGATGGTGATGCGTGTATGTGTGTTGAACTTCTTTTGCAGCGTACGTACCAAACCGCGCTAGTCGGAGGTGCGGGGGAAGGACAACGAACTAAACACAAAAAGCGGTTTTAAGGAAATCAGTGGCAATTGGCAGAGGGCATTCTGCCTGGCCACCAAATATGGTTTGTTATAACACGGTTTGTTAAACTGCACGTGTTTAAAATGGGCAATGGCTCACCTACAAAGCGGACAACCTGGGGTGGCCACGTGAAGACCGCCCGCGATTCGATCAATTTGTCCAAAATCTGGGACGGGGGGGGGGGGGGGCGATTTTTCACTTTCAACGCAAAGCGGTGCCGCAGGTCAAGCAGGGGCCGCCGGCGGCGACTGCCCAAGCGAACCGACGCGCCGAGGGGTCGTGGCGAGCGGCCCCGCGTACACGCGCGCCCCCTTCCCGCACGACGCTGCCTGCCGGAGGTATTTTACAAGCGAGGAGGTGAGGTGAGGGGGGGGGGGCGGCCTGGGGGGGGGGGGGGGGGGGTTACCACCAGGCAGGGTAAGAAAGGAGAGGGGAAGGCAACATCAGGGAGCGAATGTTTACAAAAACAACGCCACAGCCATAGGCGCGGGGGACGAGGGGTGGACGAGGCGGTGTGGTTGGTTACGGAGGCTCTGCGTCAGACGTCGCCCGAGCGATGGAATCCGCTCAACCACCACCAACTCCGCTCCCCACCGCAAGCCATCTGTGGCATCATACCCTGAACGTGTCACTATACACATTAATATTACCGTCGTCGTCGTCATCATCGTTACCATCCTTTGCATCGTTAGAATCGTTAATATCATTGGACGTAATAGTCGTCGCCATTTGCTGAGGCGACGGGAGCCTAAGGGACGAATGACAGGGTGGGGCCTTGGGGGTGACTACTGACCAGAGACGAGACAAAGACAAAGGTCCCCCCTATAGCCTTATCAGACTGTTGGGGCAAGTGCTGTTCCTGACCACATACACACGTACACACGCACTCTTACGTTCACAAACCCCGTTTGTGTAAAATTGCCTGTTTGCCGATTGACTCCGCGGCCGTTGCCGCGACGCAGAAAACAAAGACAAGATGTACACGGAGGGCGACGGTCGCGACGAGCGACCGCTCCACGCCCGCCGGGACCTCGAGGGCCACCGCCGCCTCCCTGGGGCCCTCGCTGGCGGCCCCAGGCCCGCCCCCTCGCGCCACCTCCGCTCGTTGCTGGCTGCGTCCTGGCGCCGTGGGCCCCCCGCGGCGCCAGCCACGCGGAGCCACCGGCCCCTCCTCCTCCTCCTCCTCTCGGGTACGGATGAGGAGATGGTGGATGAGGAGATGGATGAGGAGGTGGTGCAAGAGGAGGAGGTGGATGTAGAGGTGGATGACGAGGTGGTGCAGGAGGAGGTGAGGAGGGGACTGGGCAGCGGCGCTAGCGGGGCCAGAGCTCCTGTTGCCGAATGGTTTCCGGGTCGTTGTCGACGCACGGATTCCGGGAGGTGGCACGCGCGGCCAGGCAGCCGCCACAACCGTCGTGAGAGAGCTATACTGGATGTGGTGTGCCCGCTACGGGGACATTACTTGGCTAAGATTAATGCAGCCCTGACGGGTACGGTACACAGTAGGGGGTGGGTGGGGGGGGGGTGTCTCTGCAGGTGGGGGGGGAGGGGATGGAGGCGGGGGGGTCCGCGTGTCTCTCCATGCAAGCGAGCGCAGCAGCAGCAGCAGCAGGCCACGCGTGCCGTGTGTTCGCCTCTCCCCGCTGACGGCGCCTTCTGGAGACGCCGTCACCGCCACCACGGCGCTCAGCGGCGCTCCTCAGTAGATCTCCTGCTCCCCGGAGTCGGCGTGCTCCCCCGCCTCCTCCTCCTCTGGGACGGCGAAGCCCTCCTGGGGCAGAGAGGGAGGGAGACGCACGGCGGATCGCCGCGGACGCAGCGCCGTGAGCCGCCGGCGTCACGGTGTGTCCGGGCTAGCGGTCAAAGGGCTGCGCTACGAACCTGGCAACTCGAACCTGGCAACTCGATTTCGCGTTGATCCTGGGCCACCCGTAGGTCGACTCAGCCTCAAGCGAGTGCCTGGTGCGGTGTGTAAACATCGCCACGAGGGAGACAAAGGTGGCCAGGCACGGTGTTGGCCACCCACCCCCTCGTGTGCCCTGTTGACCGTCTAAGGTGCTTGCTAACAGCACTTGCCACACAAGTCTGTTTAAGGCTATACGGGGGATCTTTGTTTGTTCCTAGAGTTCTTCCCTCACTGCTGCACTCAGGAGGACCTCAGAGCGAAGTGGCAGTCGGGGTGATTGACGATGTAGCAACGAGTCACTCCGCTCACTCGCTCGATAGCGGTCCCTCCCTTATCACTCTTCTATCGCTACTACGTCTACCTTGGTTACTGTTCTCTCATTGATTCCTCCTCCACCAGTGTTGAGGGCTCGGGCTACTAGACACTGAACTGTTCCGTCTCATCCATCATGCTGCGTTCAACCGCAATGACACTGCAGCTCACAATAGCCATCACTCTCACTCACCCGCACAACCATGACCTCACCCACCCACTCGTCCACCTTACTAACTCGTCCACTCACCACACCGCAGCTCGCCTCACGTCTCTTTCTGCTGATTCCCTCGAACTAATTTCTTTATTTCTCTCCAACTGCTTCTTGTCTTTAGTTTGTTGTCCTCCCCCCCGCACCTCTGATTAGCACCGTTCAACGCGAGGGTGGAGGGGGGCAGGAGTGGGGGGCAGGAGTGGGGGGCAGGTGGTTGGTACGGAGCCGGCCGCGGGAGCGTTTGTCCGAGGGTGGCGGCAGTGCCGCCTTCGACTCCCGGCGGCGGGAGACCCCGGGGCGCCCCCCCCACCCCCCTGGCTCTCACCTCGGTGGCGTAGAGCACGTCCAGCACGCGCGTCACCATGGGGTTGGTCTCCGCGTCAAAGTCCTGGCAGATGGTCTCGATGTCGCGCAGCTTGCCGAAGTAGAAGTTCCGCTCCTTCTCCAGCGCCTCCACGCTCACCTTCATCTCCAGCATCTGCACGCACGTGGGGTCAGTGTCACTGGGAGGGTCCGTGGGGTCAGTGCCATGGGGAGGGTGCGTGGGGTCAGTGTCACGGGGAGGGTCCGTGGGGTCAGTGTCACGGGGAGGGTCCGTGGGGTCAGTGTCACGGGGAGGGTCCGTGAGGTCAGTGTCACGGGGAGGGTCCGTGGGGTCAGTGCCATGGGGAGGGTCCGTGGGGTCAGTGTCACGGGGAGGGTCCGTGGGGTCAGTGCCATGGGGAGGGTGCGTGGGGTCAGTGTCACGGGGAGGGTCCGTGGGGTCAGTGCCACGGGGAGGGTCCGTTAAGTTGTTCGTCAAGTGAGTGGGCGACAGGGTGAGTGAGTGGGTGGGTGAGATGCGATCACGCGGGGAGAGGGACAGGAAGAGGAACCTGCTGGTTGAGCTCCGTCATCTGGGCGTCGTCTCCAGCCTTGGGCTTGCCTTGGGGGGTGCCGCCCCCCCCGCTGCTGCTGTGTGGGGAGGAGCGGGCGGGGGTGCTGGTAGGCCGCGGGGCCGGAGACACAGACGTGGCCTTCGGGGCGGCCGCTGCACGTACACACAAAGACAAAGGTCCCCCGGGTAGCATTCAAAAAGTGTTTGGGGCAAGTGATGTTCGCGGTGGCGAGCACCTACGAAGGCCAGCACTCCGCCTGGCTTAGTTGACTTAGGGGGGGCCGGGATTCGTTCTGATCTTCGCCACTGTTTGTTGCTCATGAACGGGAATCTTTTCTAGTGGCCGGATCTGTAGCGCAATACGTGTACATGTGTACGTTCAACTTCTTTCACACCGTACGTGCTAATCAGAGGTGCGGGGGAAGGACTACAAACTAAACACACCAATCTGCCACCGCTCCTCACTAGATACACACAAAGACCTCCCTGATAGCCTCAACAGACTTTTGGGTCAAGTGCTGTAAGCGAGCACCTATGAAGGCCAGCACGGTTCTTGGCAACTATGTGTAGAGGGTGGCACACACACACGCCCGCGTGCCCGTACCGGGCGGGGTGCTGTGCCGCTTGGGCTTGTTGAAGATCTGCTCGCCGTGGTTGGGCGGCGGCGTGGCGTGCACGCCGTGACGCGCCACCACGGGGTCGTACTCCCGCCCGTCGTAGTTCGCCTCAAAGAACTTCTTGAACCACTGCAGGAACTCGAAGTTGTCCTGGAACTTGCCCTTCACCAGCTTAGTCCACCGGGATGATCTGGGGGTGGGGGGTAGGGGCGACACGTCCGACGTGTCAACGATCGCGAACAAACTATTTTCATTTCACCAGGTAAGGCCGCCCTGAGCTGTGTAGCTCCCTGTCAGAAGCGACCTGGCCACGCGTACTCATAGCAGCTCTCGTCCACGATCCCCTCCTCCACCTCCCCACACTCCCCACACTCCCCCCGCCCACTCTCCCCCCCCCCACTCTCCCCACACTCCCCCCACTCTCCCCCCCCAACTCTCTCCCGCACCTTGTCAACGCTCATGCGCTTGAAGGAGGCCTGCAGCAGCTTGTAGTTGTGGATGTACTCGTGCTCCAGCTTGGCCTGGAACTTCACCTTCTTGAGGGAGATGCAGCCCGGGAACAGCATGTCCATGAACTGGCAGTAGGTGGCGCCTGTGTGTGCGTGGGGGAGACCACCACAGGCCACGGGGTCACACAGAGGGCCAGGACCACCACAGGTCACGGGGTCACACAGAGGGCCAGGACCACCACAGGTCACAGGGGTCACACAGAGGGCCAGGACCACCACAGGTCACGGGATCACACAGAGGACCACCACAGGTCACGGGGTCACAAAGAGGGCCAGGACCACCACAGGTCACGGGGTCACACAGAGGGCCAGGGACGTCCATAGGCTGAGTGCGGGGCCCGGGGGTAAATGAACGAAGCTGCAGCCTGTTCTCCCCTAACGCTGCGTGGTATCGTGACGCGAAATGAATATAGTGCGACGAATGTATTCGGGAACGCGTATTTTTATGACGCGGATGCGAATTGGATATACAGTAGCGCGATCGAGTGAACGGAACTACGTCGCGCGAGCAGGAATGAGCGGTCGTGCGGCTCCCTGTGCGGAGCGTCGCGCAAGGCACCGGGATGCCGCCGGATGCTTCTAGATGCTCCCCGCGTGCCTCAGTCTTTGTTCGGCCTGCGTATGCATCTCACGTGCTCGTTGCGGACTGTGCCGTTCCCGATATTACGTATTATTTATTATAACGCGATGTTTCCATACCGCAGTGTTCTTCAGAAAGGCAACTACCGCGTTATAGGAGAACAGACTCTATTTTAAACGATGAACTCTTGTTTACTCTACCAAGTCAGGGCCACCGAGCTATATTGCTGCTTTTCAGACACTCCCCGATTTTCCGTACCCCAGGGATAGCTCTGGAGAGGGCACAATCGGCACCACTCTCAGATAGCAGAGCTTTAGTTACACCAAATTAATCATTTATATGGCCAAGGAGAGTGAATCACGTGACAATCCCACTCGTTCCAGAAGGGCATCACATCGTCAACTGTTACTCGTGTGTACGCGTGTCTGTCTGAGCGGTTAGCGCGCTGCACTACGAGGCCGGGGGCCCGAGTTCGATTCCTGCTCAAGGCCAACACCAGTGACGATTATGTGAACCGGTCCTGGGCCTCCCCTATGTCGACTCAGCCTGAAATGAGTACCTGGTGCGCAGTACCTAGTGCAGTGTGTTCTGGCCTTCAGAGGTGCTGCTCTCTAACAGCACCAACAGTCTGTTCAGGCTATATGGGGGATATTTGTCTTTGTGTGCACGTGTGGTATGTGCGTGCGTGTCTGTCTGTGCGTGCGTGTCTGTCTGTGCGCGTGTCTGCGTGCGCGCGTGTCTGTGTGCGTGCGTGTCTGTGTGCGCGCGTGTCTGTGTGCGCGCGCTTGTCTGTGTGCGCGCGCTTGTGTCTGTGTGCGCGCGTCTGTGTGCCCGCGTGTCTGTGTGTGCGTGCGTGTCTGTGTGTGCGCGCGTGTCTGTGTGCGCGCGTGTCTGTGTGCGCGCTTGTGTCTGTGTGTGCGCGCTTGTGTCTGTGTGCGCGCGTGTCTGTGTGCGCGTGTCTATGTGTGCGCGCGTGTCTGTGTGCGCGCGTGTCTGTGTGTGCGTGTCTGTGTGTGCGCGCTTGTGTCTGTGTGCGCGCGTGTCTGTGTGCGCGTGTCTGTGTGTGCGCGCGTGTCTGTGTGCGCGTGTGCGCGTGTGCGCGTGTGCGCGTGTGTGGTGTGCGACTCGCCGGAGCACAGCTGCTCGATCTTGGTGTAGTTGAGGTGCAGCGAGTCGTTGATCCAGGCCAGCATGTCGTGCCGGCTCAGCGTGTCCATGGTGACGGGCGTGATGTACACGTTCACCGCCATCGCGACCCTCCTCCTCCTCCTCGCCTGACACGCACCGCCTGCCACCACGCACCGCGTAGTGGTGGTGATTACCATGGTGATTACCATGGTGATTACTGTGGTGGTTGCCGTGGTGATTACCATGGTGATTACTGTGGTGGTTGCCGTGGTTATTGCTCACGCTTCCTCCCCACGTGAATGATAAACACGACTCATCATCGGCTGCAAACATGGTAAGATAAAAACCCAACGTAGCGGCAGGAGCTGGCTGTCCGGAACAGACAACCAAATAGCTACGACTGTGACTGGTCTATGAGAATGCGTTGCTGAGTAGCACTTCGAGATTTGCTCATTGAGGACAAATAACCGCAGCGAGGTGAGTATGAAGGTGAGTGTGGGGGTGAGTGTGAGTGTGGGGGTGAATGTGGGGGTGAGTAAGTATGGGGGTGAGTGTGGGGGTGAGTGTGAGGGGGGGGTGTGTGGGGGTGAGTGTGAGTGTGGGGGTGAATGTGGGGGTGAGTGTGGGGGTGGGGGTGAGTGAGTATGGGGGTGAGTGTGGGGGTGAGTGTGAGGGGGGGGGGGTGTGTGGGGGTGAGTGAGTGCGAAGGGGGGTGAGAGGGGGGGGGTGCAGATGTCTCAGGGGGAGTCCCTTGGGGTCGCGAGCAGCAGCACCCCAAATGAGCCCCGAGCTGCCCTGAGGGGTGGGGGCTCGTGGATGTGGGGGAGGGGGTTACCATGGAAACCGTCTGCCAGCAACCACCCCGGGTTCCTCTCTCATCCAGCCGTGCCCAGTGTCCGTGTGTCATTGTGTGTGTGTCCGTGTGTCATTGTGTGTGTGTGTCCGTGTGTCATTGTGTGTGTGTGTCCGTGTGTCATTGTGTGTGTGTGTCCGTGTGTCATTGTGTGTGTCATTGTGTGTGTGTCATTGTGCGTGTCATTGTGTGTGTCATTGTGTGTGTGTCCGTGTGTGTGTCCGTGTGTCGACTCAGCCTTAAATGAGTACCTGGTGCGGTGTGTAAACATTGGGGAGACAAAGGCGGTCGGGCGTGGTGCTGGCCACCCACCCCCTCGTGTACCGTTCCGGCCTTCATAGGTGCTCGCTAACAGCACTTGCCCCTACAGTCTGTTAAGGCTATACGGGGGATATTTATCTTTATCCGCGTGTGTGTGTCATTGTGTGTGCGTGTGTGTGTGTCCGTGTGTGGACAGCGCGCTGCGATATGAAACCGGTGACCCGAGTTCAATTCCCGCTCACGACCAACATCAGCGACGATTGTCTTCACCGGTCCCGAGCCTGCCCGAGGTAGATTCAGTTTAGGAGTACACCACCCCGTCGCGCTAACAGCACTTGCCCCCGTCGATCTGGTCAAGGCTACACGGGGGACCTTTGTCTTTGTGTGTGGCACAGCGTCGATGCGCTTTGCCGCACACCCCGCGGGGAGGAACACGCGGACAGGAAGCTGCTCCTGCTGCTGCTACTACTACTGCTGCTACTACTACTGCTACTAATACTGCTGCTGCTCCTGCTGCTCCTGCTGCTGCTACTACTACTAATACTGCTGCTCCTGCTGCTGCTGCTCCTGCTGTTGCTGCTACTACTGCTGCTGCTCCTGCTGCTCCTGCTGCTCCTGCTGCTCCTGCTGCTGCTCCTGCTGCTTCTGCTACTACTGCTGCTGCTACTACTACTAATACTGCTGCTCCTGCTGCTGCTGCTCCTGCTGCTGCTACTACTGCTGCTGCTACTACTGCTGCTGCTCCTCCTGCTGCTGCTCCTGCTACTACTACTGCTACTAATACTGCTGCTCCTGCTGCTGCTGCTCCTGCTCCTGCTACTACTGCTGCTGCTCCTGCTGCTCCTGCTGCTGCTACTACTGCTGCTGCTACTACTACTAATACTGCTGCTGCTGCTGCTCCTGCTGCTGCTACTACTGCTGCTGCTCCTGCTGCTCCTGCTGCTCCTGCTGCTGCTCCTGCTACTACTACTAATACTGCTGCTCCTGCTGCTGCTGCTCCTGCTGCTGCTACTACTGCTGCTGCTCCTGCTGCTGTTGCTCCTGCTGCTTCTGCTGCTACTGCTCCTGCTGCTGCTGCTGCCACCCCCGACTCGGCCCGGTCCCAACACCCCGGCCCACAGAACCCGATATCCACCCCCGAACTTTCAGAACCTAGACCCCCAGATCCCAGAACCCTGACTCCAAAACCCAGACCCTAAATCCTCGACCCTCAAACACCCAGATCCCAGGCTACAAAAATCAAAACCCAGACTGAAAACCCCCAAATCCAATAGAGCGCAACCCAGCTAAGTGGCCATCCATTGAGTAGGTACTCAAAAATCTGTCAAAACCTGACCCCTCCCCCCCGTCCCTGTACGCACGCGGACTTTTTAGCCCCCCCCCCCCCCACCTGCGTACGGACGCCTGGCGCCCCCCCCCCTCCCCCGAATCCTATAGAACGGCCGATATTTAATCAACGCAGAAACGACCAAACAGATAGTCCACCGCCGTCTATCTAACTCATTTGAAGGCCAAAGTAGACGAATTATTATCGATGCTTCACCCCCCGCCCCCCACCGTTTCCTATGCGACGTACATTGTCAGCAGACCCCCCCCCCCCCCATACGCAAGCGAACACATTTGGGTGAACCCCCCCTCCCCCTCCATGCGTGCGCACTAAATGGATGGCCCCTATACGAGAAGCACTCTGGTGTCGTGAGCCCCACCCCGCACCCCCCGTCTCTCCGCCCAATGCCACAGCGCCCCCGGCACTCAGCGCGAGTGGGAGGGGAGGAAGGGGGGGGCTGGCAATGGGGCGAGGAGCGGGGGGGGCAGTGCATCTCTGCACGCACGAGCAGCGCGCGTAGTTTTTGCAGCGGCTCGTGAACGACGCGGGCATCACAGGGTGCGGTTGACCTCCCCCGTGACCCCCCTTCCCGTGACCCCCCCTTCCCGTGAGCCCCTCCCCCCCACACCCCCCTGGGATCGCACGCAGCCCAGATGTGGACCTCCCTTCCCAGCCCGACCCAGTTTCCTGCGGCTAAGAGCCGCGGACTCGAAGCTGTGGAACCAAATTCCAGCATCGGGACGGCGCGGACCAACGGCTTCCAATGCACACGGCTCATCGGCAAACCCACCATCACACTGCCCGGCTTCCAATACACACAGCTCATCAGTGAGCCCGCCATCGCACTGCCCGGCTTCAACAACACACAGCTCATCAGCGGGTCTGTGGCTGTAACAGGGTGCAGTGTCGGGTGTGGGACACAGCTGCTGCCAGTGTTTGCAGCGCCCCGTCTCACGCAGTCATCACAGCAGGGGGGGCAGGGGGGGGGGTGCTTGGGGGGAGGGGTGGGGGGTTGAGGGGGGCTGGGGGGGAGGGGTGGGGGGTTGAGGGGGGCTGGGGTGGAGGGTTGGGGGGTTGCCTCTGCCTGCCTTGTGTCTGTTCCGAACACGGCGGCATTGTGCACTAACAAAGCGTCTCTCTTTGTGTGCGTGTGAACCAGTCCTGGGACTCTCCAAGTTCGACTCAGCCTCAAATGAGTAACTGGTGCGGTGTGTAAACATCGCCATTGGGGAGACAAAGGCGGCCGGGCGTGGTGCTGGCTACCCACCCCCTCGTGTGCTGTACCGGCCTACATAGGTGCTCGCTAACAGCACTTGCCCCAACAGTCTGTTAAGGCTATACGGGGGGTCTTTGTCTTTGTGTTAATGAGCACTTGCCCCAACAGTCTGTTAAGGCTACACGGCGGGGTCTTTGTCTTTGTGTTAATGAGCACTTGCCCCTACAGATGGACATGAATGATAGACAGCACCGTATACATCAAACGTGAACATATACAGTACATATATACAGTACATGGATATTAATTTGAAGTCCCTTGCCAATCCACTGCTGGATGACGAAGGCCTCGCTGCACTGACCAGGCTTCCCCGCCGCGCTGGTGCAGGTTGTGTGCGCCGCGCTGCGCTAACCGCTGCCCCACCTCTCCGCCCCAGCCGCGCGTGTGCCAGGCGCTGTCCAGGCTCAGACCTGCTGAGCTTGCGAGCGCGCTGGGGCGGACACACCCGCGCGTCCCGTGCTCGCTGGAACCGTTCGAGGTGTAAATCCGGCAGGCAGCCCCGGTTAGTGGGGCGCCACGGTGGCTAGGAGATGTTAACTACCTCGCCTGGTATACAGGAGGTCGTGGGTTTGATCCCGACCCTGACACCTGCTGTGTATATATTTGAAGTTTTCGTGTCTCTCTCTCTCTCCCCCCGTGATCGAGTAGATTTTTTTTCGAGGCTCTTCGGGTTTTCCCTCCACATTTACAGTCAACAACATCACGCGTTTAGAGTTGGCTGCTATAAATGTCCACGTGATAAGCCACTTCGTTGAACTATCATTTGTGATAGCCAAGTCGCTTCCGATAAAGAACTGCATAGCTCAGTGGGGCTTACTTAGTAAAATATATTTTTTTCTAGTTTATAATCGTGTGGTGTGTGTGTACTAACTGTATAACATACTCCTACTACCAAGGGTCGCCTGCTTTCACTCGCAGTGGACGTTAGAGATCCCGGGACGTGGTTCGCAAGAGTAGGCCACTGCAACCTTGGGGTACAGCGAATCAGGCGACTGCCCCGGGCCCCGTGCTTTGGGGGGGGGGGGCGCTTCGATGTCACGGTGTCAGATGCAATACTCCCGGTCTAGTAGCAGCAGCAACATCAGCAGCAGTAACAACAACACCAGAAGCAGCAGCAACAGTAGCAGCAGCAGTAACAACAGCAGTAGCAGCAACAACAGCAGCAGCAACAACAGCAGCAACAACAGCAGCAGCAATAACATCGTACCCCTGTTGTGAAGCTACTGCAGACTGCGAGACACAGCGGCAGCGCGCCTTGCTGCGTGCTGGTCGCCCTGTTGCTGCACAAACCACAGCGCCAGTACCACATGCGCTCAATTAGTTCTAAGTATCATTGTTCTTCTGGGCGATGTGGTCATTCGGCAGCACACACTGGCTGCCGTAATTGTCGTCGGCATCGTCGTCGCTCATTTCCGATTGCGGATCTCAGATTTCTCCCGCAAT